TGGTGTCTGTAGGCAGGAAGCATAAGTGTCGTATGCCGTCCAGCACCATCGCGCAAGGGGAAACCAATCCATACTGGAAAATCCTGGGCTTGAAGCCGGGGCCGATAGGTTAGTGAGCCAATGTCATTTACTCGTCAGTCCACGGAGGTCCCATGTTCGCGGAAGACGTAGCCGATACCCCAGCCGTTTACATTTTACAAAAACAGTCGCATAAAGCGAGGAAATACGCCCACACGACAGCTATGTCAAAACAGAAGCTTATCCGAAAGAAAACCCTAGATGTTGACCAAATTTTATTTAATAAAGATCTAGGATTCTTCAAGCTTTTCTTGATAACCTTAGGTTGCTGAAAATTAACAGGGTTCAACATTTCTTATTCCAGTGCTTGTAGCACCATGGGCCGTCTGTCTGACGTGGAGAGCGGACGTGGGAAAACCGGTCGCCACATCCTACGTACGACCCATGCATCATTTCTTACTACATATTTCTGTAGCCTTGTGATCGTCTAGAATGTGTCTCTAGCTGTCTTTACTTCTGCTTCACGTTGTGTATTTACTTCTTACAGTTCTCTTAAGACGTTTGTCTTACCGAGAATAACAATGCAACAGTTCGCTTCTACATTTTATATATATATATAGCCGAATACATGTATACAAGCATGGCACAGATTACAATACTAGCTAAGATTAGGAACTCAGATGGAACCTCTCTGGAATCTAATGGAAGTCTAACTTAAAAGTTTACTATTATTTCTTTTATAAGATTCATGCATATCACGCACAGAAAGCCTGTTCATGGCCCTGAACCTGTGCAATTAACGATATGATTGGTTACTTTAAGCCAAATGATGCAATTAGAATAATTCCACTCACGTGTAATCTCGTGGTATTTTATTGACACATACAACTAGCTATGTTTTGGCTCTATAACTCTTTTTATGTGTCAACTGTCAATTACAGACTAAGTTGATTTAGTACAATTCTACATACATGTGAATCTACCAACTTGCCAAAGATATTAATTAATGAAATATACTGTCACCTTATTTCTCTATTACTTGCCTATAAATTGAAAACAATGTCGCAACGACTATATTACTACATGCTTCAATAGTGTCAATCTTCTAACAGCACTATAAGTGCTTCACACCTAACTTGAAAAAAAAATGTAGTTTCTAACAAGTTTTTCAGAAAAGTGTGTGGTGTTCTGTCGCGGAACACTGACTTGGTGGGGGAGGGGGCGGAATGGAAGAACGCGGAATACCGACTATCGATGGGGTTCATCTTCTCTTGACCCTAACTCCAACTCTTTAAATCAAATTTGAAAATAATCCATTAAAAATTGTAGCCTCTATCGCATTAACAATTTTTCAGGGTACATATATATATTCAAAGTCAGCAAATACGTCATAAATAGATTTCTTTTTTCCCACGGATTAACGATAACCATGAATTTTGTAATCATATAAAACTTATTTCTGGTTTTACGGATAAAATTCCATCTCGGAGCTCCGACTTGTTAATGCTATGGTTTGAGTAATCAAATTAAAGGGAGGCAACCTATGCTTAAGTAGAGTAATAATTTTATTTAGAGCCGCAAAAGAATATTTTATTAACATTTTACAAGCCCGATCGGGGTTTTTGGGGTGGGGGCACGGGTGGTGGGGGAGGCAGGAGTGGAATCCCCCCCCCCCCCCCGCCCGCCAAAAAAGAAAATCGTCGCGCAAGCACCGTAGGGATGGCGGTCCTCCCTCACAAAGTTTTGAAAATTAGATCGCTGCACATGTGTTTCCCTTCCCTGCCATTTCGGCCCGTATACAGAAACGTATGTGTCTGGCTTCAGTAGCGGATCTAGAAGCTGTGAATGGGGGAGCGGTTGCAAATCTAGGACGTCATACTCAACCTCACCCCACAATGAATGTCAACAAAATACGTATAATAAAATGCACCCAGTGACCCATCCCCCATTAAATCCGCTCTTGTGTGGCTTTGGGACAAAATTACACTCTACCCGGATTCCAAATTTTAGGAGAAAGAGGGCAGAATTGAAATGGTTGAAAAAAAAATCCCGATTAGATTCCTTGGAGACTAATTCTCCGTTCGAAGCCTGACTCATGCTCTTCATACTGATCTGATCAGATCGCAGCCCTTGCCATTTATTTATAAACAATATCGCTAAATTTAAAAAATGGTATCGTTTTTATTTCATTATTATATTGATAAATATACAGTGCATATCAAGTTTGATATAAACAAGCTAAAACACATAGGGCCTATATATACAAATTATACAAAAATCCTCTTATTCAGAGCAAACAGCATCAATAATCAGCTCCGACATTTCGTGTGCTAAAAACAACTTTAAAAAAGAAGAATAAAATGGGAAATACATTTTTAATATTATAGTATATCTTAGATCTTAAATACAAATAGAACGCGTAATCACATAAATAATGAAAATATCTAGTTTTAGAATGACTTTGAGTATAGTTTTACTCAGGGCCTAAAATAACGTGCCTTGGAGCACGAACGTGCCTCGAAATGAAAAATCCGTGCTTCGAAAATAAGAAAACCGTGCTCTGAAAAATTGTGTAGTGCTCTAAAAAAAAGTGTTGTCAGCGATGCCTCCTGACCCCTAATTGAGTGTTTCTTCTTGTGTTCTTGTGGTGTGGTCAGTTGCACAGATCAGATATTATCGTAACGAAAGTGGTGTGTTTTTTTCCTGGTGCTGAGTTTTCATGCGAAAAAAGGTGCTCGCGACAAAATAAATTCCTATGTAAACTGCACCAGAATAGTCCACAGATGCCGGTTTCAAGCTCTCAATTTTCAAAATTTTCGGGGGGAGGCCCCCAGACTCTAAATCCGTGCTCTCAGAATTTAACCTTATTTTAGGCCCTGGTTTTACTCCATGCAGGGGCGTGCTGGCAGCGAGTTTGGGAGGACGGTGTCCTCCCAGGCCCCCATTAAACATTAAGTCCACCCTAATTTTCACGCGGAATCCCCTCAAAAAATTGAGAGTGCGCACGCAAAAAATCATACATACACAACGATTAGTAAAATATATTATGCTGACGTGCAAATGTCTTTCACCTTAAGGTGAAATGGTCTTTGATACATGTATTCATGCCTCGATATGTATAAGATGCAATTTATTATTTGGATAGAAATACATTGTATTAGCATTATATTAAGCAGACCCGTCATGAGTGTCTTGTGTAGTACAGTAGTATGTCTTATAGTCAAAATAGCAGCATAAATTTGGAAATATGATACCTAGATTTCTCCCAGAAGTGCTTGCAAAACGCGTTTCCCGTTGTCAAATTTCAAAAAAATTTGGGGGGGAGAACCCCCCCAAAACCCCCCCTACCACCGGCCCGCCTTCGGCGCGCGGGTCGCCTTCGGCGTCCTTCCGGACCCCTAAGAGGCCAGCACGCCCCTGCTCCATGTATTTAACTTATTTCATTGAGTTATAATGCAATAGCTTGCTGGTCTTTTTTGGAAGCCTGAAATGTTATCTAAATTATTAAATACTAGTAGACATTAATTAACTGATCCAATCCATAATCAACTCTTGATGTCATCGTTAACCTGCGATCTTAAATGGATTTGAATACAATTTGTGATGGATAATTTAATGTAAAATGGATAATCGAGACTTTGTTTATTATAGGACAAACGTTAGTAATCATGTCCGAGGCTAAAATTGAACCGTTGATATCTAGGTACGTGAGTTCAGAGTAAAGCAATTTGGCTGAAATTTTCATCATTTACTGTTTTCATTATCTATTTTTTAACTATTATAGCGAGAACTGTCAGCTCTATCTAATCTTACCTAATGCCCCTTTAACATTTTCTTTTACTGATCTTTCAGTCTTGTGATGATTATTACGACAATTTGTATCAAGAATATAAAGAAAAGTTTGAAATATTTAACTTGTAATATTAACAACTCACCTGGCAGTTGAAATAACATTTTTTCTTGTAAGAAGCAGGAAAAATACTAGTAAGGCAGCTGATTTCCACAGTCATGCTACAATATTAATATTTCTACAACCTCGTCAATACTAGAATAATAAAAATATGTTGATTAGATTGTACAAGATTCTTATATTATTTTCTAACGTTCGGTTGAAATGAAACTTTGCTTGAGAATAGGTCTAAGTTCTGCATGATAAGATACAGATAAACTATTAAATAGTTTTAGCATTTCACAATATCATTTTAAAATATTATGATGACGTAGTTTATTGATAACTTTGGTCGGAGTTTTATATTATCTTTGCGCGACATTTAAGAAATTGGAAAGTCAACCTAGTTTTACCCCGCTTGAGTCATTTTTGATCTGTCTTTTTTTAAAGCGTTCAATCAAGCCATGCAGTCTTAAAAAAAATAAAAAAATAAACTCTCCTTTAGTTTCTGTATTATTTCTATGTTGATGTTTTTTTAACATTCAAATAAATTAAGGTCTAACGTAGGCTACTAACAACTTTTTTGACAGAACTGAGAAGAATTTTGTAAATTGCAATCTTCGTATGGTGTATATTATTGTATGTCTGAGTCTTTATTTTGAAAGTAGAAATTAAATAAAAATCACTGAATTATAAAATATACCGGTAATGATCCGGTTATGAATTAAAATGAAAAGTGGGCATAATTACTAATTAATTAGCATCAGGCCTATGTTGGTTAGGCCTATCTAGTAGTAAGCGCTGGCTCATTTACTACTGCATGGTTCGATCTTGTGAATTATCTTGTCAGTGATGCAGGATGAAGGGCCAAGGAAAAACATCTAGTCGTTCAGGCAATAGGGCATTTGAGTCACGAATGTCATTAAACCATAGAAATATACGATCTACGATTAAACCATAAAACGAACCGGAGACTCACGAATAAAACCCACTCGGCAAACCTCGACAGATTGTAGGGTATTGGAATCCTCCGAGGTTTGCCGAGTGGAATAAAACCGAGATCTACATCATCAATTTGTGTGTAAACGGTATTGTACGTTTTTGTGAAAATGGCTGCGCCCATCATTTGGCGTTTGCGTTGAATTTTCAATCTGAATTTTGATTGTTATTTAGTTATTTCTTGTAAAACATATGTCAACATGTCAGTAGAAAAGTGGGTTAGCGAACGGTTATTCGATTTATTAGGAATATCTGACAAATACATTGCTCAGTATTTTGTTGGATTGGCGAACAAGTCAGGAAGTGAAGATGATTTTGTTGATAGACTAAGGGACACCGGAACTGTTGAAATAGATGATAATATTATTAACTTTACCAAAGAACTCTATCATAAGGTAATAATTTTATCCATTAAGATTTATTCCAATGGCACTATTCGCTTGAGGAGTGGGATCATTTATTTTATATGGTAGGCCTACATCAACATATTTTTTACATACTCTCGTCATTCAAATAATTGAGCCATAATATCATCATGCCCATGGTCCGAATCAGCCAAGAATCTGTTCTGAATCAACCAAGAGTGTGAAGCACCTTTTCCGTGATTTAGCTCATAGTATTGAAGTAATCAATGACTTATTACACTATTTATTGTCATTTTTTCGTAATTATTAAATATATGCAAACATATTTTAAATACTTTCGTCATTCAAATAATGGTCGGAATGAGCCTTGTCATGGTCCGAATGAGCCAAGAATCTGGCCCGAATCAGCCACGAAACTGATCTGAATCGACCAGGTCCGATTCAGTCGATTACCATTAAACCCTAAACATGTAATTGTTGAATAAGATTGATCTGTATTGTACTGGACAATTTTTTATGTATTGTACAACGGGATGCTTTATTTGATTATTACAGGTACCTCATAAACAGAAGGCAGTGAAAACATTAACTGTTCAACAACAGTCACAGTTAGATTTAGAGAAAAAGAATCAAACTTTTCAGTTATTATCTGATGGAGAAGATCTGGAGGAAGATTATAAAATACCTACCAAGGTTTGTTATCAGTCTATTACAACTACCATACCAGTATTGTAAATCAAAAAATTACATTTTTGTATAAATTTATTAGGTTTACTGGTACATAAGATTATTAAAACTATCATTATTGTCATGTTTGGCAAGTTAATTGTGTTGAGTAATTTTATAAATAGAACAAAAAAGAAATGTCCAAATAAATCTACTGATATATGCATCTCAAGATTTGATAAATTTGTAATTTTCAAAAATGTTAAAATTCATTTGCTGGATAGGGGCTTGTAAGTCAAATAATCAAATAACATTTTCTCTCTATTTTTTGACAGTTCTTTTAGTTTTGAATTGTGATTACAGTAAGAGTCATATTAAGAAAGCAAGCTTTCCTGTTTGAATACTTGATTATTTTCATTCCAGAAGAAAAAAGAAAATAAAAGACAAAAACACTTGAGAAAAAAACAAGAATCTGAAAGTAGTAGTGAAAGTGAGAAGTAAGTACATGTACAGGTACTATTTCATTAAAGATACATTATGGGAGATTTTTATAGAGAGTTGGCCATTCTTGCTATAACGGTTTAAAAGTAGATGATGAAAGAAGAATATATTGAAAATTTCAGTCAAATTACTTTATTCTGAACATAGTTATCATCGTTGTAATATTTGACTAGAAATGGTAGTGAAATGTGTCTTCACCTTGGCCAATCGTTTGATTGACAGGCGTTAACTCCACCTACATATAACGATTATCAAGTAAAGTTTTCAATGGCATGCGGAAACGCTCTACAGCGGCCTCGCTAAGTACACTCTATCATTTAGCCTCGATCTAACTGACGTATTCTCATCAGGGTGCGTCATATTTGAATTAATCAATAAGTGAAATCCTATTTAAATCCGAGCTGTAGCCGAGCCATCCGTGGGTCTACAGAGTTGATTTTGGGCTTGTTGTTTAAATAAAGATCTAATTTATAATTTCTATAACATCTGAAGCCTACATCTAAAACTCTCAGGTTTGTGAATTAGACTATGTATTTTCACTATTTTATGATATTTTAGAATAAATCCCCGAATTAATGTCTGGCTACTGTTAATTTGAATCATAATAAAATTTTACATGTAATTCCTTTAGGGATATATAATTTATAGATGATTTCATTGGTTTTTTTTTGCATATGTAGGGATGTTCCTGTTAGTCGTGGTCGTCAAGCTGAGAGTTCATCAGAAGATGAAATGGATGCCTTGGAAAAAGAAAGACTTCATGATTTACAGGAGAGAGATGAATTTGCTAATAGAATGAAAGATAAAGATAAGGACAAAACTAGAAATGTTGCTTCAAAGTCAGAAAAAAGGGTTAGTTATCTCAATACAAATAAAACTCTATTCTTTTAGATATCTTTTCAGTGCTGGCCACAGGATATTTCGGCTCTGTACAGAAAGCAAAATATAACTTTACTAGTGTACCTGTAACAGAATGCCAACTGACCAGCAACCTTTATTAATAACAACAAGGAGGACCCAGGTGCCATGCCAGTGTTGGCTGATAAAGTTCCTCTGGATATTCTGGCATGGTTTTCCCTTATCAGTTTTGCAGAACAGAGGACAATGAACAGCATCTAGTTGTTCGGATATTACGAAAAACAGGTGTACTGTTTACTTGTTGGTGTGCACGTAAAAGAATCTTTGACAGTTGGAGTTGGAAATAAGAGTAGACAGTACTTCCCTCGTTGCAAACTAGCCCGGTCTGTGCAGAAAAGTAGGGCATTAAACTCCTCATTTTCGTTTTTGATTTACATGTAATTTAGTTGATAAAGACCTGTATTTAATATTTTAGGCATATGAAGAGGCTAAGAAACGTCTACAGATGGAAACAGAAGATAAAAAGAAAATCATTCCAGAAATACGAAAAAAATCTCGACGAGATTATTTGAAAAAACGTCAAGCTGATAAATTATATGATTTAGAAGGCGATGTTGCAGATGAAGAATATTTATTCAAAGATGTCAGGTAAGAGAATCGTGTGATTTTTGATCAAATTTTTCTTATCACAGGATTTGATTGGTAGAGTGGTCTGAATTCTGCTAATCACATTCCATGCCTTACTAAAAAGCCTCTATCACACCAAAGCACGACCTAACACGACTCAAACATTTTGAGTTGCGTTATAAAGCTGGAGAAGGTCTTCTTGGATCGTGAATGTCACTGTCAGGTCTTGGTGAATCGGGAACAGGTCTTGTTGAAAAGGCATCAACTCGACCTCTAAAGCCCCCATCACACCAAAGCACGACCTAACACGATTCAAATATTTTGAGTTGTGGTGTAAAGCTGTAGAAGGTCTTCTTGAATGGCAGAGTTCACCTTCAGGTCTTGGTGAATTGGGAGCAGGTCTTGTTGAAAAGGCATCAACTCGACCTCTTTCTGACGAGTGACCATGATGGTCCAGGTCATGCAGGACCAACTCGCTCCATCCCAGATCCAACAAGACCTTGACAAGACCTACTGAAACTAATCATAGCGCCAACACGACAATCCAGATAATGTACAGATCCTGTACAGATTCATCACGACCCCTACAGAATAGTATAAAATGATCAGAAATAGACTTGTAGTTTCATATTGTGTCTGGATATTCAAAAGTGAACATCTCCTTGTCTTGTTGCATCGCATCAGGATCACACTCGATCGTGTTAAGGTCTTCTTGGATCGCGTTGGTCGTGTTGAGAGCTGCTAGAAATTATGAGTCTTCTGAACCACATCGAGCTTTGGTCTGACTGGGGCTTAAATATGGGTCACATAAAGAAGTGTTTTTTGATTAGGATGAGGAAGAATAAGAAACCAGTAAATAAAAGAGAACCAAAATTTGGTATAATTTTAATGAGACTGCTGACACTTGTTACACATAAATAAGTGTGTACAGTAAGTTCCTGTTTCTTTTTTCAGATTATCAAGCAGAGAGAAAAAAGAACTAGAATACAAAAAACGTGTCTTAAAACTAGCGTCGGAACATAGGAAAGCCGGAGATATTGAGAAAGTTAGTCGATATCACATGCCAAAAGATGATGTAAAGCCAGAAGATAAATATGTAGAGGATGAATTGGAACGGGGGAATTACGAACAGAAACGATGGGAAGAGGATCATTTACATGCAGCCACCTTGAAGTTTGGTGCTAAAGATGCTAAAACTAAAAATAAAGTAAAAGAATATGACGTTATAATGGATGAAGAAATCGAATTTGTACAGACGTTAAAAATGCCTGGTGTTGGTAAAAATAAAGTAAGTGATATTACAAAATTAGTACAAAGTGTCTGACCATTTCATGGCCTTTATGACAAGTACATTGATTTGTCCCTTCTGTCCATGCTAAACAGCATGATGGATTTCAACAATATTTGGTAGATATATTGCCAAGATATTTTTCATTCATAGGCGGCGGCACCTTTACATGGAAATGTAGGTCAATTTAAAAGATTATTTTCTTCAGAATAGCTAAATTGATTTCTTTGAAAGTTGATAAGAATGAACCTTAGATTAAGTTTGTTAAAATAAAAGGGCTGGCCACAAAGAGGCAGAGCAGGACAGGGGCACCACAAAAATTTAAAAACATATTTGAATTCCAGGAATCTGATAATAATTTGGTATTAATGTTGCTTAGCTTGCTTTTTTCCAAGTTCATTCAAATGAATTTGCTTTCATAGTGTTTTGGTATAATTTTGATAGTTTCTGTGATTCAAGTGGGTAAAATGTAAATGACTATGATATAACGGTCTTATGTTGTAGGCATACAAATTCTCCATATTCAGAATCTTCAATGGACACATGCTCTTAACTGATGGGCTGTTGCTCGTTTTCTTTTTTTTTTCTTTTAATATTTACACTGATTCCAACGGTGTAAACCCAGAGATTCCACTCCTCTCATTCATACTCTGTGAATGGATCAAATTCTTTATGTTGCTCTCATCCATGGTTTGTGGAGAAAATGGCTTTTAATTCGTAAATAATTTTATGGAAATTTTCTTTCTTTTACTTAATCAATCACACATACTCTTAATATTTGTTGCTTCAGGAGAAAGATGAAATGATGGATTCTTCTAAGTTAAAAAAGATGAGTTTAGAAGAAACACGAAAAAGTTTACCTATTTATCCATTTAAACAAGATTTAATTGATGCTATTGCTGAACATCAGGTTCTTATTATTGAAGGTGAAACAGGTTCAGGAAAGACTACTCAGATACCTCAATATCTACATGATGCAGTAAGGTTTTATTGACAAAGATGGGAGTGATATTAAAATCAGTCCACTAATCTTTTTTTGCCACACTAAAAGCTCACCTGGATTCTAACCCTTATTCACCGACAGAAAAGTATAATAAGAGATACTTGTCGATATGTTGTGCTTATATACAATCTGATTCAAATACAGATCTATATTTCGTTGTGTTTTTTTTATACTTTTGGTGGCCTACACTACATCTGAAAGGTGTCGTACGAGCGACTTTTGACCCTATGATGTCAGACATTGATTAATCAATCAGCGTTGACGTTTCTAGTGGTTTACCCACAGTTCTGTGCATTGCACGCCAAGAACTCGCCATAAGAGACCGTTTCATTGGCTAATCCCTCACTTCAACCAGAACGCCTAGTGTAGTAAAGACAAGTAAAACAAAATTTTGAACTATAAAAACGGAACGAAATAGGATCTGTGCTTTAATCAGATTGGCTTATGTAGTAAAACCAGTGATTGTTTACCATAAAAATTGTAATGGGTTAATGGGTTTTACAATCTATCTCTGTAATCTTTATGTTGTTTTACAGGGTTATACTAAAAATGGAATGAAGATTGGTTGTACCCAGCCTCGACGTGTTGCGGCAATGTCTGTTGCTGCTCGTGTTTCACAGGAAATGGGATGGAAGCTGGGTAATGAGGTATATACCATTTCAGCATTAATGTTGTCTATAATTAACTATTGTTAGAAATAAGAACATGTTTTGTAAATAAGTTAGATTACAGTTGACATCATTTACACTGCAAGTCTTGTATACTATTTTTACAGGGGGGTGGATGGCTGAATGGTTAGCACGTGTGCCCTGTATCATAAAGACTGTCATTGAGTCAAATGGCGTGGTTTTGAATCCCTGGTTGTATGTGACAAGGAGTACGCACAAGCGAATTATTGAAATAAAATTACAAACCATATGGTAGTCCCTAAATGACATAGTTTGTGTCGAGTGGACCTTAAACCCCATTTCTCTCTCTCTCTCTCACTATTTTTACAAAACACAAACACATGCCTTACTGGCGAGTTAACCACTAACATGATAGACTTTTCTTTTAATAAGCTGGAGAAACACTAGAACTAAACAGATACAAATCTTTAATGAGGTTATTCATGTGGCTGAACCGCCATGTTATGGAAAAATTTATTTAATAGACTAAAGAATAAACCACATAGCTTTCTGAGTTAAATAATCACAGCAGTTAGCATTTGATTCTGAATTTGGGTAAATCAACTTGAGTAAGAATTGGGGTAAATCAATTGGAGTAGCAGTTGGGGCAAATCAACTGGAGTAGGAATTGGGGTAAATCAACTGGAGTAGCAATTGGGGTAAATCAACTGGAGTAGCAATTGGGGTAAATCAACTAGAGTAGGAATTGGGGTAAATCAGTTGGAGTAAGAATTGGGGTAAATCAGTTGGAGTAAGAATTGGGGTAAATCAGTTGGAGTAGCGATTGGGGTAAATCAACTTGAGTTGGAATTGGGGTAAATCAACTGGAGTAAGAATTGAGGTAAATCAACTGTAGTAGATCAATTTGAGTAGCAATTGGAGTATATCCAACAATACACTGTAAGAACTATGCATAATGCACATTTTTTATTCAGTATTTATTATAGTTTATTTTATTTTCTGTTTGGGTCATTAGGTTGGTTATAGTATACGTTTTGAAGATTGTACATCAGAGAGAACCATATTAAAATATATGACAGATGGTATGTTATTAAGAGAATTTCTTAGTGAACCTGATCTAGGAGGGTACAGGTGAGTTAAATTGTCTATTTAAAAAAAACTTGAAGGCAATTGTATGAAAAAATTACATTCGTTCTGGCAGTAAACTATAAAATTATATAGGATACTGTACTCTTATAAATTGAACTGTCTGTAAAATTGAGGGAATACATAGAAAAATTGAACACCATTCTTTTTAATTCCCTTTAAATTGATGCCATACATGTATAAGTCTTATTTGAAATATATTTTGTATGCTGAAATGTTAAATGATATGTTTTATTATTTAGTATTTTGATTATTGATGAAGCTCATGAAAGAACTCTTCACACTGATGTATTATTTGGATTAGTCAAAGATATTGCTAGATTCCGGCCAGATTTAAAATTACTTATTTCCAGTGCTACTTTAGATGCTCAAAAATTTTCAGAAGTAAGATATTTTTTGTTATTTTCCATTCTTCAGATTCAACAGATGTGTGAATTTTCAAGCCATTTTATTGTGTTTATCATTCTGATTAATGAGTAATTTTTATTTTAAAAATTGAGATTTCTGAAAAACATTCTGAGTATATTTGTTTTTAGTGATAAAAACACAGTTTTTGTCCCATGTTGATTCTGGACTAACTGAATGTTGATTGCTGAATTAGATTTTTGCTGTTATATATTTCAGTTTTTTGATGATGCTCCTATTTTCCGTATCCCTGGTCGAAGATTTCCTGTTCATGTTTATTATACAAAGGTAGGATAATTATTAATGGATATACCAGAGCCTCGTTTAGCATGGTGACTTGGCGGCGGCGACGCCACGTACTGGCCAAACTGTGCCGCCTACTGAGCCCGAAAGTTGAAGACTGGGCAGCAACATACACACGTTTTGAAAATCGCTGACAAGGTTTTTCCGATGTGCCAAGGAGGGTTGGGTGGCTGAATGGTTAGCACGTGCACGCTGTACCATAAAGTCTGTCATTGAGTCAACTGGCGTGGTTTCGAATCCCTGGTTGTACGTGGTAATGAGTAGGATCGCCTGTCCAACCTCGTGGGTTTTCTCCTGGTCCTCCGGTTTCCTCCCACTGCTAAAGACCCCTACGCAAAAGCGAATTATTGAAATAAAATTAAACCATGTGTTAGTCCCGAAATGACCTAGTTTGTGTCGAGTGGAGGTTAAACCCCATCTCTCTCTCTCTCTCTCTCTCTCTCTCTCTCTCTCTCTCTCTCTCTCTCTCTCTCCCATGTGCCAATACTATATCATGGTGCGTAGGTTTACAAAATCGTCTTTCTGATTGTTTTATGGGTATATTTCTGTCTGCGGGTCAGCCGCAGCAGTGTTTTGATCTCGATTTTACAGGGTATTAATCAATCCATGGTTTAACAAGATGCCAAAACTAATAGTGTATCAAATCTCCGAAACTATTTTTTAAGTCCTCAGAAATCGAGTCTAAGGGAGTCAATTTTCAAAATTTTCTGGGGGAGAGCCCCACAGACCCCCCGCGTGGGCTCTCATCTGCGGTGTTCGCGCGGCTAGCACCCGCGGTGCACGCAGGTCGGGATTTGCCGACATTGCCACGCACGACCAAATCCTTAGAAGAGGCTCTGGGATATACTCATTGGATTGATTTTTCCAACTATTTCATGCTTCTGCATTAAAACAAAGCATGCTACTTTTCATGTACATGATAAATTTTATGCCAGTTTTATAGGCCTCCATATACAATTCCCTAGGGACACTTTACAGATTAAAGTTATCATTTAATCTTGCATGCATTGTTTATATTAATATAACCAAATTTCATGGATTTACCTTTAGATGCTAACATTACGGTCTCATCAACAATTGATATTTATATTCTATTAATTTTCTTCAATTACTGTTAAAGTTATTGCCCTTGTTTACTTTAATGTTGCTCAGATTTAGTTTTAATTTATATGTGATGATTGTGTTATTGCTAGATATAAGTCTATCAAATGGTTATAATTTGAAATAATTGCTTCCTAGGTTATTGCCCTTGTTCACTTTTTGGTGTAATGTAAATGCACCGGTAGTGAAAGAATCACAGTGCAACACCCGTATGGAATGCTTGGGCAGCATATCTGTTATTGGTGTATATTTCATTGCTTTGCAACCTATCTTTAGATTTGTGGGTAGTTTATCGCATTATGTTAATAAATTAACACTGTGAAATTGGTATCGTTTATAATGGGGGTTATAGCGCTAAAAACTAGGTATATAGTTTAATTTCAAAACATCGTTTGATAATTGATAATAATCGTTTGAAAATTACAAAAATAGTTTAATTAGTACTATGGATTAATTTAATGGTAATGTGTTAATTATATTATAGGCACCAGAAGCTGATTATATAGATGCTGCTGTAGTATCAGTGTTACAGATTCATGTAACACAACCAATTGGTGATATACTTGTATTTCTTACTGGACAAGAAGAAATAGAAACAGCTCAAGAAATGTTGCTGGTACGTACTTGTATGCTGCAAACAAAATTTATTTACTGTAACGGGAGCTAAGTGAAAGCGGGGCCTACAGCCATGTATTGTTCCATGGGTTTAGAGTTATTGTGCCCCGTAATGCTATAATGAAATAAATCAAAACAGTAGAAACATATACTGTAGCTTAGGTACACTACTAATTGATTCTCTCATGTGCTACACATTTAAAAATTTCTAGGCAACCCTGAACCCCCTAATGATATGGTAAAACACAAAATTAATGCCAGGAAGAGATTAATGTTTTAAAGCTGCAATTTCATATTTTTAAGTTATATTTTGAAAATTTATTAAAATAAAGCCTTAAAATAGATGGTATCTATAAACAGTCCTACCTTGTTAAAGAATAATCCTATTAATCCTATAATTCACTATTGCCAGTTGAGAAATTGGCAAAAATATCATTTTCAACTTTAAATTCAAACGTTTGAAGATAGCTATTCCATGGGGGGGAATAGAAAAACAAGGGAGGTAATTGTGTTATTATTTCCGGGGTCAAAGAATTTTTAAGAGGGAGAATAATACCTATAATCGTATAATAGTGAGTTGATAACCTATAGAGCAAAAGACACAGAAATAATTATGTTTTGACTTTCTCAGAAAATATGAAATTATCGCTTTAAATGATACAACCTGTCACCAGTCGCATTAATTTCAATACCGTATACAGTTTTTATATTCTCCTACATAAAATAGCGTACCAGTGACCCTCAATCCATCTTATAAATAATCACTAATATGTTAAATTTAGCTGTTTGAATGGCATTTAGTAATTGAACACATTAAATTACCCTGGTAGCCCTCAGACTTTTCCTAATAGGAGTTTTGTGAAAAGAGAAGTTGTGTAAGTCTGAAACCAAAAGTGGGAGTGCAAAGCCATCAGGCCTATGTCACTCCATGGTTTGAACCTTATACCCCAAATTTCAGTCTTAGGGCAGCCCAGTGTTGCCGTTAACTCTGAACAAACAAACACACAAATGACTGTCACATATAAGCTTATATAGATTACAAGGTACCAGTTATTTTAGAAAAGTATATGGCAGGTTGTATTAATTTCAATACCTCAACTTACTTCAAGTTGCATAGAAGGATATTCTCTTTCTTAACATTTATTGATGTATATTACAGGAAAGAACAAGAAAATTAGGATCAAAGATAAAAGAGTTGGTTATATTACCTATATATTCTACATTACCATCGGATCAACAGGCCAAGATATTTGAACCAGCACCACCTGGTGGTAGAAAGGTAAGAGAGACAATTTGCTGTATTGCATCCATAAATTTATTGTGATATTTTCTTACTGTAGCCTGGTGTTACAATGAAAGATTGTTCAGTGAGTTTGAAATTTATCCCAGTTATCTTAAGGCCATACAAACAAACATATTCTAGTTCTCAGATATTTCTTACCCAAAATCTAAGGAAGGCTCACTACTACTCATAAACATCACATTTCAAGGCACTACATTTATATGTTGTTTATAGATTATCCAGTATCATTTATGACTGTCAGTAACATTTATCAGGGTTGTGTACTTCATGAATGAGTCTACACCACATTTCTGGATTCATTCCAAGTTTTTTTGTAGAGTTACTTTTTGTAACTAGGGTAAAACATTTACGTGCAGTAATTAATCAGAATGTTTTATTTTTTGAAATAAAAACAGGTCATTCAGCCCTTTTTAAATGACACAGGCAGGATACTTATTCGTTCGTTCGTGGTCCACTTCCACCTAGGGTGATATCGTAGACAAGGGGAGGATATTTATTTAATCATTGAGTGGCATTTAGCGATTGACCACATTAAAAACACAACACAGTTTATATGGAAATACAATCACTGGTTTTAGCCTATAGGCATAGCCTTTTTTTAGGATAACTATGTAGTGATATTTAAGCTACCGGTATACACAAAAAATATTCTGGTTATCAGACAATCTTTCAAAAAAAACGGATGCGTTGTAGAGTTTTGTTTTTGTTTTGTCAAAGGATCACTATGAGTGTGACTAAATAACTTGCTATAAACATCACATTTCAAGGTTCTATAATTATTTCATTATTTATTTTAACCATGCTGTTTACAGAAATTGACATTAATAATTACTAATTCTGTTTACTATCACTAAGAATTACATGTACATTAAGCTGAATACAGGTTCATTTGCAAGAAGTGTCAACTGGGTCCTACAGTTTTAGATAAGCACTGAATAATACTCTGTCCATCCTTCAGACATTCCTTTCTCATTACTAGTTTGCCAGATATTATGTATATATTGAAGAATTTCTATTTATGATTGTCCCGTGCCGTCAATGATTGGTAGTAACATCTATGAAGGTTGCGTACTTGATAATTGAGTCCAATTTCGTTATTTTTAAAGTGATGTGCTGGTATTTGAGAAACAGAATATTTATATGACCTTAAATGCTATATGATTGTAGCGATTATTATTTTTTTGTTTTTTTTCCATCGCATTTTTGGAAAAAGTACATATTCTACAGAATAAAACTCTATACTATCTGAAAGGTATTTAGTTTAAAAGGTGAATGAATATCTAAAACTTTAAAAATGATAACAGGAAGTGACATTTAATAATAGTGTAAAAGTATGTAATACCAAGGTTATGGACCCTCTAGAGGTCCCAATTTTTATCTGATTTTTGCATATCGGACCGTAGTTTCCTGGATTATGCCCCCTGATTGTACAAAAAATCGATTATTTCTTTGAGCTTATTCTCTGTTCATCTCTTGCAAAATGTGAGTGTATGTTGCTTGTTTAAAAAAAATGTCAAACTTTGAAATCGGGTAAAATGTTGATGGTAAACGATTAACTAAACCATTTGGTGCTTATTCTGAAAGTTTTACCACGGTCGATCTGTAAACATAAGTTATGTGCAATTTGTTTAACATAAACCAGGAAATTTTGCTTGCTGCCATTTTGAGAGATTTTAATAATCTTTTTTCCTTTAAGATTCTTGAAAAAAAAAAACAGGCCGAAAAAACATATTACCGGTAATCTACTAGTTGTTGAAATTAATGTATAAGTGTATGATCGAGAGTGGGTTGTATAAAAACTATCAAACCTGTTTCGAGGACAGGTCTAGTTGTTATTATTGTTGGTTATTTTTTCTATGCATGTATATTTGTTATTGTAGTTTGTTCTTTGTTCTTGTTATAGATACATAATGTTTGGGGGGGGGGGGTTGATGGCCGAATGGTTAGCACGTGCGCGCTGTATCATAAGGCCTGTCATTGAGTCAATTGGCGTGGTTTCGAGTAGGGTCACCTGTTCAGCCTCGCGGGTTTTCTCCGGGTCCTCCGTTTACCTCCCACTGCTAGTCTGTGTCGAGTAGACGTTAAACCCCATTTCTCCCTCTCTCTCACATAATATTTGTTATGTTGGTTATTCTTTCTATACATACATGTATATATTTGTTATTGTAGGTTATTCTTGTTAAACATGCATATTTGTTATGATTGTAGGTTATTCCTGCTATACATGTATATTTGTTATTCTTGTTAAACATGTATCATTTTTATAGGTTATTCTTGCAACTAATATAGCTGAAACATCATTAACTATTGATGGTATTATATATGTCATTGATCCAGGCTTCTGTAAACAAAAAAGTTATAATGCTAAAACAGGAATGGAATCTCTACAAGTTACACCTATATCTAAGGTAAGTACAACAAACAAATTTTTCTTAGCTGTGTGAACCACTCAAACGGGAAGTAGCGTCAGGTGTTCTAGAAAGTAAGAATATCCTGCCTTGTACATGGCACCTGTGGGTATGTATTGTCTGAAATCCAGTGCCATAATTTCAGGGAATACTGAATCTCAGTACATATAAGTTGCTGACAGAATTGTCATTGAGTGATACAGAAAACCTCATGTTGCAGTTTTGCCAGTACTGAAAAAAAGATTTGGTATGAGTGGAATCGTGATGTTGAATGGTCTAATTCATGTGCATGGGTTCAATCCCATGTTTGTACTTGTTTAACAGTAGGGTTGCCTGCAGTTTCCTCCAATTGCTGAAAGACCCCATCCCTGTGTCTTAAAGGCTTTAAAAGGCTATAATCTTTTGACACGTGATAGTATTTTTTTTACCCCTGCCTACATTGTATGTCTTAATGATCTTGTTTTCTGTAGGCATCAGCCAATCAAAGAGCTGGTCGAGCAGGTCGTGTCGCTGCTGGTAAATGTTTTAGACTGTATACAGCATGGGCGTACAAAAACGAACTGGAAGACAACACTATACCAGAGATACAGAGAACAAATCTAGGAAATGTTGTTCTGTTATTAAAGAGTTTAGGTTTGTATTTATAAATTTTATTTTATATCTGTAAAATATAAGGGTAATGTTAAAGTGGTCTACCTGTAGTAGTAATTGAGGTTTTTATAAAAACTTTTAGCAGAGTTGCGTGGTTTCGAATCCCCGGTTGTACGTGACAAGGAGTAGGGTCGCCTGTCCAACCACATGGGTTTTCTCCGGGTCCTCTGGTTTCCTCCCACTGCTAAAGACCCCTATGCGCAAGCGAATTATTGAAATAAAATAAAACCATATGTTAGTCCCGAAATGACCTAGTTTGTGTCGAGTGGACGTTAAACCCCATCTCCCTCCCTCCCTCCCTTTAGCAGAGTTATTGTCCCTGTTTTTAAATTATTCATATTCAGGCAATATTTGAAAGAAAGTTCCAGAATTAAATTATCTCAATCCCAAGAATAGTGACAATTGAGTAAAAAGGAAATTTCGAGTTACAGCGCATTTTTCGACTGAATAAGAAAATATCTCAACAACCATGACAGCTAAAACATATTCTTTGTGTTTTATTACGTCCCGATTCTACTCACACCACCTCCGTTGTCAGGACCGACAGAACTGTGACACGACTGATTTCTGCGTCACTTGATTTGCAATTCTGTCAATTCAGGATGTTTCAGACTGACAAGCTAGCATCCCCCATATGATGAAACATCACAGATTAACCAATGTGCACAAACTTGGTAATGTTTTTACATAAATATATACTCTTCTAAAAAAGTAGGGGATATTCAGAAACAATACAAAACTGCGGAAATGCACTGCTGTTTTTATTAGAGGTAACCAGTGTATATTAATAACAGGCCAATTGCCTACACATGAACATAAACAGTTCATATGGGTGGCTTATCTGACGGCCCCATTCCACTCGCAAAGAGATACACTGTCAAAAGTGAAAATGGACGTTTTTGATTTTTGTCTTAATAATGAGTAATTGCTCCACCAATCCTCAGACATTCAGCAATTTGTTGTGGCATGCTCCTAATCAACCGTCCAATCACGATTTGGGGGCAATCTGACCCACTCCTCTTGCAGTGCCACGGCCAATTCTTGCAGTGTTGTTGGTTGACGTTGACGTCGACGAACATGTCTCCCGATCAAATTAAATGTAACAAACTAAAGCAAAGATTCGCTAAACAGTAATTCGTATGCAAGAACCGATAAGAAAGCAAACATGGATAGGATAAACCAGCATGCGGCAGTTTTCATCAACCCTTCCTTGAAGTGTCAAATTTGACAATGAACCCCTCCAATGTGTATGGCGCTATTGCATGTCACATGTGCAGCTCAGTGGTTCTGTTGGGGGGATAAGTTCTTCATCTGTGAACATACTCTCAAAGCATGTCAAGTGTCCATGACTATTTATCATATCACAACCTGCATAGGTATTTGCATTTCAATATCCCCTACTCTTTTTTGAAGAGTATATATGCCAACTGATTTTTATAGATAGTAATTCTTATAATATGAAATATTTCAGGTATAAACGATTTGATTAATTTTGATTTCATGGATCCACCACCTCACGAGACATTAGTTTTAGCTTTAGAACAGCTGTATGCATTAGGTGCCTTAAATCATCGAGGTGAATTAACCAAATTAGGTCGACGTATGGCTGAATATCCTGTTGATCCAATGATGTCAAAAATGATTATTGCTGCTGAACAGTAAGTACATATTTTACATGATGCACTCAGAAATAATCATCAGTGATCCTTTGAATAAAACTAACTTCTCAATATTTATAAAACTTGTCCATCAATTTGTTACATGTTTGAATCAATTTGGTAGATTTTAATCTACTGAAATTTATAACATTTAATAATGTAATTGTAATTTAATCAACTACAGAGGTAAAAACCATTTTACTTTGAAGAAATTTTTATGTATTTGTATCACTTTACCAAATCTTAACAGTTTTTGTGGCTTCCCACACCCCCCTTTTGATGGTTTCTAAATTATTATCTCTTTGTGCCATATTTTGTATATATATATCTTCATTGTACTATGGTTGTCATTCTTTGCTTGATAAAGACGTTGAAATGTCACCAAATAAATCATTCAAGTAACTAGTATTCCATATAATTGTGTCATGTGTTTTTATCCAATTAAAGCCATGGATCGTCATTGCCTGTGACAAAATCGCATTTTTTCAGTTTATGCTTTAATGTACAGTCAAAATATCAAAATATCGGTGGTAGACAGTCCCCAAGTTTTAATTCAATTGGATTTAAAAGAGAACCATCAAAAGATTATACCCAACACTTTTATAGGTTAAGCTGGCTTGTTAGTATTGTCTGCAGAGAATGATGAACGTTGGAAAATTTTCATCATTGCTTTGTAAATACTCAATGGATTTAAACCATTTTTGGAGGAATATTCCTTTTAGAGATACAACATTCACAATATTGTTATTTGTCAGGCATTCAAAATCACCTGTAATCATGCTCAATTACTTTAATTATTGTTTGTTTATTAATTTTCACAGATATAAATGTTCTAAAGAGATAATCACGATAGCTGCCATGTTGTCTGTTAACAACGCCATATTTTATCGACCTAAAGATAAAATTGTTCATGCTGACACAGCTAGACAGAATTTCTTCCGTCCTGGTGGAGATCACCTGACTTTATTAAATGTGTACACCCAGTGGGAAGAAACCGATTATTCGACACAGTGGTGCTATGAAAACTTTATTCAACATAGATCTATGAAACGTGCTCGAGATGTGCGTGACCAATTAGAATCTCTGTTAGAAAGAACAGAAATAGAAATAACATCAGATGTTGGTAATACTGTTGGTATTCGTAAGGTACAATTCTTATTTTGATTAATCTAAATCTCACGACTATTCATTAATCCAATCCTGAACAGGAGTCATTGCTTCTCCTTTGTCAGACTAATTATCAATCCAATAAGAGTGATTAAAAACTTAATCTACCTTATTACCTCGTGGTTTCTCCGTCATCGAACATTTTAATCACCTTGATGTCAGCCGACAGCATGTAGAAACTAGTCATAGATGTCACATATCCTAATAGTGTATAACACCCAAAATCAATAGATAGTCATTTGTATATGATATCACTCCAGGACCGACCTACCTGGCGGTCATTATCAAGTTCAAAATGCTTCGATTCTTATCTACTGTCTAGTCCTTTACCAAGTGGGAACTTGACGATGCTGACACACCCATGTCCGCTAGTTCTACTTGAGTTCCGTGCCGTCAAACAATAATTTTTATCTGTAACCATTCATTTCGTAAGAATTGCCACATGGTCCCACCTGGCAACCCATTTGTCATTACACAATGTTTTAACCATTTTTCATTCACCGACAACAAAATATCCTGTACATATACCCAAAATATATCCAAACCAATTGATGACTATTATTAGTTATTAATAAACACCTTTAACTTATTTTCCATAATGAAACTATGTCATACAGAAATTCCCATCTACAGTAGGACATCCCCATTTATCAACTACCATATAAGGCATTTCATACTACGAAACTAGTAAAATGGTTGATTTTGGCGCGAAATAGCTGTAAAAGGTCACATACACCAATAACAGACATGATAATACACAGAAGTTGGTGATTAAACAACCAATGTAATTTTAAAATACCATTTTATAAAGAAGAAAACTATGTTTAAACATCACAAACTGTTCTTATCTCAAGCATTTCGATTTTGTTTTCTATTGCACAAACGAAAGCAGGTAATTTTTGTACTAATCATAACCATTATTCAGAACTCAATATGCTACATAACATAGAAATATTTCTAGTTGAAGTCCATTAAAGGGAATGGAAGCTATTGACCTTATTCCCTGGCTAGGACAGAGTCATCCAAATGCCATTCTGAATACTCAAACGAAAGCATTCTGTTTATGTCATATATCAATATTTTTATAAATTTTTGTAATTGATATTTTTCAGGCGATAACATCAGGTTATTTTTATCATACTGTTAGATTAAGTAAAGGTGGACAATATAAAACAGTTAAACATCAACAAACTGTCATGATACATCCTAATAGTTCATTATTTGAAGAGCATCCTCGGTGGATTATATATTTTGAATTGGTTTTTACAACAAAAGAATTTATGAGACAGGTGAGATAACTTTTACATTTAATTTAGTTACTATGGGCATTTACATTGTCTAAATTTACATTTGTTACTTTCTGGATTTAAATTAGTTACCATCTGCATTTACATTAGTTACTGTTGTCCATTGTCTACATTTACATTGGTTACAGTCTGCATTTACATTTACATTAGGTACTGTCTTGCTTTTTTTTTACATTAGGCACTGTCTTGCATTTTTTACATCAGTTACTGTTTACATTAACATTAGTAACAACTGCATTTTACATTAGAAATATTAATTATTTTCTGAATTATGTAAAAAATATTCATTATTGAATTATAGTTGTTTAGTGCCTCCACAGATATGTGTGAAGTTTTGTTGTGGTTATCATGAGAGAGAGAGTTTAAGTCCACTGACACAAACTAGGTCATTTCGGGACTAATACATGGTTGAATTTTATTTCAATGATTAGCTTGCACGTAGAAAACCCACCAGGTTGAACAGACGACCCTACTCCTTGTCAGTACAACTGTTGAATCGAAACCATGCCAGTTGACTCAATGACAGGCCTTATGATACAGTGCACACATGCTAACCGTTCGGCCACCCAACCCCCTGTGGTTATTATCGGTCAATAAGTGGAATAAGTAATAGGATTCAATAATCAATTGTATTAGCATGGCTCGATTAAAGTGGTGTGAAAGGATCATTTTGATTTTCTAGCAGAATTTTTAATGTATGATATTAGGAAATTGATCTTGAAGAAAAAGCTAAATAATGACATAAAATATAAATTCCGATTTTATTGTAGATATCTGTCCAGTAGATATTAGTCATTTTCCCTGATAGTCCACCAAATAAATGTTGATGGTATTGTGTGTTAATTTAAATCTAATTCTTGTTTTTCAGGTCATAGAAATTGAAAACTCTTGGTTAATGGAGGTGGCACCGCATTATTATAAAGCTCGGGAATTAGACGATGGCGCTACCAAAAAGATGCCGAAAAGAATTGGAAAATCTAAGAATGATTTAACTAGGACATACTAATAATATTATTAAGTTCATTAATCTGAACAGTTAATAATCAAAATTCTGTAATGATACATGATCACACTGAACAAAGTGAGATTTGTACCAATGCCTCTTTTTTTTGTTACTGGTAATTGCATCAAAATCTTACTGTGTAATTACCATACAGTTTGGGACAGCTAAAACTAAATTTTAAGCTTTGATCACATGTTGTGCAGATGATACTAGCTATGTCCCAAAGAGGTAGGAAGATCCACTGGTAAAAAGAAAACGCCTGCAAATTCTGGTGTAGTGGATGGGTCGAGTATGGACTAATTTTTGTATTGACTTGACCCTTATTATGGACTATGAGTTAATATTCAATGGCAATTTGGAAAGAATATAAATATCTAGCTACAACATGTTAATAAGCAGAGAATAGGTTTTGGTAAATATTCATGGTTTAGAGGCAGAAGGATAACAGAGTTAAGAGGTTGGTTATGGTGATATGTATGGCAGATAATTCTGTACATGATTTTACTATGCTACTTCAACTTTGTGTCTCAAAATTCCAGTGGTCAAAATCATGCAAGTTATGGAGCATTTGTTGCTCTATCTGTAGTGAAAAGCATTCAGCCCAACGAAAATTTGGGAAAAGGTTGGAGCTGGGTAAAGAGACCAGAATTAACATTGAAGTCAATGGCAAAATTAATGGTGGTCTGCACCAAATAGTCCATTGTAACTACCTGTGTAAACAAATATTCATTTATCATTTCATGTAATGTCAGATATAGTTATTTTCATCATATCACCTGATGTATATTGTTGATTGTGTGAAATAGGCTGGCAATAAAAATATTTGATCATTTGTCAATAAATTTTGGATGTAGATTTACCTTTATTGATTCATTCCCACATTATCTAATATCCTAAAGGGGCGCATCTTTACTGCCATTAAAAAGAACAGGTTATAAGTACTGGTATGCCCAAAGTGAACAAATGAAAAAATAGTTCATTAGGGATAATAAATGAGGCATCTGGAAGTACCGTATTGAGGATACAACCAAATGTTTAGAAGAGATGTAGAAGATAGTCAATAATAGCAGTGTTCAAATAATTTTTGATCTGCTTGTTAAATTTTCCCAACTTCAAGAGAAATTACTGTAATGGCTCCCTTACTATCATAAAATTGATATTTTTATGGTTAATAGTAATTTATATAATAGTCCATATGGGATATGGGTCATTTGTAATGAAGCGACAATGAACGAGGCTAATCATATCCCACAGAATACTACCGGTGTAGACTGGAATAACCAGACGCCAAAGAAATGTATTATAAATTACAGTAAAAACAGAAACCATTGAATGTAAATTAGTTTATAATTTATATACATTCATTTTAAGTGCGTTGCGACCCATTTGTGTCCATTTCCAGAATAGAAGTTTAGTTCCTTTATGTAGATTAGAACGATTCGGCCATTTAATGATTTAATTTAAAGATAGGTTGCCAAGCAACTAAACATACACCCACAGCAGCTAAATCGTCCAAGCAGTCGACAAGATTTGTCGTATATTTGTTCTTTTGTAGGTAATTAGGGGGCATTTAATGGACAATTTTATACAGATGACATTATAATTTTCGTCGTTTGAGGGTTCACAAGGTTCTAAAAACTAAAACAAGGGCTGTAACTCTGGAAGTAATCTACAGAAATTGTTGAAATTCGACAGACTTTTTCGTTTTACTAATTCAAATAATACATATCAATTTCATACAGATCGGATGATAACTTTTGTCGTTCGAACGTTCACAAGGTTCAACAAAGTAAAACAAGGGCCATAACTCTAGAAGTAATTGACAGAAATTGCTGACATTCAATAGGCTTCTTCATTTCACTAATTTAAATGATGCATATGAATTTCATACAGATTGGGTGATAACTTTTGTCATTCAAGCGTTCACAAGATTCAACAATGTGAAACAAGGGCCATAACTCTAGATGTAATTAACGGAAATTCGCTGAAACTCAATAGGCTTCTTCGTTTTACTAATTTAAACGATACCTATAAATTTCATACAGATTGGATAATAACTTTTGACGTTAAAGCATTCACAAGGTACAACAAAGTGAAAAAAAGACCATTACTCAAGGTGTAATTAACGGAAATTGTTGAAATTCAATAGGCATCTTCGTTGCACTAATTTAAATGATGCATATCAATTTCAAACAGATCGGATGATAACTGTTGTCATTCGAACGTCACAAGATTCAACAAAGTGAAACAAGGGTAATAACTCTAGATGTAATTAACGGAAATTGCTGAAATTCAATAGGCTTCTTTGTTTTACTAATTTAAATGATGCATATAAATTTCATACAGATCGGTTGATAACTTTTGTCGTTAGAGCGTTCACAAGAAGCAACAAAGTGAAACAAGGGCCATAACTCTAGATGTAATTAACGGAAATTGCTGAAATCCAATAAGCTTCTTTGTTTTACTAATCTAAATGATGCATATAAATTTCATACAGATCGGATAATAACTTTTGTCGTTAGAGCATTCACAAGGTACAAAAAAAGTGAAACAAGGGCCATAACTCACAGCGTAATTAACGGAAATTGCTCAAATTCAATAGGCTTCTTCGTTTCACTAATTTAAATGATGCATATCAATTTCAAACAGATCGGATGATAACTGTTGTCATTAGAGCGTTCACAAGATTCAACAAAGTGAAACAAGGGTAATAACTCTTGATGTAATTGTCGCATATTTATTCCTTTGTAGGTAATTGGGGGCCTTTACAAGACAGTTCCATACAGATTAGATTATAAATTTTGTCTTTTGAGGGTTCACAAGGTTCTACAAACTGAAACAAGGGTCTCAATTCTGGAAGTAATCTACAGAAATTGTTGAAATTTGACAGGCTTTTTCATTTTACTAATTTAAATAATGCATATAAATTTCACAATAAACAGGCTAGGCAGAAATCAGATGATCACTTTTGTCATTCAAACATTCACAAGGTTCACAATCGCCATAACTCTAGAAATTATTAACGGAAATTGCTGAAATTCAATAGGCTTCTTCATTTCACTAATTTAAATGATGCATATCAATTTCAAACAGATCGGATGATAACTGTTGTCATTAGAGCGTTCACAAGGTGCAACAAAGTGAAACAAGGGCCATAACTTCAGACAAAATTAACGGAAGTTATTGAAATTAAATAGGCTTCTTCATCTCACTAATGCAAACAACATATATCAATTTCAAAACAATCAGATGATAAATGTAGTCTGTAGAGTGTTCACAAGAAATTGTGGACGATGGACAGACGCACGGACAGACGCACGGACAGACGGACGGACGGGGGTGACGGCAATATACGACCACATTTCCATTGATTTCAATTTTTATTCTTAATCTCAGGTCATACCATTTATCCTCTCAAACTAGTAAAAAATTGCCCCACTGCTTTATAAATAAATATGGAAGCAGTGGGGCAATACCGATCATGTTGAATGAAAATCACCAGCTTTTGGTACTATTTGAGAGATGGAAAGTAGCATAATTAGATAAGCATCACACTTAAAAATTCCCTGACTTTAAGGAGTGGGTTATGGTTCAAATTATGACACTAGTCCCATTTGTCCACATTAACAACTGTAAAATAATTGTGAATTTTGATAGCTGTCTTCATCATGTCCTAATAATAGATGAATATACTAGGTCTTTCAATACACAATTTGCATAGTCATATGGGAATTTTTTGTAGTCGGACATGACCCGTTTTCACAAAATTGGGGTAACAAGGTAAATGTTAGCATATATTGAAGCTGATCAGAAAGATGACTGCTTGAGTGGATAAGATTTTCCAGTGGTAAAGCACAAATACCACTCTGAGTACTGATTAAAACAAACAATATTTGTTTATTAACTGTTTCTATTAAGTCTACAAGATATATAATATACATCCATACAATCAATAATATTATTATAATTAATCAATTTATGCAATAATATAAACAAGCTGTTACATATAATTTACACTAACAAAGACATATAATCTTATTTAATCTTCAACAAAACAGTTTATTAAATTCATAAAACAACCCAACATCATATATTTTCACTTATAAATCATGAAGATAAGAAAATTGTCCAAAATTATTATTTAGTGGTAGTATTCAAGCAATATCAATTGCAGGATTTTTTTTTTTATTCAATGAATATGCCATAAAATTTTATCAATTAAAAACCACATTCCAAACTATTTTAATCCAAACCAATATGGTTGAAATAAATATACAAGTGAAACAACAAAATTGGTCTTCCATTAAAACAAAACCATTTGTTCGTAGTCTCCAAACTTTTTTGAAATGTAACCTTATAAAATATTGCATGGCAATAGAGTTTAATGTAAACAATAAATATCATTTTCATATTAAAAATGGAAAATACCAATGACTTCTAATAATAAGTATTAATATTTAAATAACAGAATAGATAATATACATATTATATGTATATTACCGACAGTCAAATTTACTGTATAATTCAATCCGAAAGAAAATTATATTTCCAATCTGAAAATAAATAAAATATATATATGTATATATATATTGCAGAATAGTTTTACAAAAACTTTTGAATATTATTTAAAATATCCATCTGAAAGACTTTCATAAATATCTGAAACCTTCAAGTAATTGACATGAAATAAATTGCAGATTGATCAATTCAACCATACCCCTTGACATTATCAGGCATACATCAAATAAGATACATGAGATGAATACACTGTAATAATCTTATTCATCTACCAACATGTAAATGTAGCTTTTATCATATTTGTAACCATTGTAAATGTTAAATTTCTAGCTTATATAATAAGCAGTATGCATTACATAATAATAATATAAAAGCAAATTTCTCCTTTTTATTTCTTTAACTCTTTTATCATAAAAAGTTATGTTAAGTTTTTAAATATAATATCATACTAGATATATTTCATTACAAATCAAAAGCAACTTTTTTTTTTAAAAAGATGCATTATATAAGATTGAGATAAAAGAGCTGGCCATTCTTTCTATAATAATTTAAAAATAGATAAGATAATGATGAAAAATGAATATATTGAAAATTTCAGTCAAATTATATTATTCTGAGCTAAGTAATGCATGGTTGAAGTTTTGACAGGAAATAGCGTAAATAGTCTTGAATGTCAACTACCATTGCTACAATAAGTCTCGATTTTCCATTTCAATGAAGATATGGCAGACATAGTCTAATGCACTTAACATCTCAGCCATCTGATGTACTAATAGAGAGTTGATTATGGGCTTGCCATGTAAATAAATAATAATTCATATAACATTTGAAGCCAGAAAAAACCCCGCAATATGCAGATATAGCTCTTAAATAATGCATCTTTAAACTAGATAATAATGTATTTAATCAAAACATTTGATATTAAATATGGATAAATATTAGAACTATTTCACCCATTTTGAGACCAAATTTTTAATCATTTATTTAGAAATCAGATCTTTCTTGTTTTTAGATTCCTGCATGTGCACACTAAGTTAAACACATTGTTTTCCCTCCAAAACCTATAATCTGCCATTATTTAATTACGTTCTATCTCTAAACGTTAAATAATTACAAACTATACCATATAAATATCAATAGCTGTTACTGGCTCTTTGCATAATGAATGCATAATGAATGCATATTTCACAAAGTTTAAACACTCAATTAATAAAGAGTTTTGAAACAAGAGACATATTAGAAGCATAGCTTTCAGATAATTAATAATGCAATGAAATATAGGTAGAGAAAATTCTTACATCAATAATTTATAACTACAATAAAATTATCTTGACTTCTATTCCAAAACTAGTGAAGTATATTTTTTATAGTAAGAATGTGATTTTGTAAATTTCACATACCTACATTTTAGGACAGTTAATATACTAAACTATACAAAACTGTTATCGGTATGTTCATCAATATTGTCTAAAATTTAAAAAAAAAAACTGTTGCAATATCCCACCCTAGTTCACGCAACACATTTTTACAAACGATAGTCTACATGATCAACTGAAGGGTAAAACTGAAGTAGTGCAAATATAATTAGATGTATTAATATAACAAAGCTAATTACACATGTATAGTTACATATGAACTATTCACAATAATATATGAACAATCATAAAAAGAAAAAAAAAACATATATTAATACAGATAATGTAATAAAAAGTGAAAATTATACAATAATTATTAAAAGTGCTTATAATAAACAGAAAAAAATAAAAATGAAAGAAAAAATGAATCTTGTGCCATATAGAGTCTTCAACATTTTAATTCTGAACCAATACTAACAAAGTAAAACATGAAACACCTCAATGCTGTTTAGAGACTTGACCATTAAAAATTCATTCCATCTAAGCCTTTGAACCGTTACTCCAAATTTTGCTCTAATGGATGGAAAATAGGGTGGGGTCAGTAGTTAGGGTTTGTTTTTTTAATTTCTTTTTTATTATTAAATTAGATCGGACATATTGTGTGTGAAAATCCACATCGGTATCTGTCTTGAACATGAAACACAAATAGATTGGTTAATGGAGTTCTTGGATAATTGTTTAAAATTTATCGCAGGCTAGATTATGATTTAAATATTCTCTCTGGGGGCAAATGAACGCATTTTGATCATTCAATGCTAAAAAAACCCTACCATACGGAGGCTGTTTTGTTCAAGGGAAAGAACGTGCAGTGAAAAATTTAAAAATCATATTGTGCCATCGTAAGAGATTTAACTTATCTTGTTTTAAATACCAATCGAACAGATCCTATTCGTCTGTTTGAAATACATGTGCCTTGTTTTTGTCCAAGTGCGTGCCTTTATTTATTAAAACGAAAGTTGTGAGAGTTACAGCTTTTCAGAATGTACAGGGGTAAATTTATACGAAACCTGTAGCCTGTATTTTCACGTCAGTTAGCAATCTTGCTTGCGTCAACAGTATGGGAGTTTTTAATAATCGTACATTGTACCAAGACCATTTCCAATCGGTAAACGCAGACTCAAAGATGACATTTATATTCATTTATAACAACAAAAAATATATAGATATTTTCATGAATCCGGTAGGCTTAGAGTATTCTGAACGGTCGGTTGGAGAATATTTTTTTTTAAAGAGTCAACAGGTTTTGTAATGGGTCGGGAGTGTGACCGGAAACAGAACATTTTTTTTTTTGGAGGGGGGGGGGGGGGGGGGGGCTTACTGACTAAGGTATTTCAGGTTCAAATGTTTTGTCTTTTAATGCCAAGAGAATAAAAAGTGACCCATTTGCTATACAATAGTAAAGCTTAAATGAGATTTATTAAAATAATATGCCATTTTATTTGCGAGTTTGTCTATTACTCTGTAATTCTTCCATCATAAGTTTTTGAGCTAACTGCCTATCTTGTTCTTCTTGATGCTGTTTATATATTAACTCATCACCTCTTTCAAACTGAGCTTCTAAAGCTCTATGTAAAGTTGTTGTCTACAAAAAACAAAACAGTTTTAATTCTAGTTTTCAATTCAAGCTATATTATTTCTGACAGTTCAAAATGGTCACATAGGATAATTTATTTCTAGTCCATCTAACATAGTCATTCCTGTAGGTATGTATATACAAGTATCAACTTTTTTGTTTGTCCAAATATTGCTTACTAATCACCAGCAACCCCTGGTGAGTGTTATCAATTTATAAATGTAAATGATTTGTGGCTATATTGGTTAAATATAATCATTAGTGGTATATACCTGTTGTCTATGAGTAGATACTGATGTAGGTATAAGATTTAGATTGCAAGGAGCTTCCATTCTACTTATATCTGGCTGTTCTACAGGATCAGGTCTTTTACCCGTTTTCTGAGAAATAAAATATGTGCATGAATAATTATAATAGACAACATAAATACTTGTATATAGATGTATGCCATTAAAGACATAGTTTAAAGGAGCTAAATCGTCAATATTTGGGACCTAGAAATTGACACAAATCGGTCGTAACGCATATAATAATGTAATATGAATGTATATAAACTGATTTACATTCAATTGTTTCCGTTTTTCCTCTAATTTCAAATCAGTTCAGTTATGTTCTGCAAAATATGTCAGAAGTCTCAATCAAATGGCAATATCTAGCGTTGGGTTATTCCAGTCTACACCGATAGTATTTATTGCGCATGCTCTCCAGATGAGAATATGCCGTCACCGTTTGACATGACTCGTGGAATATGTCTAGCCTCGTTCTTCTAGTCCCTTGTTACAAATGACGCTGAAACGCATTATGGTACACGATTCGTGTACCAATGGTAAAATGTTTATTTTGTCTTCAATATTGAATATCAGAAGCCCATCTTTTCCCAGTAAGACCACAATATCAATGTTGATTTAAATTGACAAATAATTTGTGTTTTCAATGTCGAAGACTTTGGATGATATTGAGTTAGAGACTTAGCTACTTTAAACTAAAGAAAACAAGGAAAACATTAATGGAACTCAAATCTTTGTATTAGGGCAAAGAATGCAGGGTTGCAGGGACAGCTCTAAAGTTCCACTACAAAAGATAAAGCAGAAGTTGCTTTGTTTATTAATTGGCTTTGCCACTGAACATCAAATTTTGACAAACAAGTCAAAATATAAAATTGAACATAAACAGATATTAGACAAACTTTTATATTAAATCTTACCATAGAAATCTTTAGTTCTATTGCCTGAAGTTCGTATGCTAATCTTTCATCTGCTGTACTTGCACCAGTAGCATTCTGTTCTAATCGATTTAATTCTTGACGTATTTGATTGTTTCCATACGGTGCAGTAGTGCTAAAAAACAATATTATAATAGTTATGCTTCCGAGAAATATTACTAGCCTCGTTTGTCACACAATTAGTTTTTCTGCAACATTCTACTTTGAGCTACTTAATAGTTGACAATATATTTTTGCAAATTGTGACTTGATGTAGTCGCGATTGTCATTATACACTTTTACTTTAACATATTTAGAGCTCTGGTTTATCCTGATTGATTTGTTATACTGTAATGGATTGGTTGTTAACATGATTGTTAGCCAGTCATAAATTGCAACAGGAATCATCGGTCTGTCCAGCAGTGTGTCTCATGCAACCACACTAATTTTGAGACAAACATATATATTGCATTTTATTTTACTATAGTTATGTGTTGAGAATTTTGCCTCAACAGTGGCATTTCCCCTACTCTTTGTTGACTTCCAACTGTCAAGGGTTCTTTTATATGGACACTGAAGTATGCATGGGTGGTTCTCAGTTTTTGTCCCATCCTAACAACTACATGTACTAGGTACATGTACACATTCCTTGTCAGCCAGGCAAGTGACAAGTGATGGTTCCATTTGGCCAATGCCAGGATTTAAATCCAGGACACTGTAGAAAGATAGGTTGCCATGCAATAAAATATGTCCACAGCAGCTAAAACGTCCCAGCGGTCAACAAGGGCTGTCGTATATTTATACTTTTGTAGGAAACTGGGGGCATTTACAAGACAATTTCATACAGATCCGATTATAATTTTCATCGTTTAAGGGTTCAAAAAGTTATATACATTTGTAAATAGTCCAGTTATCTAGCTGAAAAAAGGGCCCAATCCAAAACAAACTGCAACAGAATTTCTTTTGGTGGTATGCATTTCAGTAAGATGCCCTGCACATCATACTAAAAATGTTCCAAAATGTTTTTAGTGGAAAGGGGTCATAAAATGCTAATTAAGTATTACTTATACAAAAAAAATCCAGACTAGTGTCCCGACCGCTTGACTACCAGAGTCTCACTACTACTTGTAATCAACTGACAAAGTACATTAGAGAAAGACCTCCTACATTTGCTCAATGTAAACAGAACAAATATACAAAACTATTTATCAAGGACTTTTTTAAAACTATAAACCCTGAGTTCTAATTCTCCAATGTGCTGGACATTATGAACATTTAATAAGCGCTTGAAAACATCATTCAGATGTAATGAAACTCTATAGAAGTTAAAACATAAAAATAATAATGTACGTACTGTCGATGCCATAAAGTATGTGGTTCTGAAGACCTAGTTTTAGGTCTTGGTACCAATACTTCAGTGGGTTCTCCCGGTAATTGATATCGACTAGGAGCAGGTGCACTCGCTGGATATGGGCGCTGCATTGGAGTTACTGCTGTAACAGGTGTCATCTTTGTTATTGCCTAAAAATAAACAAGGTATCTGAAATATTCTATGTACAATTTATCTTTCTGTACTTGAATTCAAATTATTTAATAGATGTGGTTACTTTAGTAATATTGAGAGAAATGAAGCAGAATTAACAAAGGTGAAATGATATCTGGATATGTTTACTGAATCAAGTGGAATTGTGAATTAGCATTCAATGACACTTCAGAATTTGTAATACATTTTAAACAGCCCCAGTTGGACAACAGATAATTCACATCTTATCTAAATCTGTGTATTATTTCATATATACCTCATCGGCTGTTACAATTACAGGATCACTATTCTTCATCTTTGATCTAGCCACTCGAGATATTGGACCAAATCTTGATACAATTGGTGGATCAAAAGGAATAAACTCATCTATATCATTACCAGAGAACCTAAACATAAAGTAAATTAGCTTATAAATAATTCTTCTTGTGTTCAAGTAATTTACCTTAAATAATAGTTTAATACAGTGTGGTGTAAAAATATAAAATACACCGATACACAGTGATGAGATTTCGCACCGTATATTCCGGACATGTCCGACGCTATTTTCCATATGTCCTAAATTGTCCGACCAGGAATATGCCTAATCGGACATCAAGACATGGTGAATAATATTCAAAATTCCAAAATTAATATAGTGTACAACTACCACTGATCAGAAGTCATTGCTTCTCCTTTGTCGGACTATATATCAATCCAATAAGTGTGATTATAAACTTAATCTAGGTGATTAACACGTGATTTCTCTATTGTCTGACGTTTCAATCTCGTTGATGTCGGCCGACAACACGTAGGAATTAGTCATATATGTTACATATCCTAATAGTATATAACACCACAAATCAATATACATTGTATCCGATAACTTGTCTGTGATATTTCTTTGGTGGAAGCCGAAGTTAAATAAAGCTATTTCACACACACGCATGGTGGTTATAGTACAATGACTGAAATGAAAGTAGAAATCTCGCGAGACACGTGAAATTAAAACATGTAAACGTGCCGAATCTCATGCGTCTGAAGTCGTAGAAGAGATTCTATTTTGATGGCATATTAACGGATTTATGATCATACTTTGAATGAGGTTTATGTTTTCAAATAAATAAACATGCTAAGAAATGTTGACGAATATTTCAATTGGAATAATTGAAGTAGTTAATTGTTTTAGATAATAACGCGTGCTAGAGTCGAATGCGATTATTAAGCAGTTGGTGTCACTCGCTCGTTGTGGTAGAGCAACGTTTACTGCCAAATAAATTTCGGGATGTCATTATTTTACCTTCCGTATATAAATTGAAACAGAGTTAAGACAAAGGCCGGACTTCTGCTAAAAAATGTATCGACTTATGACTAGTGATGATATCAAGTATCGATGCATTGCTGATGTTCCGTTTTATTTTGAATTATATAAAACACGCAGAAAAACGTATTTATAAGGTGTTTTTTTTATTCTAGTGGACGAACTTGTGAACTCCTCGGAGTCCTCGAACACATAAAGCTAATTATTAGTATTTTTTGCCGATGCATCGATAATACAAAAAATTACCGAGATTCGAATCGGCGTCAGCTGCATCGATGATGCATCGATTCGGCTGACGCCGATTCGAATCTTGGTGCTTTTTTGTATTATCGATGCATCGGCAAAAAATACTAATAATTAGCTTTATATGTCCGAGGAGTTCACAAGTTCGTCCACTAGAATAAAAAAACCACCTTTTAAATACGTTTTTCTGTGTGTTTTATATAATTTAAAATAAAACAATAACGGAACAATTCAATGAATCCCGCACGAATTATTAGGCTTGACCTGTTTACCCTACGCTCCCGTTATGTTTGTCTCCATTTTCCAGTGACTACAAAGACTGCGTTTGCTGGTTACGTCCCCTGGCTATCATGTCCTTTAACCCCAAGGTCAATTTCACGGTTCATTTAAATGACCAAACGAACTGTCAGAAGGATAATATTTCGCGGCCGGTTCTTAACGCTAGTTTTAAAACGATTCAGTCTTATTTTCTGCCACGGGCAATAGAGAATACACTTCATAAACCCCTATAGACAGGCTTTGATATGATCAGTATAAATAATGCAAACGCTGTCTCTTGTAATCACCTCACCCCTCACGCCTTCACAACAAATTTGAACAATGGCTAACGAGTGTCAATTGAAGTGAATCGGACGATATTAATGCCATAATAAATAACAGAGAGAGAGAGAAATGGGGTTTAACGTCCACTCGACACAAACTAGGTCATTTCGGAACTAACATATGGTTTAATTTTATTTCAATAATTCGCTTGCGCGTAGGGGTCTTTAGCAGTGGGAGGAAACCGGAGGACCTGGAGAAAACCCACGAAGTTCGACAGGCGACCCTACTCCTTGTCACGTACAACCGGGGATTCGAAACCACGCCAGTCGACTCAATGAGAGATTTTATGATACAGCGCGCGCACGCTAACCATTCAGCCATCCCCCCCCCCCCCCCATAATAAATAACAGAAGAATATTGTGGAAATAAATTTATTCAAATAAATCGACATTTCTATAGTAGGCCTAATGATAATGTTAGGGAAATTCATGTTTCTATCCGAAATACAAATGTTATTTCTGTAATTTTTGATTAACAAAAAGCCGGCAAAAAATTTCCCGATGCATCGATCCGAGAATCGATGTTTGCGTCCGATGCATCGATGCGTAAAATTTTACTTGATATCAGCACTACTTATGACCCGAAAAATACGGTAATTATGGAGGAATTTGAAACAGGTACGGATTGGCAGTAGTCAGCACGCATTCATTCTATGGTATTACGATGTCACATAATTTTGTAGGAATATTATTGACATAAATTTGAATACCGCAGGGGAATTAAATATGAAAAATAACGAGGTGCACCTATTTTCTTTATTATGTATGAATTTGAATATTTTGTTGAAACGTGATTCTTAATTGTGGTTAGAAAACGCCTGCTTAAATAACGATTAGGAGATAAACACCGACTGTTTAGAATTTAGAGGACTGTTATTGTCCATAGCGATCTCGGCCTCTAATGATTTAAGCGGTATCAAATGGACAATAACAGTCCGATAAATTCTAAACAGGTGTTTATCGATATTGTAGCCCAAAATATTTAACATTTTTCTTGGAATTTTTTCTTTCGAGATAGTTGACAGTCGTTTTTTGGTTTTAATGACGTAAATACCAAGGAAAACAATTTTGACGTAATGAAAATATCCGTGACGTAATAAGATAAACACTCATTGTGTCTGTTTGGAAAGGGAGGTCACTCTGCTATAATTTTAAAGATGGAAACAGAAATCGTAAGTGTATTTTATGTACTTTTTAAATGATTTTGAACTCCAGCAGTGACTAGGTTCGAAATAAATTGCATATCATGTTTGATAAATGTCCATACACTCGTGTGACCGTGTAGATATATGCTGTGTAGCGTACGCATGTGGTTGCTATGCTTGATTACGTTGTCATTTCGACGCTGTGAATGTGATGTTTTTTCTTCGCAAAAAACCCTGGCCTGTGTATCTGTATGAAAAGTAGTCTTTGTCCTATTCATATCAGTATCAGCCTGACTTGTATATTATTAAAAATATATTACGGTCCATACGGTGTTCAATAAATTGTAGTATTTTTATTCACTTGTTGAAAATCTTCGATTTTGACCAGTCTGATTATGATAGAATGACCATAGCAACCATTATTGTCAGACCATCCTTGAAATTAAATTTACTTATTATCTTTCAAATACACTCACTAACTTTTTTGTGTTTTTCAGGTGTGTGTTTCAATAAGCCAATGGTTGAATTTCATTTTTGATGACATACAAGAAAAAATTCATGAAGATTTCTTAGAATAATGTTTTGAGGAGTAGCACCCAGAAAATATTCATTCGCAGTGAGTGGCCCAGGAAATTTAGAGGACTGTTATACTCATTCGACGCCACTTTTCGACCAATCAGAATCCAAGAAATTTCCATTTTGGGCTACAATAAGAGTTATGCCCCTTTATTTTCGGGAAAAAATGTCGGACAAATTTTTTTTGGAAATCCCATCACTGCCCTTAAATGTGTTAAGAAATCAAATAATTTCACAAAAATTGCATTTGAAATATATATGTAAAATACATTTAAAGTTTGATTATTTTAGAACATATATTAAAAATTAAATAAATATACAATAATATACCTTCTATATTCTTCTTGCTTTGCTCTATGGAACCAGTCAAATAAATTAGTTCCACTATATTCACATTTCTTCTCCTCCTATAAATAATATTTACTATTATAATTTATAGAAGATTTTGCAATAAATTAAATTGAAGACAGTATTATTTTCATAAGGTAGATCATCAAGATAATAATATGTTTTTCTTCCAGACAATGACCCCTTGAAATTTGATGAGGAGTAGGCAGAAATGCTGCTACCTAGGCAAAATTTCCCTCCTGCCCCCTTTATGGCATAAATGCCTCTTCACTAGCCTGACTGGTGCGGAAAAGAGGGTGTTGAACCCCATTTCATTTCAAATTAACTTGCAAAATGCATATAGTGGCGCTTGAAAAAGTCACACAATCTTCCTTCTTAAACTTTGTTAATGTTGAAATGATAGGAGATAAACACTTCCTGTTACGTATTTGGAGGGGGTTTATTGTCCATTTAACCATGCTTGAATCATTAGAACATGAGACGCGATAGCGTCGAGTTGTTCTAATGGATAATTCAAGCATGGTTAAATGGACAATAAACCTCCGATAAATACGAAACAGGAACGTGTTTATAGATATTGTAGCTCAAATATTTGGGGATTTTCTTCGGAACTATTTAGGAAACATTTTTACACTCATTTTAAAACGTCATTATTTGGCCATCTGCATGCGTTCATTTTTCAAAATATTCTCAATAGATTTAGACCATCCTTGCTTTCCTGCAAATTTAAAATGCTTGAGTCTTGAGTTGCTGGTAAATGAATTATAAAAGAAAATGTTATTCATATATTGACAAAAAAAATATTTTTAACTTTTGAAAATTTTTAAAAGAATAGGAAATTAGTATTATTGCGGTATTTAGAGATGAGTGTCAGCATGATTGAAATAATTCTGGCCTGCTATCCGAGACTAAATTTAAAAGAGGAGTAACTCTTGGCAACAAAGATGACTTCACTTCGGGAGTTTCATGTAAGTTTTCAGCCTTTATTATTTTATTTTGCAGACTGATCTCACAATGTTGTAGTTAGTTCTTGTTCACACAATTGCAGTTCATACTTACATCCTCAAAAATACCATATAAATTTATGACAGTGATGTCTAGCCTAAGATGCTAGTAGTTGCTATGTAGTATACTGTTCTGACGTGTTGTCAATGATTAGGCCTATATTTCAGCTGCTATTTCCAAGTGATTTCTTGTGACTAATGACTTATTAATAGGTAGATCATGCTAGTCAAGACTTTGATCAAAGCATGATTTAAAAAAAATTCCACCTGATTAAGTAAAAATTGGTGAGTGAAGCTAGCCTAACATAAACAAAAAAGAAAACAAATTTGTCCATATTGTCATAAAAGATGATGTGATAGTCACGTGTGAAGAATTTCTTGAAAATATTTGCAAATAAAGATTTGAGTTGAGGAAGATCATTGAGCACAAAAATGAAAAAAAGTACACTGTTATATTTATACGCAGTAATTCGCCTTGATAATTGAGAGAGGGTTTAATATTCATTCGACCAAACTTTTCGACCAATCAGAATCGAGGCAATTTCTAATTTGTGCTATAATTGTGCAGTAAATCGCCTTGATAATTGAGAAGAGGTTTATTGCTCATTTGACCACACTTTTCGACCAATCAGAATCGAGGGAATTTCTAATTTGTGCTACAACTTGTGTTAACTGCTGTTGTCAAGTTGCGGTCTGATTCCGGTCACAAATAAACTATCCACAAGAAGAGAAGACGAGTCCTACCCATTCTTGCCTCTAAATAAAACTTACTTGTCTATCATGTTTCATTGCCTGGCTTGACCAATCAAAGCTTGACCATGGATCATAGTAACTCTCTCCATCAGCTTCTAAATCACCATCTAAAAAAACAAACCAAAAACCCAATTCAACCAATTGAAAGATTCTTTCAGAGGAATTTTCGAATAATTTTTACTTAAATCAAATGTAAGTAAATTAGTAATTAGTAACTGTACAAACCTGAAGAAGCACTACTGGTAGGTTGACTACTTTCTTCGGATTTAGACCATCCTGGAATTGGTATCTCTGGTAGCATATTTTGTACTGTAATATCCTGTAAAGTTCTGCAAATTGTCACAACCGGCTCACTCTTTAGTGAATTGTGAACTTCCAAAACGGGATTTACAGAAATGGGTGTTGTCCATGAAAATTCTCTTGGATCAGGTGCATCTTGCGGATTGCGACTTAGTTCTTTCTTCAAAATGGTGTAAGCTTTCTCTGTTTGGGTTAAACCATTTGAGACATTTGGACACTGGCTAGATCCGAAGGTACCAGAATTGGCTCCTCTGGAGAAGAAATGCTGTGGAATTCTTTCCCTTTTTTGTTTCATCTCCAAGTTATTTTGTGGTGAAGTATGACGAGAGGTAGCAATTTCTGTGGATTCTTGGTTAATTGGAGTCAGTTGGATATTACTGTGGATCTGTGAGAGTATCTCCTTACGACGGCACTTCAAGTCTTGTAGCGAATTATCCTAATAACGAGAAGAAATTACAGAACATTCATTAGAAGATGTTTTTGAGAAATTAAATAATTCTTCAAGCTTGGTGGGTCAGGTCCTCCTATACCTCCCAATTTACAGTATTTTCGTAACCTATGAGACAAGTAAAAGTTTTGAAGATATAGCCAAAGAAAGTTTACACATAAATGAATATAAGAAAAATAAAGGTTGACAGCAAACAGTCATAATACAGGATCAATTTTGAATGTACATTTGTTTTAGTCTGGACAGATATAAAAGGGCAGGTTATATGTGTAATCGTAAGTCAGATTTAACTTATAAATCTAAATTTGTAAATTCTTGGCACTGACTGATACAATTAATAATAGATTTTTGTTTTAATTGTTAAAACTGACTTTTGAAACACAAAACATATATACATTGTTTTCACCACTCTTGGAAACTCATCATCCCTTGCTCAACACATTAATTCTGGATGTTTGATAGAAAAAAAGGAATCTTCCTGTTGACTTTTGTGGTTGATTTACAATAAATAAGTTTGTTCTAATTGAAAACCGTAAGAGACAACAATAGATGCTTTTAATTTAATAAAGAGTCAGTATTTTCCAGTATCTAGTATCTCCAATGAAAGTCAGTAGCAAAACTAACACTTTCACCATCAAACCTCCTGAATCAAAATGTCAGCTAGAGACAATTTATTTCCCACTCCTTGTTCAAGCATTTTCAATAGCCTAGCATAATAGTAGTAAAATCACATCTATCAGGTAATTTAAGAGGCAAAAGTTATAAGTTTCTTGATCAAAGAACCAATTTTTAATTTAGTTTTGTTGAAAACCTTGAGAAAGTTGTTCACATGCTAGACTAGTAAAAATGCTGAAAAGATAAGCATTTTGATATTACTTTTGCAGTGGAGTATTCTAAATCAATCTTTTTTTCATACAATACATAGACCAAATTTATCTTAAATTTTTAAGAAATCAAAATGCTTAACTGATGGAGCTTTACTACTTCATAAATCATAACTAAATTATCTGTTTTACAAATTATGTTGATGACAAATCATACTAGTACACAACAATACCTTTCCGATCATACTTTTAGCCGCCGGGCTTCAACATATTTTTGAGATCCTGGGCTGCCATGGCAGCAAACCTTGTCGAAACTGAAACATTCTAGATACCACCTTTTATAAACTTGGCGCAGACCTGTGCTATCCCATTCTCATAATTCAGTCAGCACAGATTTTTACTCCAAATTACAGATTTCTCAACGTTTATAATTTTTTTTTTGATTATGTCAACTAATTTGTTTTTAACATATCAAAGTATACGACCAGAACAAATTTTTACTTACACGTACTGTATTTGGCAACAAGAGAACACAGGTCAATCGAAACATTTATCCCCATTAAATTGTTTTTGTTTAAATTAGAGCAGAAACCTGACTATGCGTTTAATAATTCAGCTTTCATACAGCATTCACTCAGTATCTCTGAATATCACACACACTATTCTAGCTTTAATATAAAGTAGGACAATAGCAACTGATGAAGGGACATTGTATTGAGCAATGCTATAATGGTGATAGGAAATGTGTACAAAATGTTTGAGATTCTCATTCTTTATACAACTTTTGCATCAGTAAAGTATCAGAATCTGACAATGGAATAGGCTGCAGGTAAGGCCTTTAGAAGTTTGGCCCTAGTTTCATCAGCATGCTACACATTGTACTTCAATGTCTGTTTTAATGGCAGTAAGTTACATTAAACACTAAGGAAACAGTGTTATTTTTGTATGTTTCCTTAGTAACACAATATATTTTCAATATGTATTGATGTAATTGTAATAGTCAGTCACAACAGTTTCGATATTCTCTTGTGTGAAATTCATGTTTAAAAAGCAAAATATATCTTCTGTCAAAATACAATACTGCAAATGTGTTAGTGTAGGGCTAGGAATGAATTCAAAATTCAGAAAAGACCACTTGAAATGCTATTAGATTGGCCAGTCGACTACAGGCATACAATAAGACACAGGATTTATCCATTGATAGCGTAGTTTTATGTGTTGTTTTATCGACCGAAACACTTCCGGAAGTATGTTCTAGTCTAGTAATATGTATGTAGGTGACCTATGGATAAAACTACTGCTAAATAAGTTTTAAAATTAAGAGGAACAGTAAATAACTAAAAGGCTTTTCCGTTAAAATTTAGTAATTGGAATTGGATCTACATGTATACATTTTCATGGGTAGGCATCTGAACAGTTAATGGATTTGATAATGGTAATAGGGCAGCTTTCATGATATAAGCTTATGATTACAAAGTCTCTGAACAGGTGTATTCATTTTATAAAGAAGAATTTGTCATCATTCAAGATCATTATTACATGTAGGACAGTCTCTGGACGTCAGTCGAGTGTTAAGATTCTGTCATTATTTTCCCTAAGTTTTGAGTCAGAGACTGAAGCTTTCTTGTCATCCTACTAACTTGTTTTTTGGATAGAATTTGTAATTGTCAAAAGTTATCGGCAAATCCAACCCTTATTAATAAAGGCAAAATTGATGAACTGGGCAGTATGGAAGGCAATGCAAATAGTATAGATGCCTTAATAATTTAGCCTCCCCTCCCCTACTCCCCAAAAATATGTCTTTAAAAATATTATGGAAAATTACTTGTGACAGATTCATTTCATTATGTTACATATCAATAGATCATTGATTTATAGAGGGTTTTACGTTAACATCATAATTTTATGAATATTTCCTATCCGTTAAAATATTAGCTAAATACAAAAATAGAAGGGCCACCAGTGACCAATCAATGTTTTGCACTAGGCCCCATCAATGTAAAATTTGAAAGCAGCCTTGTTGATTAAGAAACCGATTTGCTCAATGTAATCTGAAAGGCTACAGAGTATGAAAAGTCAATATGTAAGTGTTGGACCTATTCAAAACTTTAACCAAAACATCCAAAACGTGACAAGGGTTTTTATCAAAATGATTTTATTACTAGTGGGCGTCTATAGTATATGTACAGTCTTATTTATGGACATATTTAAATATTAAGAAACTATATTTGGTAATAATATATGATAAAAAATATATTCCTAGAGTAAACATGAATATATGTACAGAAATTTTAAAATAGAGCATGACTAAAAAATACTCATGATTAATACAGAAATTCTAATCTTTACTAAAATCATCAATGAAAAACAATTATACTTTTAAGGCACCCCAAATTTCTTTCTTCATTAAATTGGGTATTTAATAATGGTATGAAATTAATCAATTAATAAGCACTATAAGTGTTTTGTTTTTTTATACAGTAGCACTAGGTCATCAAATTAAAACCATTTTGAAAAAGAGTATTAGATTCTACATATATCAATATTGAAATTTCAAAGTCAACACAAAAATTCTAACTTTTCTCAATTCTCACAGAGTTGTACATTTTTATTTCCCATTTTAAGGAAAAATTACACAGTATGAAATTTTCATTACCAATGATTATCTTAATATTACATTTATTACTTTTTAATCTAACAAAAATCTATGTTAAAATTGAATCATGTCTATTTTGAATTTTGTTCATCTGACAAATTAATATCTTTTAAGTGTGTTTTTCTTAATCCTTGTTTTGGTTTTTTTTGTGTGTTTTTGACCCATCCAAGCCATAATGTAAAGAACTGAAATTCATTTTAAAAGCATTACTGAAGAAAAACTAATTATTTTACTATGTTAAAACCCAAAGGAATGGTGTTTAATTACTGCATAGAAATATAAACAAATGAGTGCAGTCTAATGAGAACACATCCATTGCTTCACCACCTGAAAAAAGTACACAACCTGAAAAGTTTTGCTCAATTCTATTTGCTCTATTCCTTCTTAACTGTGAGTATCCCTTTTAAATTATATGTTATAACACCTGTGATGTCTTTGACAAACAAAACTTCTGTTTGCCAAAGAAAATTGTAACATTTCACTGGCATCTATAACAAGACACCTTTTGCATTTAAATATAGTTCAGTCAAAAAGATGGAAAGTAGTTTGATGAGAGTAGGTGTTTGTTTTTCTTTCCGTCAATTTTTATACCAGATGGGTCAAAAACCATATTTATACCTTAATTATGCACATGTCTTCCACCTGTAACATGTAGGTTATTGTATGTGAACATGACACTATTCAATTTATGATACTTATCTTAAACCCAATAATGAATGCAATAGCAAAAGATAATGTAAGCTTATACATGTATATTGATAAATAAAATCTTATTTACAAATATACAGCAGTAATATATAAATCAGATAAAAACAAATGCTACAACTAGAAAGCAAAATGAATATGGTTGTTTTTTTTTTTATTTTATCACAGATAAATATAATTAGAGCAAGAATGTTCTGAAAAAAAATAAAATTTATAATCGAACAAAAGCTTCAAATCAGTTAAATTCTTTAAAAAAAATATTAGAAGGAAGAAAGACCTTCATATACACACATACATGTATTTGATAAAAATGAGTTTGTTATGTATTAGATAACAATTTGGTTTGTCAATTCCATTTTGCTTTCTTCTGGCTAGTATAGTTTTAATTTTCAATAATATATCTCTTCTAATGAGCAACACTATCGTTATCTATTTTAGTTTCTCTTAAAGAATCGGTAACACTTTCCATAATTTCATTACTCTTATCTATCACTGTTTTATTTGTAACAGTATCATCATATTCACATAATTCAGTGAATGTGACCTCATTGTTATTGAGTTCATATTCTGTGTCAACTACATTTGTAGAAGGAGATAGCGTATGAATAATGCTAGGGTCAGATATATAAATAATAGAAGTTCCGTTAGATGATGGTAGAATGTTCGGCTGTGCCGCAATGTGATAACACGTCGGTAAGGGTGTATACACAATGCAGTTTCCAAAGTTCTGAAAGAAATATATGCACATGTTTACATATTTAAAATTGCCACAAGTCGCTCGTTTTATTCATGTTTGCCAGCCTGTGAAAATTCATGTTTGCTTGATCTTTTGTATACCTAAATTCCAGGAATTGTCATTTGAAATTTTACAAATTTATTGAATGAATAATTAAATCAACATAGAATTTTCCCAGTCTGAAAAACACAGAAATGTACATTACATATGTAATACTACCACATTTCAAAATGTGGCATGACAAATTTTTGACCTCTTACTCAATCGAACTCACACTGTCAAATCAACTCAAACTTACAAATTATTTCAGCACACCCAATTCGTATTCACACATAATTCTTATTCATACATAATCTTTATTTACATACAAGTACTTTCATAACTCATAACCTAAGAATAGTTTCTAATAGTTTTTATATATATATATATACATGTAAATGTCATGCTATCAAATAGACTGAGGCCTATTTTGAAAACCCCCAAAAACATAAGTATTTGTTTTTGCATCACAACATTCAAAAACATGTGATTGGCAGTTAATATACACTTATAGAGTATAAGAGTCAACCTAGATATTCATATGAAAACTTAATTTTACTTTTGATAAACCTTAGTTTTAAGGTAATAGATTTTCTTTTAAGTTGTGGAATTTAGTTTTGTTTTTTAAAGGAAGAAAATCTAGGTTCATTCTCATTACATGATATGAAATATTTAAGTTTATACAATATATATTCTCTGTTTTTAACATTCTTAGGAACACTTTCAATCAAATAACAGCAGTGCATAAACTTTTTTTTAGACTATTTTCAATTAGCACATAGAACTTATGACATTTTAAAAATGATTTAAACTTTTCTTTAAATCCATGCTTAGAAAGTATTCATATTTAAAAACAATATTAGAAAAAAGTTTGTGCACCACTGCAAAACAACACCCAACTGTGTAAATATAATGATATTTTATTTATCAAATTTATTTGTCTTTCATACTACAGTGTCGATCTTAACCCTGAAAAATACCTACCTAGAGAGATAAACTGACAAGATATATATGTTCTTACCTGACTTGTAAACTGTTCTTGTATAGTAGGTGGTTGTACAGGATCAATGGTTACAGGCTGTGGAGCTGGTGGCAGTTGATAACTGTATTTATCCCGATAAAAACTAGATGCCGGGTTTAACATCCTATTTGAGTTATCTGGGCATGGGAAAGGTGATTGCTGATGAACCCAAGGTTCTGGATATGTTGGGCAAGGTGTTTGTCCATCACACATATAGCCATGGTAAATATGAGAGCATGCAGACGACTGTTGATCAGGGTTATATTGCATTGCTGGAGGGTAAGATGGTGTTGGATATCTAGCTGCTGCACCTGTAGGTGTTGGTCGTGCATTACTTAAATTATAAGGCTGATTAACCACATGTGGAACAGGGTGGAGATTTGGTGGTGGCATGGGAGGAACATGATGGAAGGATGGTGTTTGATTTACAGAAGCATGAGGGGTTGGAGTGTGACCTACATGAGCATGAGGAATCATGGGGATCATAGGCTGATTCACACCAACTTGTGGAAGTAATGGCTGACTCATTCTATTTTGAGGAATCAGGGGCTGACCTATACGATTTTGATGAATTAGAGGCTGACTCATAGCAGATTGGGGAACAATTGGCTGACCCATCTGAGAAGGAATAACTGATGGTTGGCTTATTGAAGCATGAGAAATTGGATGTTGTTCACCAGTTGTAGAGTAATAAACCACTGCAAAATAAAAGAAATAAATGAATTACTGTCAAATCATGTCAGAAATTATTGTTAAATGTGACTTTGGGATGCTAAATTGTTTGTTAAGAAAGTACCAACTTATTTGATAGCAATCTGGTGGTACAGAATTGAGTCCTGTAACAGTTCTGCCAGAGTCGAAGTGGTACAAACAGAATTGTGACATAATCAAGCATTTTAGCTAGTTGAGATGGCATCCTAATCGGCGGGTGCATGCCTTTTGCCAGACATTATCATCTTTAGTCGATTGACACAGACATTATCATCTTTAGTCAATTGACACCTTTTTTGAGGGATTGAGAGAATGGAAATGTTCAATGTATTGCCAGGTGCATGCATTATTTCAATACCTAATGAATAGCTCCAAACCCTCAGTCAATATAGCAGAGAGCAGACACATAAATTATCTGAACATGTTTTATGACCTTAAATTGTCTATTTTATAGCTCTATTATGGGTGTCATGATAAAAAAAAAAAAACTGGAAACATTTAGGATCTTTGAGTTTACAGATTTCCTGAGAAAATTCGGAGCAGAAGATCTAAAATTTTGAAACATTTCTGAAACTACATGTAGCTGACTGAACTAATACAATTCAAAGTGACTTACCATCTGACTGTCGAGAGAATGAAGATCTCTGGGGAGTACCATGTAGACCTGATACCACCATATTAGATGATACAGATGTAATAGATGACGTAGCAGCTACAGATGATGTAGTAGTTACAGATATAGCTGCATTTGTGGTTAAACTAACAACACTAGTAGTAGTTGGTACCATCATGGGTTTTACTATATTCATCATAGGTAAACTACAAAATATTACATAACACTATCTAAGATTGTATGTATTATTCATTTGTTGAAACTTGTCTTATTGTATCTTCACACCTATTGAATACACATGATGAAGGCTATAGCAACTTCTAGAGAAACCAGTCCAAGTTGCTAACGTAACACTTGTCAACACATCTATATAGTTAGTTGGGTTTTTTTTAAACCAAGAAGATTTGTTTAATAGTTCTACACAACTGGTAGCCGGTCTCCTCAAGCAATGTAAGGAGTGCTTCTTATGTGCTGATCTAATCTCTAACATTGAGAGACTTAAAACTTAAACGTCCAGTAGATTCTACAATTAAACAGCATGGCTTTGTTATTTTTTGTAAATGGACAGCTAACTATCGACAGATACAAGCTGAAATGGAATCTCCCTCAAATAAGTCATGTGACAAAACAACCTTCTTAAAATAGATTCTTGTGTCACAGGTAGTTTTCTTGTAATTGAAATGTCTTCGCAGGCATTCAAAGCAAAATTTGAATGATAATTTAGATTGAAAATGTTTATAAGAAAAAGTACATAACACAGTTTGTATGAAGGAAGGCATCTTTGAATACTATTCACAAATCATGTCTCACCCCTCAACTGAATAGTTAATACAGGAAAAAAAGTTGCTCATGAATGCATCCATTCAACTGAGAGAGACCTTACACAATGAATGTATACTTAAATACATAATTTCTCAAATTTATTGGTCCATTGTAAATAACAACTGTTGTGTGACAGCTTATTTTGCTTCCATTCTACACAAATACAATATAGTAATAAAAGTCTAGAATAGAGGTGAATATTGGAGTCTATTGGTACTATTATTGATTAAAGAATGAAAAATATTTGCCACCATCCTCAGGCCCCCTTTTTCTGTGACTGTCCCACACTGTCTCACCATGCCATTGCTAAAGAGGATATAATAAAATATCTTAAACGCACCTTTTTACAGCAGTACCATCTGTCTTCTGTGGTGTAACAGGTGATCCAACTCCTCTACTATCTAACTTATCATCGGTTGTTTTATTCACCAAAGCTAACTCTTCTTTCTCTTTAGGTGTCAAACCAGCAAACGTTGGCACTAATGATGGGTAAAGTTTAACTCCAAATTTCTTCTTCGCTCTAAATCTAATATCAAAAGGTACATCCATAAAAGGTTACTGTTTATAATCAAAGCAAATAGACACCTCAAATACCTCTTTATCAGTTTGCATGGTCTTAATTAGCAAACAATGTTAACATTGACAAACTTTGTCAAAAACAATTTGGATTTTAATTCCTGGAAGATCCTTCACATGTAGCACAGGGCTGCCGACAACCAGCATCACAGCGCAATTTGTGATACCGGTACATAGTTTGTCCGTTGCTAATCAAAATTAAAATCTAACGGTTTTGATTCGCAGTAACTGCGAATCATTAATATGCCTGTCATTTTGGATACTGACACAAAGATTTATCCACATTTTGAAGACTAGAAGGCTTTCTAAACATTTTCAACGTGTATAAAATGTCAAATAAAATTTTATAAACAAAACTGAATTCTCGATGTGACATTTTCTTCTCGAACTACCCAGACACAATTCATTATACTATATAATACAGAGACATAACTCTGTGAATAGGGACTACTAAACCGGAAATAGGGAATCAAGTAGTATACCACTCGTTTTGCAAGAAATGTCAATTTAGAATAAATACAGTGTATCAACCATGACCTCAGGTATTGTAAATAAGATAGGCTGCCATGCATCAAAACATACGTCCACAGCAGCTAAATCGTCCGAGCGGTCGACAAAGGTTGTCGCATATTTATTCCTTTGTAGGTAATTGGGGGCCTTTACAAGACAGTTCCATACAGATTAGATTATAAATTTTGTCTTTTGAGGGTTCACAAGGTTCTACAAACTGAAACAAGGGTCTCAATTCTGGAAGTAATCTACAGAAATTGTTGAAATTTGACAGGCTTTTTCATTTTACTAATTTAAATAATGCATATAAATTTCACAATAAACAGGCTAGGCAGAAATCAGATGATCACTTTTGTCATTCAAACGTTCACAAGGTTCACAATCGCCATAACTCTAGAAATTATTAACGGAAATTGCTGAAATTCAATAGGCTTCTTCATTTCACTAATTTAAATGATGCACATCAATTTCAAACAGATCGGATGATAACTGTTGTCATTAGAGCGTTCACAAGAATCAACAAAGTGAAACAAGGGCCATAACTCTAGATGTTATTAATGGAAATTTCTGAAATTCAATAGGGTTCTTTGTTTTACTAATTTAAATGATGCATATAAATTTCATACAGATCGGATAATAACTTTTGTCGTTAGAGCATTTACAAGGTAAAACAAAGTGAAACAAGGGCCATAACTCACGGCGTAATTAACGGAAATTTTTGAAATTCAATAGCCTTCTTCATTTCACTAATTTAAATGATGCATATCAATTTCAAACAGATTGGATGATAACTGTTGTCATTAGAGCGTTCACAAGATTCAACAAAGTGAAACAAGGGCCATAACTCTAGATGTAATTAACGGAAATTGATGAAATTCAATAGGGTTCTTTGTTTTACTAGATGTAATTAACAGAAATTGCTGAAATTCAATAGGATTCTTCTCTTGACTAATTTCAATGCTGCATGTAAATTTCATACAGATCGGCAGATAACTTTTGATGTTAGAGCGTTCCCAAGGTGCAACAAAGTGAAACAAGGGTCATAACTCTAGAAGTAATTGACGAAACCTGCTGAAATAGGCCTCTTCATTTCACTAATTTAAATCATGCATAAAAATTTCACAAAGATCGGGTGATAACTTTGGTGTTAGAACGTTCAATAAAGTGAAACAAGAGCCATAACTCTAGACGTAATAAACGGAAATTGCTGAAATTCAATAGGCTTCTTCGTTTCACTAATCTAAATAACGCATATAAATTTCACAAAGATCGGATGATAACTTTAGGTGTTCAAGCATTCACAAGGTTCAATAAAGTGAAACAAGGGCTATAACTCTAGATGTAATAAACGGAAATTGCTGAAATTCAATAGGCTTCTTCGTTTTACTAATTTAAATAATGCATACAAATTTCACAAAGATCGGATGATAACTTTTGGTGTTCAAGGTTCAATAAAGTGAAACATGGGCCATAACTCTAGACGTAATAAACGGAAATTGCTGAAATTTTATAGGCTTCTTCGTTTCACTAATTTAAATAATGCATATAAATTTCACAATAAACAGGCTAGACAGAAATCAAACCGCTTAGTTCTTGGTTCATAGTGGATCAATTTGAATGAAATTTTCAGCAAATTGCCTTTACATTATCTAGTTTAAGTTTTTAACTATTATAGTGAGAACTGACAACTCGTTATCGAATCACCCATAATGTATCTTTAGTTTCATTTTATTGAAGCTCCTTTATTTCTTATACGAGTATTTTTCGCCAGCCCTAGAGTCAGGCTAATAGATTTTTACAACACTGGGTTGAAGACAATCACAGTCTATACACTCAAGACTACTGGGTTTTTTTTTGGGGGGGGGGGGTCATTTGGGTATGATTTATTGTCAAATTTCAAAATAGTTGTTGAGTTTTTTCTATGCAATAGATCTTATTTTCAGTTACCATTTGAGAATACGACACATCAGAATGACAAATTTAAGTGTAAATAAATGTAGGAAATAAATACCTTTCTAGTTCATCTTCAGAATGAGCAAATGTACAATTGGCACCTCTAGGACATGATTTATTCATACTAAAATCTCGACACATACTGGTTTTATAGCGTACATTTTGGGCTGCCTGGTTCAAATCAGACTTTTTATGACTATGATTGTTTAGGTAATTAATCAACCCCTGCACAACAGTTTTAAGAGCTCTCAAAATAGCATCCAAGTTTTCCCATGATGGTACTTGTTTATCTGGAATAGAAATGAAAAACTAGTATAGGTAAGACTTCAAGTTCATTTCTAGACACCTAGCAGAACACATGGCTTCTCAAAACTTTTTGGTTAAAGTAATAAGGAAATAAATTAGGACATGAAAATGACAACGGATTTCACAGAATGCTGTAGTACTCCGATGTCAGGTCAGAAGTGACAAAGTCCACTGTATAAAGATTTCCATCTTTACCTACCTTGACTTGACTCAACTTGTATCTTAGCCAGAAAGTCTAGATGAGGATGTAATGACTGTAATTGTCCAGGATCATTTGTTCTCTGTAAGGCAATCATCAACTCATTTATACTCTGAGAAAATGACTGGGGTGACTGTAACTGAAAAATAACCACCAAAACTGGTAATAAAATATTTCAAAGATTTCATTTTGAAAACACATTTAAAGGGGCAGTTTTCCAGATTTAAGGTTATCTGCTGATAAAGAACTTTTTAATAAATGGTCAAACAATGAAGATATAGCCCAATAACATTGAAGTCAAACTAGTGATGCGTTAAGCAAATATTTACTTAATAAACCATTAATATAACCAATCTCAGTGTATGAGACACTTGAAACTTGCTGCAAATAGTTATTGAAAACTTGATTCTTTACAAGAAAACTTGATTCTTTACAAGAAAATTTGCGAAAATTATACATAAGCTTATCATAGTCATAGTAACATATTGGTATTGTACCTTGTCTATTATAGACTGCATATGTGATTTATGACCAGAATCACCATATAATAAGGAAGACCATTGTTCTGGTGATATACGTAAACCTGCTTCCATAGCAATTTGTACTATCTGAGAATCATGTTCTCTTCGTAAAGCTTCATAAGTTCTGAATTCTTCTTTCAACTGCATTAGCGATGATGTTTCATCTCTCTTGGTCACCTGAAAGGTATACACATAATGTAAGATGTTTATTTAGTGATAAATTAAGTATTTCCATACACTTTAAAATAAAAATATGTCAACATTAATCCACAGGTAGGTAATTTATTTCATTTCAACCATACTTTGTTTCAGAAAATGATACCGTAATTCATTTACCAAATATACTGCTTTTAAGATTCTTGTTCTATGATTGTGTGCCTAGTAAATGATTATACGTAAAACTAACCTTAAAACAGGAGGCCCTATATAACAGTTGAACAACATGTCCAATAGCTGTTTTAGAGGCTTGAATAAACGTAGCTTCTAGTCTCTGCACCACAAATAAAACTAAAACTTTTCTTGCTAATGCAGAGCCATCTTCTAATGCTAGTAGAATTAACTTTAGAACTTCTGCTTGCATTTCTGAAATAGAAATTGTCTCATAACATTGCTAGTGCATGGGGCTTTTCTTTAACCAAAAATTTGACAACCTGTTTATAAAAGTATAATCAAACAGTTAAATTTACTTACCAGGACCAAGAAATTGACATCCCCTGGCTCTAACAGCTGCCCATAAATTAGCAGATAGTTGTTGAGGATTCTGGTGCTGAAGAATTAATTCAGCAACAGTTCTCTCCCCTAATGATCTAGCTGCACGCATAGCGCGAGCTCTTCCTTCCTCTTCTACTAGCTGACAGTTAATTAATGTTACTAATTTACGCTGCATTGGTCGACTTAGAATAGAATTTGATGAGGCTCCTTGATGCAAGGTGTTACTATTTTGGGACAGTTGAGATGTTTCATCTTCATTATCTGATTCATCATCTGAAAAATATCAATTGCAATACCTGTACTTCAACTCTTTGACTACATAAAAACAACAAATCCACAGCTTTTATAATAGTACATCAGAAATCGTTTCTGAATAAATTTAAAGAGAATCTGACGATAACTTAATCCTGTAGAGCATCCACAAACAATTGTGTACGGTACGACAACCTCTTAATTCGATTTTCCAAATGTCAAGGGTTCTTTTACGTACATGCCAAAATGTACACAGTTTTTCATCCCATTCAAATGACTAGATACAGTTCAATCCACAATTATACAGGTAACAAGTTTCCAACTGCAAGGTAAAAGGCTGTCCTCGCTATTTCAGGGATGCAAAAAGTGTTTGATTATCAGATCACATGATAATTTTCAATATCAAACCACAAAATAAGGCAACTGGAATCATTTATAATAACGTTTTTCATTTTCAATTAATAATTTAATTATCTAACACTAATTATTACCTGAATAAGACTTCATATTTACAGCTAATTCTTCAATGCATTTCTTACACGCTTCATAATGTGAGTTTTCTTTCACCACAGCAGATTGTGTTCGTTCTTCTTCTGGTATAGTAGCTCCCACAAGCTGTAGCAAAGCATAATTTACTGGTAACTCATCTACTGTTTTTGTGATAACACCTTGGTCATACGGACATTTCATATTCTGTAGGTTCACAAGACATATTCGACATACTGTATGACCACATCCCAAACTGATAGGTTTTTTGTCCTTGTCATTAAATACTTTACTACACAGAGGACAGGAGAGAAATTCCTTCAACTGTGGCATTTGTGCAGGCATATTGTTGACCTAATACTTCAAAGTTACAGCTCAAAATAAAAGAGCAATTAACTGAAACAAAATTTGAAGAGAGAATTTAAATTCCGAGTAAGAAGAGAACAGAACTTAAAGAGTTGGATTAAAATTTGATACACACGATATAGCTGATAGTGATGATACACAGTATTATTACCGGTACTGAACTGTCCATTTTTACTGGCTGAATATAAGATTGGTGTATGACAGCTTACAAGTTACATGAATTGATAAAAGTGTACTTTCACTTATCAGCTGACTGAGCTGCATGACGTAAAATTTGTGAAGTCATAGGACAACCCATCATAGTACTTAAGTAGAGACAACATTATCTGAATGAACGAATGTCGTCTTATTCTTTTCATCAACCTGTCAGTTCCCTTTGAGCGTCAACAATGACAGTAATATTTGTAAATATAAAAAAAAAAGCAGTCGACAAACTGGTTACATGCGGTTGGCTCAGCTTCAGACTTGATTTTCTAAAAATAGCCATTAATTTATTATCTAGGCATTCTTTTCAGTCTCGTTTCCAATCGAAAAAGCTCCCGTACTCACCTGTTTGTTACAATTTCTCATCAAATATGATGAATAAATCTTCATGAAATTCACTCCAAAATATCTGAAATGAAGACCAAAAAGTATGACATAGTCATAAATTGAATTTCAAATGAAATTTAGATGAATTAAGCCTCCCAAAATGGAGACATGCTATAGCGAAATGTTCGCCATTATACAACGCAAGTTTTCCACTGTCGGCGCGCGCACTCCATTTGTTTTGACCCAGGGTTTTTGATCACGTGATTTTAAATGACATGAACTGAAATGGGGTTTAACGTCCAACACTGTTCTGCTCCGACAGGGCTGATAAAGACGGACGTCATTTTAAAGGGAGAGGTCGTTGCATCCGTCTAATATCGGACTGTGATCATCACATTAATTAAATGAAAAAGAAAAAAAGGTGCATTTAATAATTAGCAGGCCTATATCAAATTTGAATAATTTTATAATCAAAACATTACTCATGTAAATATATGTAGGCTACCGTACTAGTAAACATAGATACATGTATTTATAATTTAAATATTTTATTATGAACTGTAGGCCAGGTATCACATACAGTTCTCTTGAGTTACCGAGTACAGATAAACGCATAATTTTAATATTTTGTTCAGAAAACATATTTGTTCATATCGACATCACAGCTTAAAGAAAACCATTTATAATTTATAGTCAAACAATTTTATTGTACTTTGCTCAAGAGCCGAAAATTTTATCGTTGATTTTACAATAATTTTGTCTGTAATTCCTGCCACTGTATGTCAATTAAGTCTTGTTTTAGCATCGGTACATACAGGATATAGATATATAGCCTGTAGATATCGGGGTTTTTTTTTATTGTATTTAACACCCATTCCAGGCCACATACACAAACATGACATATGGAACATAAAATAAGTAGAAGCTGATTCCAGCAAACATTGATCCTGAATTCAGACGTCTGACATCTCGAGATACATGATTGGACATTATTATAAAATGAATGTCACCATGTAGGCTAAATATTAATGAATGCCATAAAAAATACTTCTATTGATTAATACTCTTCTTCCATTCTAGATAAAGCAAGTTATAAGGGCGGTGTCCCTTACAGTGAATAGATGACGATGTCACTTATTAAAGGGGCATTATGTAAGATTTAGATAAGGAAATGAAATGAAATGAAATGGGGTTTAACGTCCTACTGTTCTGCTCCGACTGGTCTAATGAAGACAGGGATTTAGATAAGGAGCCATCCGTTCTCGTTCTAGTATATTTCTAAAATAGATAATGCAAAATGAATCTATTGAAAATAACATTCAAATTACTTTATTTTGAGCGAAGTTGTCAATAGTTGAAGTTTTGACAAGATGTGTGCATCGATCGTACCATCGTATAGTCATTCGAGTCTTAGCCTACATTCTCCATTTTTGAATTAAATCATTAAATGGCCGAACCGTTCTAATCTACTTGACATCGGAGCCATCCGATGGCATCGACAGTTGATTGTGGTCTTGTCATGTTAATTTGTCATTTGCGAGTGGGCTCAACCCTCAAGGGGGCTCAACCTCACTTAGCCCCTGGCGCAATTAGAATCCAAATTATCATGCTCCAAAGTCTTGACCAATCAAATTTCTTAGCTCTGATCAACCGAAGCAGAAAATGTTCATTATCGATGATATTGATGTATTGAATCTATCAAGCTTTATCACTCTGACTCAATTAGAATCAAAGTTATTTTGTTCTGAAGCACTGGCAAATCAAATTGCTAATTTCTGACAAGTCAAAGAAGAAACTATAATATTATCGAAGTTGATCGTGGTATTTACCTAATGAAAATCTACGCCAAGTTTGAACATTCTACCTCAATATGAGCAGAGATAAATTGCTTAAAACTTATCCCTGCTTAGCCGAAGCAGAAATCTCTCGACCGCATCATTCTCAAGGCATTCACCAAAAGAAAATCTACACCAAGTTTGAACATGTTGCATCAAATATAAGCAGTATGCCATCGCCCCTGTCCATCAGTGTGTTATAAGGCTATTGGTAGATTTTTTTCTCTTTAAATTAATAATAGCATTATATTGTATCTTTAACTAAATATTGATTCACACATTCTATAGAAGTCAGATCTCGTGCACTCAAATGATGAGTGACAGATTTACACATAAAAAATTGTTACAAAACTAAAACATGCCTAGTTCTATGTGAAAACAAAATATCACCAGAGAGCATGACATAAAACTTCTGGTGTATGTTTCCACTATCCATATAAGAGTGTTTTTCGACGTCATTAGACTAATCCAATCGTTATAATTAATTACGTCATATTTGACCAATTTGATAATTGAAGGTGCCCAAACCCAAAGCTACAAGACTATCATATCTCTGAGCATTCGTCAGACAGCCGCTTGATTCCAGAGGAAGAAGATGTAGCAATTTCTATCAGCAAACTTGATTGGAATTGAGACTTATGCCACTTTTAGAAAAAAAAAAAAAAAAAAAACCCACCCCAAAACACGAGAACGCGATAGGTGCTATTGCATTTAACTTCGATCTGAGGTAGGGCAATGGGAGATTGAGCCATATCGATTCCCCCTGTTATCCGCATATCTATTATCTATTGCAAAATGTGGGCGTATCTAGCATAGCAATGTTTAAAAATGGATCAAGTAAGACTAAGAGCTAAATCTGCCGATGGCTTCAAATGTTATTTTGAAATATTTTTAGGCATTTCTTAACATAAAAAAAGTCCATGTTCACTTCTCCATACCATCGGATGACAGAGATCTAAATGGATTAGGACGGCCGCGACATTAAAAAATGTAACGATAAAATGGACACACGAGACTAAGTCTCGAATGTCCAGTACCGTACCGTTGCTACGATAATACAATCTGCGCCACTACATCTCCCAACACCCATAACTTCGTCCAGAATAAAGTAATTTGAATTAAATTTTTAATATATTCATTGTTCATTATCTAGCAAGAATGGCCAGCCCTTCATCTAAGTCTTACATAATGCATAAGCCAATGTATGTAATATGTATGCTATTAAATTCAACATTTGTCCTGCGGTTGTCAGACCCCTTTTGGTATCTTATTTTTCCAAAAATGCCATTACTAAAAAACAATATTCCATTTCAAACAAAATGTTATATTTTGTGTACATTGTATTGTGATACAAACCTCGTTGCATTTTATATCCTTGACTGGTCGAATTAATTTGGTTTCAGTAAATATTTACACGGGTCCGACAATTCGTCGGGCCTCCAGTTACCACACTCTACCAATAAAAGGGCTACATCGTGAATGTTTAAAGTGGAAGAAAGCGTTAATAAACCCAGAATTGCTTTCATCATTTCAACGGTTATACAAAAATTTATTCACCAGCCTTTTTAAGGACAAAACCAAGGGATGGGACAAAAACCCGAGGTCCCGTGTACATGTTGGCGTGCAAGTAAAAGAATATTAATTGACAGTTGGGATTCGATATAAGAGTAGGCCGTACCGCCGCTGTCTAGGCAATTTCATTTTTTAATACCGATTTGATTTTTATATTATGCAGGCAGTAGCGGGTCTGAAGCTGTGAATAGGGGAGGGGTGGGGCAGTTCCAAATCTAGGGCACTATCCACAATCCCATTCCCACCCACAATGAATGTCAACAAAATACTGGCTATAACAGTATTGCTTTTAGTAGTTCGCCGGTCGTTATTTCGCCGAAGAGCAGTTTTCTTTTTTTTTTCTTTTTCAAGTTAACATGTTGTGAATGATGATATAATGGAATCGAAGCTGTACATGTAGGCGCGAAAAAATTTTAGAAAAAAAAATAAATCAGATAATATATTATGCAATTTGGGACTGGGTCTGAAATGACTATTTGGCCTGGTACGCAATTCATTACTCATTAACTGGTAAACAACCACTCCATGTATACTATACATCATATTGCGTTGTTTATCTATTTAAGAATCCGCTTTCTTAGTTATAGTCTTGTGACGTCACACGATAGGATGGTTTCAAGCCACTATAAAACTGTGTTTCTATATTTTTACAGCAGAGTTTAGTGGGATATTTGAAACCGTTTAAATTCAGTTTATCTTTTATAAATATGGGTATACAAGAAATGAATTTCGTCGGGATACTGCTGCTCTTTGGTAAGATATAATGTTTATATTCCGTTGGAAATGATGGAGTTAAAACGTATGATAAATTATTGTAGGCTCTATACTCGTTGACCTGGGGTTTTTTTGTTTTTGTTTTTTTTTTGGAAAGCATGTTTGAACTGAATGTTAATCGACGTTAGGTGTCAATTCTCAAAAAATTCAACTGGAGCTTAATGGTCATGTGTTGGCCGAGAAAGTTCATCGGGATTTTACGGCGTGGTTTCCCAGGACGGAAACCGATGTGTACATTGGGTTGCACGTAAAAGATCCCTTGGCAGTTGGAATTCAATATGAATAGACATTAGCGCTGCCGTCAGGGCAAAATTTCCCTTATAACACACTGTATGTCCGTCTTTAATATCCCAGTCGGAGCAGAACAGTAGGACGTTAAACCCCATTTCATTTCATTTCATGTATTAATACACACACACACCCATCTGAATAAAATAATAATAAAGGGTTGTATTTGGTATAAATTACGAAATCTCCTTGGTTATCCGAGCAAACAACAATTCGCCATATATAACTAGTATTTATAACGACTCGCGGAAGGGGGTGGGGTGAGGGTGCGAATGGTTAACGCTAACGCTAAACATCTTCAAACACTGATGATAACTTTCAGAATAAAATGATTTTAATGAAATTTTTAATATATTCATTTTTCACCATTTTTCATTATATCAAGAACGACCAGGTTCTTATGTAAATCTTACATAATATATATCTAAAGGTAATTTAATCTAGGATTATTTTTTTTTTCAGTCAATGGTATCGTAGCATTGAATACCTCGGTTACAGGTTAGTATTTTAGAAAACATTTATTTCAAATATTTTGTGTAAAGCATTTATAAGTTGCAATAGTTTGCACATTCAGTGTCATACCAAACACTCAAAAACAAGGCGTGTACATGCGTTCACAGAGACTGACACGCCGCGACCGTTTAGCAGTAAAAAGTTGCCCAGTAAAATTGACTGGGGTTCGAAAGTTTTTCGACAAGGATTCAATAGGACGATTCCTGAAAGTACTGGGCGAGTGTAATGAGACATACGTTCAGAGCTGAACTAATCTATAACTGGTCATCTCTACTGGTCATCTAGAAACCGTTAATATTATTAATGGGTTTAATCCGAAAACCGAGCGAATGTCGGTTTCACTCGTTTTCTACTTAAGCGACCTGACTACTGAATACACACAAGTCAATTACTGTCAACTTATAAATAAGAGCACCGTACAAGTGAACAGGTGATCTGACTAGTTAAGGTTTACAATTTGACATATCAATTTGTCATCATACAAAATTTTTGGCTAAATCTAAAAGTTAAGGCCAGCTCAATTTTTGTCAAGGTCGCTGAGATGTAAATAAGGTTAGGGCATGTGATTGTTGGCGATATTGTAGGTTAGGGTTAGGGTTGGGATTATCGCATTCGCTAGCACTGTTTACATCTCTTGACCTATGACGAAAAATTGAACTGGCCTTATGATTTAGCACTAATCCTAATTTTTAGCAGACCATAAGTGTCCCCCACATAAAGTGCTGCGGTGGTGGAGCCCGGGCGGGTGGCAAGTTTTGTCTACTGTAATTAAAAGAAGTAGGTGTTATGTCCAGTGACTATTGAATGATATTCGTTGGGTTTGTGTATTTAATAGTTTGCTGAGAGTCACGCCTTTACAGAAGTGGAATCTTTTACAGCCAGTCTACCTGCAAATTAAAAAATACTTCTGTATGCTTTAAAACCACTTTGTATACCTTAGTGTAGAATAATGATCACTTGTATGATTCAATGACATTTTTCGATACTGAAAGTCCAAAGTATCATCTTAACGGTGTCAACAGGGACCGCCGACTCTAAATTCGCATAACTTTCCAATTCCTATCGAAAGCATGACTATTGACCAAATTAATCGACATATTGTTAATTTTAAACTGAAATATGACAATGTTTCTGAAATGAACCATAAATTTTACAGGTAATTTGGATACAACAACGACAAGAGCAACACCACTGCCAACAATTGAGATTATTACCGGCCCGCTTGTTTCATCACGCCAGAATGGAGGTAAAGACCATACGCAATCAAAAGTACTTTTAATTTTAAAAATATGGTCCGAAAATCTGTTCAAATCAATTGGTTCTAACTAAACTGCCACTCTTTTGTTACAAGCCTGTCCATTGTTCGTGTAAGATTTTTCTTATAATCCGATGTGTTAACAAAATAACAGTGTTTACATTAAAATCGCACTTATTCTTTACTTTTGAGTAAATACTATTTGATAGAACGGGTTGTCAGGGGCCTCCACCGAATTTACAAAAAAACCTAATATATTAATTACAGGCCCGTAGCCAGGTCGCTTGCTTCGGAGGGGCGGTGAAGTTTTTAGTGGGGGGGGGGGGGGCACACCCGGCACAGTCTACAGTAGGTATTTGAGAGCTATGGTCGGCAATTTTTTTTCGGGGGGGGGGGGCAAAACATTTTTTCAGGGGGGAGGGGCAATGCCCCCCTGAAAAAATGTTTTGCCAGCGTAGCCCCCCGCTGGCTACGGGCCTGATTAATTACAATCACGAAGTACATAACCGTAATCAATCAAGTGAGCAATAGGCTGAATTGTCGTTTTAGAACTTTTGATTTCTTCTTGGGTAATATCTTCAATGCCTGAACTATTTGTGCATTGTTTGTTGTCTTGTCCGTAAACGTTGCAGCGACAGAGCGGCCCTTTTCGAAACTTAAAGGGGTATTAGGTAAGATTAGATAAAGAGCTGACGGTTCTTGCTTTAATAGTTAAAAAAATTATGCTGAAAATTTCAGTCAAATTGCTTCTCTCTGAACCGAGATATCAGCGAATCAATTTTAGGCTAGCATCGATCGTCAATACTACCGTTGGTACGATAATAAACAAAGTCTCAATATTATCCATTTTTTCGTTAAATCATCCATCACAAAACGTATTCATTACCGCAAAATATCGCAAGCTAACGATGGCATCGAGTTTATTATGGTCTTGATGAGTTAATTAATGCCTAATTATTAATTTAGATAACATTTAAGGCCTAAAAGAAAAAAACTCGCAATAGGCTGATGTAGCTCGCACATAATGCATGTTTAAATGGATAAAGATGTGTCGACCATGTCAGACGAGAGACTGGATTGATTAGCTATTTTTATCAATTGAAAAATTAGACGCTAAAGCAATGGATATATTATCAATATCTTTACCAAAGTTCGTAGTATTAGTAATACAGTGGTTATTACATAATTAATTGTACAACACAACAACACAATGTTACTGAATAATTTTGTGAATGAAAAACTAAAAATCAAAAAAATAATCATAATTAAAGGGAATTATTTGTCAATTTAATTCAACATTGATGTTGTGATCTTACCGGGAAAAGATGGGCTTCTGATATCGTGTACCATAATGCATTTCAGCGCCATTTGTAACAAGGGACACGAAGAACGAGGCTAGACATATTCAACAGGAGAACGCTAGATCGGAGACGGTCCTGTGCATTTTATGACGTCATATGTGGATTATGGGTTAGGGTAAGGGCTAGGACCTGCAGATTTCTTCATAGTCTCTAGATGTAGACAGGGCTAGCCCTAACCCTAACCCTGGCCCAAGCCTAACCCTTACCCATAATCCACATATGACGTCATAAAATACGCAGGACCGTCTCCAATCTAGCGTTCTCCTATTCTATAAGTCATGTTAAACTGTGACGTCATATTCTTATATGGAGAGCATGCGCAATAAAAGAGATTGCCATTTGATTGAGACTTCTGGCATGTTTCGCCGAACGTAACTGATTTGAAATTAAAGTAAAAAAGGGAACGATTGAATGTAAATCAGTTTATATACATTCGTATTACATTATTATATGCGTTGCGACCCATTTGTGTCAATTTCTAGGTCCAAAATATTAGCAATTTAGCTCCTCTAAATAATGTACCGGTATGTATATTTCAGTTTGTGCAGAAGCCAAAGCGTGTTTTAATGAAGAAATTTCAAAATATTTTCCTATTTTGCCATGGCAACCAAGACCAACTCCTGTTCCAGATATAAATGAATTGTGCCGGTATGTATATATGTATATATTATAAACAGCAGCCATGGTGGTAGCTATGTGGGTAAGACCAAGACGCTGGCTCGCTAGCTTGGAGGTCGTGTGTTCGATCCCTGCACTGGCCGAGAAAGTTCATCTGGATTTTCGACGTGGTTTCCCCTTGTCAGTGATGCAGGATGGAGGGCCCGACAAGGACAGCTGTCTAGTCGTTCAGATGGTACGAAAACCTGAGGTTCCGTGTATATATTGGCGTGCACGTAAAAGATCACTTGGCAGTTGGAATTCGATATAAGAGTAGGCGATAGTGCTGCTGCCCAGACAAAATTTCCCTCATAGCACACCGTATGGATACCCGTCTTCATTAGCCCAGTCGGAGCAGAGCAGTAGGACGTTAAACCCCATTTCATTTCATTATTTATATATAAAAAAAATTACTTAGTGCAATGTGGGGTAGATGTTTATGATAGAACTCAATTATTACATTGCGATGTATTCAAAAAATATTATGACCCACAATATTTATTCAACATGCATTATGCAAGAGCAAAATCTGCTTATTACAAGTCTTTCTTTAGGCCTGAAATGTTATCTAAATTATCAATTAGACATTAATTAACTTATCCAGACCATAATAAACTCTCGATATCAAGACTAGCCTTCGATGTTGGCTGGATTAGATTCCTATATGCCGCTAACGACCACTGATAATTAAATCAGAAAAAGTGGATAATCGAGACTATGCTGTTTATATTAATGATTTTAGTAATGATGACCGAGACTATGCAAAAATTTCACCCGCTTCTTTCTCGGCTCATAGTGGATCAATTTGACTGAAATTTTCAGCAAATTTCCTTTACACTATCTAGTTTTTAACTATTATAGCGAGAACTACCATCTCTTTATCTTATCTCCCATAATGTATCTTTAATTATGCGGGCCGATATAACCGAATGGTCATTTGTAATTTAGGGTCAGCCATAGAGTTATGTTTCTATATAACTATATCGGGTCAGCATTTTAGGCATAATTATTGCACTGATGGATTGAGAAAGAATCTATGAGGCATGGTACGCCCCTGAGCCTCTAAAGAAGTTAATATTCTCATAAACTTTGGTGGTCCTTTATTTTCAGTTTGGGAGACGTTTTTAGTTTTGCAATTATGTTCTTTTTGATGAATTGGTAAGATTGTCACACCCTGGCTTTGTGCATAAGCTAGAAAGATTAGGATATACCCTTGAAAGCAAATGAAATGGGGTTTAATGTCCTACTGTTCTGCACTGGGCTAATGACGACGAGCGTACACCACGCAGTGTGCTATGAGGGAAATTTTGCTCGAACAGCGGCGCTACGGCCTACACTTATTTCGAATTCCAACTGTTCGGGTTCTTTTACGTGCGCCCAGTCCACCAGAACGACTAGACATTGTCCTCGTCAGGCCTTCCGTCCTGCATCACTGAAAGGGGTAAAGAAGGCTGGAAAATCCCGGAGAACTTTCTTGGCCAACACCGGGATAGAAATTCAAAGATTTTTCAAACACTAGGGGCCCCGTATTGGGCTAGTCTTAGGAGCCTCCAGTCCATCGCTGACTTGGCGTATAATAGACCTGAATTCCGGGAATAGATCTGGTTACAGAGTCATCGCCTTACCACTGAGTCATCGCGGCACCCATAGCCCAATTAAACACCCCCTGTGATCATTCAACTGAATCTTGCCTAATCTTGATGACTTCTGCTAGTATCTGATAGAATCAATTTTGGTTTGAAACGGATAACCTACGGACATAATTAAATTAGCAAAATACACTGTTTACTTGCAGAATTTTCCCTGAGGTTAAAGATTGCTACCTAAACAAAAGGGCTGGGTGTCAAGAACCTGCTACTAGCACAGTATCACAAGATAGTATCATTGCTTCAGTTACTTATTTATGTACCGACCAAGGAAAAAAATGTAAGTACATGTGTATATCAATCATGGTCATTATTGTGGGTTTCAGGCATTAAAGTCTGTGACCGTCATTAGGGGTGGGTCGGTGGGTGGCCGAATAGATTAACGCGTGTACGTTAGATCATAAGGTCTATAATTGAGTCAAGTGGCGTTGTTTCGATTCCCCACTTGTACGTGACAAGGAGAAGGTTCGCCTGTCCAACCTTGTAGGTTTTCTCACACTGTTAAAGATAATATGTACCATTGAATGATGGAAATAAAATTGAATTGATGTCCCGAAACGACCAATTTTGTGTAGAGTGGAGGTTAAACACAGTTTCTACCTATTTAGCATTACATCTACTAGATTAAAAGTTAGACTTCTGCTTCATACAAATGACGCCCATTGCGAGATAGAAATAGGGTTTAACGTCCACTCTACACTACTGCTGGCACAATATAATAATCGTTGAATGATGTATCGCAATTCACCCCACAATTCGCGTAAATCCAAGCTCTTTGGCGCAATTGCATATAATGTGCTTTAACCAACATGCATTAATATCACGATATATTGACCTTATGTGATTGTATGACAATATACTGTTTAGGCAATTTCCATATAATAAAAAATACTTATGCAGTAATTACATGGTTTGTTGTTGGTTATTTTTAGCATTAACCACAATTGAAGATTGTTTTAAAGATAATAGAACTTTAGTAAAAGCTCAACTCTGTGACTATGTAACATCTAAAGATATTGACAATTCTAACCCTTGCAGGTAAGTAGTAAAAAGGTTTCCGAGCATTCTATGAATAATAAATTAATTGCATTCTGATTATTAAACCTTGTAGACACTGTCCATACTAGACCTTTTAAAATAAATTCAAACCTGCTGGGTATATGTTTGAATTTTCATAACATGAAGTCCTATCTAAATTCAGAGGCACGTCATTTAATTAAGAAAACAATATCAAAATACCAACACTAGATATTATGCCGGCTTAGATTCAATCAGATATAAAGTGGACCCATCAGGTTTCTCCGCTACCAAATGAAATGGGGTTAAATGTCCCACTGTTCTGCCCCAACAGTGCTAAAGGAGACGCTCTCCGCTACCAATAAATGAAATGAAATGGGGTTTAACCTACTACTGTTCTGCCGCGACTTGGCTAATGAAGACGGGCATACGCCATGCAGTGTGCTATGAGGGAAATTCTCCCCAGACAGCGGTGCTACTGCCTACTCTTATATCGAATTCCAACCGCCAATGTGTACACGGTGCCTCGTTCTTTGTCCCATCCACACGACTATATAGCTGTCTTTGGAAGGCCCTCCTGAAAAGTGGAAACCACGTCGAAAAATCCCGATGAACTTTCTCGAGCACACCAGGAGCGAATCCCAGACCTCAGGCTAGCCAGCCAGCGTCTTACTCGCTTGACCAACGTGGCTCCAACTATACTAATAAAGGATGGCAGCGTCTTGTTATGCTTAAGGAGCTTAGATCGATGAACTTTCAATTTATCATAACTTTGTAAATACTGAATAGAATTGAACCATTTTTAGATTGATATTCCTACTTTGTTGTCTATTTCAGTTTTTTAAATTTCAATTTAAATTGTATCATTAATGTAACCAGAACTAATTGTGGCGAGAGTGATGCCAGATTGGTAACCAATATAATCGAGCCATCCATTATACCCTTTGAACGTGCTCAGAATTGCTCTGTACAAATACATACGGATGGAAAAAATGGAAATGATGGAAACAGTGGTTCTAAAATAACAGCCAGTTGGACAATTACTGTTTTGATTATTAAATTATTTATAAATCTTTAAGATATTCCAAACTGCCCCAATGATGTATATATGCAGGTAACTGACTGTTAGATTTCACCTTGGCAATCTCAGGATAATAAAAACTGAAATGAGGACAGACTTAAAACGCGTCGACCAGATTTATTTTAAAAACGGGAATTTTTTTTATTTCATTTGCATGCCCAACGTTCGAAAAATAAGTCATGGACCACAGAATAACAAATCTGGTCAACTTCCTAAAATGACGCACTTTCAAATTATAGCCCATTTGTCACAAGTTTGTAATCTTATGCAACAAGAGAGAGAGAGAAATGGGCTTTAACGTCCACTCGACACAAAATAGGTCATTTTGGAACTAACATGGTTCAATTTTATAGGGATCTGTAGTTGTCACGTATAAGCGGGGAATCGAAACCACGCCACTCGACTCAATGATGGACCTTCTGATATAACACGCATGGGTTAAACCATTCGGCCACCAAACATCCCTTTATGCAACAAACAATGAAGCACTGATATACAATATGCCTCTGTAGTATTATTACAGTTGTTAAGTATCTGCGACTGCCAATCAAATTTGAAAATTGTCAAGTTCTAGTCCCTTTTTATGCTAGGTTCCCACTGTCGTGTGATGCGTTACGATAGGATTGGCTCTATTTAGTCCACGATCTGGTACGTGCAGATAAGTTCGGATACGTTTCGATACGATCAACACGATCACTACGACTGACCACAATATATGATAAGACCTGATAGTAACACAACGATTACTCCACGATTTCAATCGTAGTGCGAATCGTGATAGTCGGAACCTAGCATCAGGTATGACCAAGCTAATTTATTTTTAACACAATTTTTTAATAACTGTGTAACTCAGTATTTTTTTACATGTACATGTATATACAAAACATTTTTGTAAATTTTATTTAAAGTCCTACAGTTTATTATTTTATACTTATTTGTATTTCAAAATGATCAAGTTCACCATTAGCGTTCGATCCTTGCATTGGCCGAGAAAGTTCATCCAGATTTTCTGGCGTGGTATCCCTTTGTCAGTGATGCAGGACGCAGGGCCTGGCAAGGACAGCTGCCTAGTCGTTCGGATGGGACGAAAAACCGAGGCCCCGTGAATTCGATCTAAGAGTAGGCCGTAGTGCCGCTGTCCGGGCAAAATTTCCTTCATAGTACACTGTATGGCATATGCCCGTCTTCATTAGTCCTGTTCGGAGCAGAACAGTAGGACGTTAAACCCATTTCATTTCAGTTCACCATTAGGTCATACAATACAAATATTCTGGTTTTCAGATAATCATTCCTCACTTCAAAAATTTCAAAAAATAATTACGAAACTCTATGCACACTTTTTGAATGAATCCAAAATATGGCATCAGGCTCATCTATGAAGTACACAACAGTGATAAATGTTACTGACAATCATAGATGAAGCTGGATATTTACACATTTCTATAAACACGAAATAAATGTTAGTGCCTTGAAATGTGATGTTTATGAGAAGCCATTTAGCCCAGTAAATAAACCTCCCGGCATCAGATGTTTGGTAAGGATTGTCTGGGAACAAGAATTTTTTTGTGTGTGGCCTTAATCCCTTTTGTAGTTATGCAAAAGCAAATCACAACTTATTTTATATAGGAAGTTTATTGCTGCCGATTTTAAATACAGATTCTTAATTTTTTGTAAATAATATTTTACTATTATTTCCAAGAACAGATATGTCAGATATTTATATATTTTGTTAATAAAATTGTAAAAATTCATATTAGATATTTTAATGAAAGACACTGGTTTCAAGTCAGGTTAATCAAGAACCAGTATATTAGTAATTTTTGTATGCCCATTTCTCAGTGTGGGCATATTATGTTGTCACCCATGTCCGTCAGTCAACAATTGGCTTGTGAACGCATTAGAGGCCACAGTATTTTATACTCACACATTTCCTTGTGGACGCCCCTGTCCGTCCGTTCACATTTTGTTTGTAGACACTCTACAGGTCACAATTTTGATGAAAATTAACATAGATGTTTATATCTCAAAGATCTGGGCTCCATTTTCTTTTTGTGTGTCGCCTACAGGCCACAATTCTTAATCAATCGTCTTGAAAAATTTTCGTACGAGTTCCTTATACCCTAAGGATGACCCCTCTTGTTTTTTGTTGGTTGACCTCCAGGGGAAGAGCCACGCCAATGAAACTGTGCATACTTATTCCTTCTATCGTAAGTTTGTGATGAATGCCCAACCCCCAGGGACAGAGCCAGGCTCACTTCCTTTTTGTGTGACAGTGTCACTTACAGCCCGCAATTCTTAATCGATCGTCTTGAAAACTTTTTTATACTTATTTCTTATACCCTAAGGCTGACCTCTATTATTACTTTTGGTGCATGCCCCACCCCCTGGGACAGAGTCACGTCCAATGTTTGTGTGTCTTGCGTTTCGCCTACAGGCCGCAATTCTTAACGGATCTTTTTAAACTGTGCATACCTATTCCATATATCCTACGGATGACTCCTATTGTTTTTTGGTGACTGTCCGACCCCCAGGGGCAGAGCCACACCCATTTGTTCTTTGTGTTTCTGTGTGTTGCCTACAGGCCATGATTCTTAATGGGTAGTCTTTGAACGTGGGATATGTATTCCCGATAGCCTAAGGACGACAACTGCATGTCCCAACCCCCAGGGGCAGAGCCACGCCCAAATTTTGTGTTTATCGTTTACAGGCCACATTTTTGAATGGATCAACTTGATACTTGGCATATTTATTCCTTATAGCCTAAGGACGTCAACTATAGATTTTGATGAATGCCCCGACCCACGCCCCATTTTTGCCTTTAATGGATTATCTTGGGATTAGTATACTTATTCCTTATACCCGAAGGACGGCAACTATTGATGTTGGTGCATGACCCACTCCCCGCACCCTTTCGGCGGTGCCACGCCCACTTTTTGTTGATATTTTGTCTGTAAATGATATACAGATTGCAATTATGAACAGATCTGTATCCAATTTGGAATGATCTAGCATAGGGTTGTTCCTTTATGTATTGGTCCATGTCCAACCTTCAGGGGCAGAGCCACACCCAATTTTTGTATTTATCGTCTACAGGCTGCAATTCTGAATGGATCATCTTGGAACTTTGCATATTTATTCCTTATACTGTAAAGGCAGCAACTATTTATTTTGGAGCATGCCCCGACTCCCTGGGGCAGTGTCACACCCACTTTTTTGTTAATATTTTGACTGTAAATTTGGCAAAACAAACGCCTAGCCGTCTCTGCCTCTTGTCATATTACAACCATTTTATATTTCATTTTAAAAAGTACCATATCAATCAAAGCACAAACGGACCCTATCTAGTTTCGTTTTTTATAGTTTAAAATTTTGTTTAACTTGTCTTTACTACACTAGGATCTGGAAGAGTTGTTATATAACCCCCATTTTGGACGATGTGAGGGATTAGCCAATGAAACGGTCTGTTTTTGTCAGGAGGTGCACTGAACTGTGGGTAACCCACTAGAAACATCAACGCTGATTGGTTAATCAAATATCTAACATCATAAGGTCAAAAGTCACTCGTATGACCTCTGACACAACCTCCCACTTCAGCCGGTCAGATCTTCATGTAGTGTAGGCCAGCGAAAGTATAACAAGCGGCTGCCAGGCAGGATATGCCCACATTTTGCAAGCGATGGATAGAGAACAAGCTAAAAGTTTCATCCAAATCGGATAAAACTGTGGCCTCTAGAGGGTCCACAACCTTGATATACCATATTTATACACACTAAATTCGAACTCAACCATCATTAGTGTATAACTGTGATATATTCACATGTTTTGTTAAATCGGATAAAAATTGTGACCGAAAACTCAAACGTGATTTTTTGTACAATCAAGGGCCATAATTCAGGAAGTTATATCTTTGGGTCATAAACATGCATTTCAAGTTTCATCAAAATCGGATCAAAATTGTGACCACTAGGAGGTCCACAACCTTGATATACCAGATGTTAACACTATTTGCGTACCAGGGGCGGCCATTTTGTCTGGCAGTTTTGGTCCGATTTTCAGGAAATCGAATTCAACCACCATTAGGGTGTAACGGTGATATACTAAAACATATTTTTAAATCGGATAAAAATTGTGAACTCTACGATCCGATATGTGCGAATATCGGCAGGCACCAAGATCTTTGGAATATAATCATGCATTCCAAGTTTCATCAAAATTGGATGAAAATTGTGACCTCTAGAGGGTCCACAACCTTGATATATCATATTCTTACACTATTTGCCTACAAGGGGCAGCCATTTTGTCCGTCAGTTTTGGTCCGATGTTCCCGAAATTCAACCTCAACCATCATTAGGGTGTAATGGTGATATACTAAAACGATTTTTTAAATCAGATAAAAATTGTGACCTCTAGAGGGACCACAAACTAAAAACGCGATTTTTCGTACAATCAGGGGCCATAATTCAGGAAGTTACGATCCGATATGTGCGAATACCAATAGAACCATGATCTTTGGGTTATAAACAAGCATTTAATTAAGTTTCATCAAAATCGGATCAAAAATGTGACCTCTAGAGTGTCCACAAGCTAAAAACGTGATTTTCGTACAATCAGGGGCCATTATCCACAAAGTTATGGTCCGATACATGCCAATATCGAAAGGAACCGAGATCTTAGGGAGATAGGCCTATATTTCAAGTTTCGACAAGATCGGATAAAAATTGTGACCGGTAGTGTGTCCACAAACAAATTATGGACAGACGCCCGGGCAGACAGGGACGACAACAATATACATCCACATGAAAGTGTGGGCGTATAAAAAAAACGAAACGAAATATAGGTCTGTATTTTATTCAGTGGTTATCAAGTTCTATTAGTATATTAGCAACTTTTGTATGCCCATTTCTTAGTGGGTGCATATTATGTCGTCACCCATGTCCGTCTGTCAACAATTAGCTTGTGTATGTGATAGAGGCTACAGTTTTTAGCAGAGGCTACATTTTTTAACGTTTATTGTGAAGCATTAGGTAATGACTGTATATGAATGTTTATTTTGTATGAGTAACTTTTAACTTGTAAGCAAGTACAGCAGAGTAAGATGAACTTGTTAACAGTGCTTGCATTCTCTAATCAAGTGCAACAAATCCCTATCATTTGTTACTACTATGATATAGCAATAAAGTTGTCTTCAATAATACCGGTAATATGAATGAGAGTTAGTCCTTTCTTCATCCACTGGAAACGCTAATAATGTTTGCCATATATGCATAAGTATAACAATGAACCCTCTCAATACTCAGCTCCCCCATTAAAAAACCCCCTGAGGCTCCAGTTTTGAATAGGTTTTTTTCCCCAAATTTTGTGTAAAGCATTTGGGGCCCTGAGAGGGACAGATTTTCAAATTTGGTGTGAACTGCAAAGTATCCTAGGACTCGATCAGTAAGTTACTAAACAACAAATTATTTATAGAAAATAATGTATTTTGTGTAATAATCCTATATAATAACAAATCATTCGTCATCTTCTTCTTTCAATAAACCACCATAAACTTCTGATGGTACCGACTGCTGCTGAACTTCCACTTCTACAAAAAAACAATTAATGTTACTCTATACATCTATTTCTGTGATACATGTTACTCTATACATCTATTTCTGTGATACATGTTACTCTATACATCTATTTCTGTGATACATGTTACTCTATACGTCTATTTCTGTGATACATGTTACTCTATACGTCTATTTCTGTGATACATGTTACTCTATAATATGTCAATTTGTGTGATACATGTTACCCTATATGTCAATTTGTGTGATACATATATTTCTGTCACTTAAGGGATCGGTATGATCTACTAACATAAAATATCAACAGCTAAAATCATATTACACTCAATTTGTAATCAATTTTTAAAATTCAAATGATCTAAATCGTTCAGTAGTTACTGAGAAAATACATTTTTGTATTAAGATGCTTCATCAATAGGCTAGATTTTAAATAGTATTAGGTGTTTGACTTCGTTGCTGAACCCTTGTAATAACAAATTTTGCTTCCCAGACCCGCTTTGCCAAAGGTTGAGAAATTCTCATCTAAAAGATACATGAGGCATACCTTCTATTTCTTCATCTTCATCACTTTCAAATTCATCAATATCAATTTCTTCTGGATTATTAGTTTTGGTCATTTCACCCAATTCTTCAGTTGTTGTTGAGCTTCTAAAATAAATTGAACACAGAAAAACATTTAGGAATGTCTCCAAGAGATGTATAGCGTGAAGTTATATTATCAATTTTTAACGAAGAGCCAGATTGTCATCTCGAATATATAAATCAACAAATAAAATGCATATCAAAGAGTTTTAGTCATTTCAGGTATGGCAGAATGGAATGAAGATAGTAAGGACACTATGTGGGCATGGAGAGAAAATTATAAATATACAAGAAGGGAACTGAAGAACAAATGTATCTTTTCTATACAATAAATAATATATCCTGCATCAGATATGTTACTAACCTGACAAACAATAGTTTCTTCTCAGCAGCAGGTTGATCTCGAACTGATTCTTCTGCTAACTGTCTTGCTTTCTCTTCTAGCTTCCTCATTTCATTATTTTCGATTCCATCTTTAAAACAAAACCATTAATAAATTTACAGAATACAGTAAATCCCATACAAAGAGGATTATGCTTATCTTTTAAACAAAAGCCTAAAAGAGCTTAAAGATGGGTTCCCACATACAAACTGGGTGATTTAATGGTATATATGGACTAAAAACATATTCAAACTAATTAATTGGTCATAACTTTGCTTCAAATCCTTCTCAAACATTGTAATTGCGAAGGAATGTTTACGTCACGTGACTTACCTCTCTTGGAAGTCAGAGAAGAATTCATTGCATACATAAGACGATGTTATCTTTTATCGCTTACTATTTATTACAAATATCGAATCCTAATTAAATTCTTGGATTATCCACTACCCGCATCTTTTTCCGTCATTTTTATCTCAGAAAGTGTTGTACGTCTAACTCTTCATAAAGTTTATCAACTTGTACATCAAGCGCTCATTGTTCGCGTGTGACCTTTGACATCATGCGTGCAGAAATTCCTAATCGTCGGGCTGTTGATTAGGGGAACCCTTACATTTTTGTCCTGTATACACTTCATGAGTGTTTTTTGGGGGAATCCAATATTTTTCTAGTAAGATTGGATATCTCTACTTTCCATATATACCAAAATTACCATACTTTTATTGGAAATAACCACCAGATAAATAATTTTCTGGGAACCCATCTTTAAATGCCATCATGTATAAGTGAGAAAGATGAATACGGTTTTATGTCCTCGAAACACATCTAGGTCATTTTAGAACTAACATGTCAACCTGGTTGACAACCCTACTATTTGTTACTGCATTGTGGCTTAAAACCTAATGGTCTCATGCATAGATCACAGATCTCTAAATCCATAGAAAAACACTTCACAGATGAGATAAAATCTCTTTGGGCTTGACGGATTGAAAAAAAAAAAACACCTGGTAATATTTTTGATTATATTAAACAAATTTCATATTTTATCTGTGCAATATTCCAGTCAATATACATAAAGTGGATGCTATAAATAAATACCTGAACTTTCTGTTTTCTTTCCAGAAGCAACTAATATCTGAGCAGACATGAAGTTAACCTAGAAAACAAATCTCATGTTACATTTAATATGTTCAAGCACCACTGCCCAGGGTAAATGGCAGATTTAAACTTTGATTATTTTATTCCAGTTCTAATTGTGGGTGATATCAACTGAACAAAGATCTCATTACTTGTGTAACAATTCTTTGTTCTCTTTGACATCTAACTAACAACTGTAATTGGAGTAAAAGTATATTTGGGTAACCCAAAGCATCCATTCATTGGCTAGGTGAAAGGTCAGAATGATATAATTTCAATTAAGACAGTAACACACAAAGATCTCCCCAAGAGTTGTGTGGGATTTCAATATAAAATCCTTTGGAAATTATGGAAAACCAAGAGCGTAACACAAAAGGATGAATGAAATGGGATTTAACCTATTTTTCTTCTCCAATCTGGCTAATGATGACCAGCATATGCCATGCAGTGCGCTATGACTGAAATTTTATGTTAATGCTAATGTGTATACAGGATCTTGCTTTTTTTGGGGTTTGTCCAAACCGAATAGACAACTTGATGCTGTTTCCTTGCTAGGCCCTCCTTCCTACAACACTGACAAGGCGAAACTATGCCTGAGAGACAGACATGTATGTCTTATTTGTAATGTAGTTTATTTATTTAATTTGTATATTTAATTTCTGTACCATGTTTTGTAAAGCGCACATGAGAACATAGTCATGCACTATAAAAATTAATAATAATAATTATATTTTTTCTAAATAGGATATTGAAAGATTACGTTACCTGTGTATTATATGTAGCTTGTACACTACGTTTTATTCTCAACATTTCTCTTACTGTATCTTCGTTACCATGTTTAATTTCAAACTCTTTCCATGTATCCCAGAATGCTTGTGTTGTCTGCAAATAGGATTTAATATGATGTAAGACTAAGACTTGATCAGTTTGATGGACAAATAATTATAGAATTTTATTTGCTGAAATTTATTAATGTAAAGTAGCATCACGATTATATACAATTTTTACACTTTAAAACCAAGCAACCCAAACATTCTTTAATATTCCTTACAAACAGAATTTATTTAAATATAAATTTATTAATACATGATTTAATTATTTTGAAAATTACATATATTCCCTAAAATCTGGTATTGTATTGATTACTTTTTGCCAAAATAAAACTTTTTGTATGTTGACTTACCCTAGGATCACAGGTTTGAGAACAATGAGCATAAACAGCTCTAGCTCTGTCTATTTCACCCAGTTTCCTTTCTAAATCAGCAAATCTCAAACACATCTCCCTGTATGGATAAAATACATAATTTGATACCATGGATACAACTGAAAAATGGAGTAGAATTCAGTGTGGTGATGTAACTAGTCGTTGAAAAATAGTCTTTTTTTTGCTATGATCTTTACGTTTTTTGTCACGTGCAATAATTGGGATATTCTATGAATGGTGGGGGGGTGGAGTGGGGGTGGTGGATGGCCGAATGGTTACCACGCGCGCTGTATCATACGGTCTGTCATTGAGTCAACTGGCGGGGTTTCGATTCCCCAGTTGTACGTGACAAGGAGTAGGGTCGCCTGTCCAACCTCATGGGTTTCTCTGGGTCCTCCGGTTTCCTCCAACTGCTAATAAACACCCCTACGTGCAAACAAATTTTTGAAATAAAAATTAAAAACCATGTTAGTCCTGAAATGACCTAGTTTGTGTCGAGTGGACGTTAAACCCCATTTCTCTCTCTCTGGTGGTGTTTTAATAGTAAGAGGAAACCACTTATGACAGGCAAAGAAGGAAACAACTTTTGTTAGGTAATGCTAATGTCACACACAAGCCTGCGATCGAAAACCACTTGACTATGAACACATGACCGTTGAAATTCTTCAGCGATATCAATTTCTGCCGAGAATGTTTATCTAAAATAAAAAAGTTTGATTTTCCTCCCAATAATATAGACATACAAGCTTTCTCTACACACTGAAAGTAAACTGTAACTATTCTCAGACAGTAGAATAAAGTGGTGAACACACTAGCCGAATAATTTGGCCGAATCAATCAGCGTTGAAATTCGCCTAGTGTGTCCACTGTCATTAGGCCGAATAATTCGCCTGAATCAACCATGTTTGATATTCGCCTAGTGTGTCTACTTCGCCGAAGCATTCGCCTGATTGAAGAATACATTCGACAACCACCATTCATCATCAACTCATATCGAGAAGTCACATGATTGTTTAAAGACATGGTCGCCGCCATGTTTAATCATGTGACGTGAAAAGTGAATGGTGAATCGGGCTAAGGATTCGTCTAGTGTGTCCGCCCATTCGGCCAAATAAAATTTGGTGCCAACTGATTCAGCTAATGTGTTCACTGCTTAATTACCTTGACTGATGGTTATCAAGAACTTCTATAGCCTTTTCATATATAGAACGTGTATGTGTAACACCATATATTTCTGCTGCTTTTTTAATATATATATTATACATCTGAAATATAAACAACACAATATACATAATCAAATATTATACATCTGAAATATATACAACACAATATACATAATCAAATATTATACATCTGAAATATATATAACACAATATACATAATCAAATATGCATTATTTAAAAAAAAAAAAATGGCAGTTTTCCAAGATGTTCAGCATTAGCCCAGTTGCCAGAAAGAAAAGGGTTTTATTTTAACATGGTAAGCGCACAAGCAACTTTATGCAAATATAAATGTATCTGTGTTGTATCTTCAACAATTTGTCTGGAGCATAAATGTTTTATGGGAATGGCACAATTTATTTTTTACCTCATATTTAATGGAAATTAAATGTTAATTTGGCCTTGTGTTCCAAACAATATGATGACATTTTTATGCCAAATGGTTCATTCAACAGACAATCATTTTAAAACATACAAAAATATTTTAACCAATTTCTCAAAATCTTATTTCTCCCTAGTGGATGTGGTCTTTGATAACAACTTAAAATGGTTAATACCATTGATGACTTACCTCATATTGTTCTTCAGGTAATACACCTCTAGTGGCTTTATCATATACAGCCATAGCATGTCTAGCTAAACCATGATCTTCTTCTAACTTAGCATATAAAAGATATATAGCTGAAACAAACCATATCAACATATTATAACCATTTTAAAAGATCTACATTGGTAGAATCAATTTTAAGATCAATACATTAACTTGTGAGTTGTTCGGATGGTACACATTGGCGTGCACATAAAAGATCCCTGGACAGTTGGAATTCGATATAAGAGTAGGCTGTAGTGTCGCTGTCTGGGCAAAATTTCCCTCACAGCACAATGTATGCCCCCGTTCATTAGCCCAGTTCGGAGCAGAACAGTAGGAAGTTAAACCCCATTTCATTTCATTAACTTGTGACTGTATCATTTAACTCTCTGCACCTACTTATTTAACTCATCTAATAACACATTCTACATTCATCAAATTATTGTAATCAGTTGGTTTGTACTGGTCCAAAAGAGTGGAATGAATTTCCAACAGATTTCAAGAATATGCCTAACAACTAAATCTTCAAGATACTTCAATGGAATATTTTTAATTATGAAAATTAAATTTATTAAAAATTTTTGAGAGAAATAATTAAACTCAAGCATTCTTTGTGTTTGAAATGATTAAATTCATGTATTCTTTGTGTTGTTTGAGAAATTAAATTTATGTAATCTCTTTGTGTGAAATGATCTGTAATTAAAAACATGTAATCTTTGTGTGTGAAGTAATTAAATTCATGTATACTTTGTGTGTGAAATAATTAAATTCATGTACTCTGTGTGTCAAATAATTAAAATCATGTACTCTGTGTGTCAAATAATTGAATTCATGTATTCTTTGGGTTTGAGAGAGAGAGAAAGAGAGAGAGAGAGTGAGAGAGAGAGAGAGAGATGGGGTTTAGTGTCCACTCCACACAAACAAGGTCATTTCGGGACTGACATATAGCTCAATTTTATATAAATTATTTGCTTGCATGTGGGGGTCTTTAGCAATGGAAGGAAACCGCAGGACCTAGAGAAAACCCACGAGGTTGGACAGGAGACCCTACTCCTTGTCACGTACAACCGGAAAATCGAAACCACGCCATATGACTCAATGACAGACCTTATGATACAACATGCACGTGTTAACCATTCGGCCACATACCCCCCCCCCCCCCCCTTGTGTGTAAAATAATTAAATTCATGAATACTTTGTGTGTGAAATAATTAAATTTATGAATACTTTGTGTCTGAAATAATTAAATTTATCCACACTGTGTGTGAAATAATCAAATGCATGTACTATTCTTTATACGGTATGTGTATTCCAGTATAGCTGTGTACTAGAAGTATGCAACTGTCATAATATATTTTAAAAATAAACTTACATTTGGCATATTTAGGTGGACAAGCTTCCAAACATTGTACAAATAAATCTCGTGCACGTTCAAGTTTTGTGCCACCCTAGAAAAAACAAAAACAAACATGAACCAAAAAATGATGAAAGATGAGTTTTGACAGTAAGCAGACAAAGAGAAAGATAGAGAGGGGTTTAAAAACATCGTAATCAGAGACATTTTATTTAAATTTCTTAAAAGTCTCTGAACATTATATTAGACCAAAAATAGTTCAATACTGTGAAGTATTCATATAGATATGTTGAACTGGAAAATTTGCATCATTCGACAGACAATAAAAACTGGATATGATCAAATTGGATGTAAACCAAAACAATCAAAATTCACTTTAGTCAAAATGACCAAAATATTGTCAAAAACATATTTATCAATTGATTCTTATTAAACATACATTATGCAAGAGCTAAATCTGCCTATTGTAGGTCTTTCTTTAGGCCTAAAATGTTATATAAATTATTAATTAGACATTTAGACAAAACAAGACCATAATCAACTCTTGATGGCATTGGATACTCAAGATTTTTAAAATTTAAAAATCTAATTTAAAATTTGGAAAGCCAAACAAAGTCTCGAATGTACCAGTGCCCTGGTTACTACTATGCACACATCTTGTCAAAACTACAAATGGTGATAACTTGGCTCAGAATGATGTAATTTGAATGAAATTTTCAATATTTTCATTTTACATTATCCATTTTTGAGCTATTATATAGCAAGAATGGTAGCTCTGTGTCTAAATCTTACATAATGTATCTTTAAATAAATATTTAATTGATCGTTTTGATTATTTTTATGGCCGTTATGACCAATCTATGGTCGTTTCGACTAAAAGTCATGTCCGTTTTGACAAAACCTTTGGGCTGTTTTGAGTACATTTTAGGGTGGGTTAAACCACAGAAAATTTTATACAATAGACACACACAGACTATAATTTTAAAATTTGTTACATTAAAGGAGAACAAAGGACTATTTTAACAGTTATGAACATGCTCAATTTGTTTATATTGAGACTGCTATATTAGATTTTATATCTCTCAAATTGCTGTGATAAAACAATCCTTAACATCACTACAGATAATTTGTTTGATTAATTAGTTTACATGTTCAGAACATCAAGTAAATATGTCAAATGTCAATGTAGTACAATAAAATGAAATGACATGATAATTGTTATTTCTGCTCACTTTTAGCACCGAGTGGAAACATGTAAAACCATTAAAAAGGACATATGTTGGGTAGGTGACTATACCCAGCAAACTTTTGACCCACCAATGCAGACAAAGATGATGATTTTTTTAAATTTAGTAAAATAATTTCGAGTGATTGAATACTTACATATCTTTCAATGAATTTGGCCAAATAATTGTTCCATATATCATACACATTAGGCCATTTAAACAAAGCAATACCTTTTTCATATGCCTGGAAAAAAATCAAAATACCGATTAAACTTAATAAATACACGGCCCGCTTAAATACATTGCTAAAATTGCTTAAAACTGCATAAAATTAAAGAAATGAAATGAAATGGGGTTTAACATCCTACTGTTCTGCTCCGAACTGGGCTAATGAAGATGGGCATACGCCATACAGTGTGCTATGAGGGAAATTTTGCCTGGACAGCGGCACTAAGACCTACTCTTATATGGAATTCAAACTGTCAAGAGATCTTTTACGTGCACGACAATGTGTACACAGGACCTCGTTTTTTCATCCCATCGGAATGACTAAACAGCTGTACTTGACAGGCCCTCCGTCCGGCATAAATGACAAGGGGGAACCACGCCAGAAAATCTGGATAAACTTTCTCGGCCAATGCAAGGATCGAACACCCGACCTCCAGGCCACCAAGTCTGATTCTCATAAAATTACAGATCTAACAGATGAATTTAGCCAACAATTCGATCTATATTATTAAATATTAAAGAAAAATAGAATTAAGCCCTTTCATATGGGCTTCAATATAACCAGCTAATTGCCTTTGCTGGAAAACAGAAAAAGTTGAAGTGCTTCTGAAACAACTTTATATAACATTTTGTTACATACACAAAGTTAACGTAGAATTAAAAACATACCTTAAAGGCCTCCTCAAAGTAATTGCTTTCTTCTAGAAACATTCCATAATTAATAATGATTTGTGGTGTAGCTATTCTAAGATCTATTATTCTATCATAAACAGCTTTACAAGACTGGAATAAAAACAAATATTTCCCAAAATGAGAATAAGGCTAAAGAGGATTTGGATGGGAATACCAATGTTTAAGTTTTTAACACTATAATGTTGAGATCAACATGTAATTTGTATTTCTATGGTTACAGATGCATGTGAGATAGGAACATTTTGCCTAGGCAGCAGTATTTCTTCCTACCGTTCTTCAATTTCCAACTGCCAAGGGTTTTTTTTATGTACACAACAAGACAAACTTTCCTTCACAGCCTCACAAACAATATCCATGTCAAGTGTAGGTTGGGCTTGAGAAAGGCAAAGGTTCTTTTTTGACCACATCAGGATACCACCGAGGGACACTCCAGTCATCAAGAGTCCAGTGTCCTGATTACTTGCCTATCACAATATCTTTTTTTCTGATAGTAAAACATAGAATTTCCCTACAGAGTTCTAAATTTCCATTCAATTTATTAGACATTTTTAGCAGTTTTCATAGAATTTTACATTTTAAGTTTTTGGTGAAAGTGATAAAACATACTGTTACCTTAAATGTTCCAAAACTCTCTTCTAAATCAGCATATAATGACCAGACTTTCAGTGATTTGTGAACACGATTTTGAACAGTTTCTGTCTGTAAATAAAAGAGCGATAATTTATAACCATATTTAAATGTTTCGACATTTAGTTTGAACATTACTCAAGATAAAAGCATTTTTTGGCAATATTTAATTCTTTTTGGTCTAGAAGCATTTTTCATGAGAAAAGATACTTGTGTTTAAGGCTATTTGACCAAACAAATAGAGCCAGTCTGAAAATCTTTTTGTTTTGTGTTTTTTGTGGGGTTTGTATCATCTATTTTCTATCATTTTTCTAGCTTAATTATTGAGTAAGGTTTTTAAAAATAATACCGAAATTTCAGTGTTGGGAATTTGTCTTGAGAAAATCATGCGAAGACCATGTTATAGGTCCTGGGAAATCAGAGAAAAACGTTTAGGGTAGATTGGGTAACAGTCAACACAGGTGTTTATTGTTTTGGTTTTAAAGTCATCTAACATACCTCATCATGATATGCCACTTTTCTTGGAGGTGGCGCTGTTGCCTTTTGCATTAGTCTTAAAGCTTCTTCGTTATTACTACAAATAAATTAATTTCAAATAATTTGAAAAAAATAAGGTATGCAAGTCAAAGTATATCAATGAAATGTATAATATGCAATTATATCAAAGGGTTATCATAATGGTAGCAGGAGGAATATTTTACAGAATATGAAGAAATGTCTAAAAAAATAAATGAAATGAAATGGGGTTTAACGTCCTACTGTTCTGCTCCGAACTGGGCTAATAAAGATGGGCATACGCCATACAGTGTGCTATGAGGGAAATTTTTCCCGGACAGCGGCACTATGGCCTACTCTTATATCAAATTCCAACTGTCAGGGGATCTTTTACGTGTACGCCAATATGTACACGGGACCTCGGTTTTTCGTCCAATCCGAATGACTAGACAGCTGTCCTTGTCAGGCCCTCCATCCTGCATCACTGACAAGGGAGAACCATGCCGGAAAATCTGGATGAACTTTCTCGGCCAAAGCAGGGATCGAACACCCGACCTCCAGGCTAGCAAGCCAGCGTCTTACCCAATTAGCCACCCATTTAAAAAATAAAAAATAAACTTACTCCTGTCTTATTTCCATTTCTGCCCATTCACACCAAACAGATGCCAAATCATCAACATGTTTATATGGAACTTTACTTGCTTTATCAAATATCACTCTTGCCTGTGAATAACAAACAATTTATGGGACAATATAAAGTGGAAACCTGATTTTTTTCTATTTGGCAGACAAACCTAATAACTACTTTTAGGCATAAGAACTGACTAAAGTTTTGTTCAAGGCAGAGTATGAATACTTTTACTAAACAATTATACTAATTTATATAGTTCAATCTTTTATTTCATTTTCATATTTGATTTGTCTAATGACCTATGATTCTTTCCGAAGTTCAATAAACAAAACATGAGATAATGTCTTTACTTACATCGTCTACTTGATCAGCCTCCTCGTAAAATTTAGCAAATTCCACCCATAATGTATGTGGTTTACCCGATGCTTGTTGTGGATCAACTGTCTGTACAGCTTCAGTGAAAGTATTAATAATCTACAATACAATACAACATATATGTACTAATGAGTATAAATCTAAAAAACAACATGCACTAATGAGTATAAATCTAAACCAACGGCTGCCAGTTAGGATACGCCCACATGTTGCAAGAGATGGATAGAGAACAAGCTAAGAAAAAAGTGATTTTTCGTAAAATCAAGGGCCATAATTTTTAATAAGTTACGATCTGTCATTAGGGTGTAACCCCGGGTGTAATTGTGATAAATTTAAACTTTTTTTTTAAATCAGATAAAAATTGTTAGCTCTAGAGGGACCACAAGATAAAAACGCGATTTTTCGTACAATCAAGGACCATAATTCAGGAAGTTACAATCCAATATGTGCGAATATGGAAAGGAACCAAGATCTTTGGGATGTAAACATGTATTTCAAGTTTCATCAAAACTGGATTATAATTATGACCTCTAGAGGGTCCACAACCTTGATCTACCAGATGTTAACACTATTTGCGTACAAGGGGGGCCATTTTGTCCGACAGTTTTGGTCTGATTTTCATGAAATCAAATTCAACTATCATTAGGTTGTAACGCTGATATACTAAAACGTTTTTTTAAATCGGATAAAAATTGTAAACTCTATGATCCGATATGTGCGAATATCGGCAGGCACCGAAATCTTTGGGATATTTTTACACTATTTGCGTAGGAAAGGCGGACATTTTGTCCTGCAGTTTTTGTCCGATTGTCACGAAATTCAAACTCTAGCATCATTACGGTTTTACGGTGATATATTCGAAAGGTTTTTTTAATCGAATAATAATTGTGACCTCTACAGGGATCACAAGCTAAAAACGTGATTTTTTGTACAATCAGGGGCCATAATTCAGGTAGTTGTGATCCGATATGCGCAAATATTGAAAGGAACCAAGATCTTTGTGTTATAAACATGCATTTAAAGTTTCATCAAAATCAGAAGAAAATTGTGACCTCCAGAGTGTCCACAAGCTAAAAACGTGATTTTTCGTACAATACATGAAGTTATGGTCCGATATATGCCAATATCGAAAGGAACCGAGATCTTTGAGAGATAGACCTATATCTTAAGTTTCGTCAAAATTAAATAAAAATTGTGACCTGTAGAGTGTCCACAAACAAATTGTGGACGGACAGACAGACGTCCAGACAAGGGCGACGACAATATAATGAAAATATATAATGAAAAATGAATATTGATATGTATTAAAGATTCCAGTCAAATTCCTTTATTCGGTGTGAAGTTATGAGTGTTTGCATTTTTGACAAATGTAGCGTAGATTGTTTATTATCTTAGCAACTAAGTCTTGATTATCTATTTTATCGCTAAACTCTTACATGGCTGCAGTGTTCTAATCTGCTTAAAATCAAAGCTATGCGTTGGTCCAGTGAGTTTATGGGCTTGTCATGTTCATAAATGTTAAACTAATAATTTATGTAACATATGGTTCCAAAAAAAGACCTGCTCTTACATATTGCATTTTAAAGTTGAAAATCTTCGTTAAATGATATTTTCTAAATTTATAAGCTGAAGATACCTACACATGTACTTTCTAAATAAGTGTATTGAATTCAGACAAACGTCTTTTAGAAGATTTGGATCTTAATATAAACAAATCAAATCTTACCTCTCTAGGTTTTCCTGCATACAATGTAACTCTTTTGTGCCATTCATGTACATTGTGAGGATTCTGACGAAGCAAGACACTAAAAAAATTAATATAATGTAAAAATTAGCTGTAGTCTCCTACCTAATATTTTATCTGTAAAATAAGGTTTTTCAATAGGAGCAGATGGCATTGGAATTGGGATGGGTTATAAAGATATATATATATAGCTTATCTAATAGTGCATAAGCTAATCAAATATGCACAGTTTGCACAGAAGTTTGAAGGCAAGTGTCTGTGATGATTATATACTCTCAAGTTTGATCAAAATCGATTCAGTAGATACAAATTGCATAGAAGGACAGACAAAAACTAATTAAATAACCATCTTTATAACAGTTAGTTGCAACAGGTTTTGGAATGCATTATTTTGTTTATAGGTTATCAAGAATTCTAACATTCTGTAATTTTAAATGGGATATTTAACCTGTCATTTGTTTTTTACCTGTTCAACAATAATGGTCGTCTGTCCATCAAATTCTCTAATCTTGCTAACCTCAATTCTAGATCTAAATCATCTACAAATATATACATAAATATATTGTTAATAATATCTGTAGGCATCTTAAAATCTATCAATCTTAATAAAATCCAATTTTTATGTCAATTCAACATGGATATATTGTTGGTTTACTCTACCTAAGATTTAACTACTTGTTTTCCTGGTTATCTGTTAGCTTACTTTTTAAAGTCTAATTTGTGCCACTTTGACTGGCTAAAACCCATATTACTGAAGAGTGGAACAAGTGAGGCAAATTCAGACACACTTCTTAAAGACAAATTGCAATAACTCTTTAATTAAGTATGACTTTTGCTGTTAACGTATTCAGAAGTCTTCACAAAGAGAGCAAAGGTTATAACTCATGAAGAGAGTTTACATGATTCAAGAGCCATAACTCTATAAGTAATGAAAGTTGTTGAAATTTGATAAATATTTGTGTGGAAAGCCAGAGCATCCATTTGATTAAAGTTTGTTTTTATATACTGTTTAGAGACAGATGACTGTCATTTTATCATACATGTAATACAAGACTTGTCCGTTTACAGACACTAACCTTCTTCTCCTGCACCACTTTCTTCCATGCTCTCCATTTTAGCTGCTATCATAGATTTTTCGAACTGAGAGAACGCATCAAATACTTGTGTAAAATCTCGCACTGTTATAACAGTTTGTATAGCTTCTTCATAAATATCTCGTGCCTTCAATTCAAAATAATGGTTAAAGATAAATTTCATTATCTATTTAATAGAGGTGGGGAACTAAAGTTTGCTTTAAGTGTTAATATGATTACATATCTATTCTGCTCACACCAAATCTGTTTTTGGGACTGTGACAGGGCTCATTTCCATGTCAGTTGAATGCAATTGTGGTAATTCAAAACATTCTGGACTGACAATCAAGCACCCCTCTATGTTTTTTATGGCTAAAGGAAAAGTATCAAAACACAATACAAGGCTTTCATGATTTGGATATTATCATTAATCTCTGTGAACAAAAAACATCAATGGAATCCCCTATGTACAGCTGATCACTCATTCACTGGCACAAATATTCAATGTTTGAGTAAAATCAGAACTCAATTCTCAGAAAAATCTTATGCCTAAGCTTTTTTCTTATTGAAATTTATCAAGTTGATTTTCCACATATTTTTTCAATAAAATATTCATTACAAATCGTTTTCTTTCGTTTGAAAAATATGAAGCCACTTGAATTGATAGCACCAGCTGGACTTTTCTAAGAACCGGAAAGTCTGTATTAACAACATACCCTTTCAAAATGGCCACCTCTGATATAATAATCTGCTAAAGAGTTCCACAAAACACCAATTTGATCAGAATAGCGTTTTAAACCTTGCCGAATAATGGGTTCTATCTTTAATGATGTAACTTTATCTGGATTTTTGGCAATCAGCTCACACAATTCATTCCATAACTGAAAGCAGAAAATTATAACACCAGTAAAACTCAACTCTGCATATACATGTATGGTCATGTGCATCCCTGTATCCATTATCTTAAAATGTAAAGAACTAAATAATCATAAAGTTTTATTTAAATTAGCAATTCCTGTTGTCGCAGAAAAGTAGGATGATTAACAGGTCTGGAAATAATGGTTTTAGATGTACCTGACAAAATGTCAGCCACTAATGAAACAGTACCTGACATTTTCAACTTAGTGCCGGACATGTATTAATAATATCAATAAAAAAGACAAATCAGTGCCGGACAAAATGACAGACACCAGAGGTTTAGTGCCTGACAAATCCTGAATCTGTGCCTGACATTGTCTGTGACAGGTGCCTTATTTCCAGGCTTGAAGATTAACCCAATTTCATTCTGCCCAGTATTATTTTTTTGGTAAAACTGGTTAATTTTCTCTGAAGTCTTCTAAGAAACCTTTATCCTACTAGTCTTGCACACCTATCCAAGCTCTGGGGTTGGTCATAAAGTCTCCAAATTCCACATTATATAAGTGCCTATATAGTCCCCTTTTAGTTACAGTGGTTTGTGGTGGTTGTGATTAAAAGGAGACTCACACAATTGAACAATAAATTTCCTTAAATGAGTTATGTAACCCAATTAAAGATGCATTATGTAAGATTTAGATAAAGAGCTGACAGTCCTCGCTATAATAGCTAAAATATAGATAATGAAAAGGGAATATGTTGAAAATTCCAGCTAAATTACTCCATTCTAAGCGGAGTTATGGAAGTTTAAAGAACAGTGTAATCTCGATTATCATTGCTACCATTGATATGATAATAAACAAAGCCTTGATTATCCATTTTATAATTAAATTATTAACTGGCAATCGTGTTTAAATCTATTGAAAATCAAAACCATCTGACGTTCTAGAGAGTTGATTATGGGCTTGGAATATCTAAATGTCTTATTAATGATTTATATAACATTTGAGGCCTAAAGAAAGATCTGCAATAAGCAGATTTAGCTCTTACATAATGCATCTTTTAGGAAATCTAGTGATTATTCCCAAAGGTTATTTCTTTATATTTTGGCATTTTAAGTGCATACTTAAAACCATTTTTATCAACAGATACTCTGAGAAATCTGGGACTATGACTTTTAAAAAAATGTGAAATTCAGCTGTCATCCATATTGTGTTCTATTTTTGGTTAGTTTTAGGTGGGTACTCATCTAGAGCAAAATCCGTTTATATTATAGATCTGACATAATTTTGAGATATATGTAACCATCTTTGGTCTCAAAAGTTGACAGTTCAGGGCACGGACAAATCTAGAATCAGGAAAAACTTCTGCTCACATTGTCGAAAAGAAAAAACATTGTCAAGAGCTACCTTATCAAAAAAGCTGAAATAAGACATGGATGAGATCGACACGATTTCTGCATTTGTTTTGACAATAAAACAAAGTAGTCTTCACAATACCTGATGTTTTGATTTGCCTTCTTTAGAAACAAAAGTTTCATCATTGATTAGATCTGCTAGTCTAATAGCTGCTTCATCTAACCAACCAATAGATTTTAAATACTCTATATATTCTTCACCTGTTTCTTTCTGTAACTAAGAATAGAAATAATATCATATTAACATCAGATTGTTTTCATAAAAACAGTTATGAAAATATCTGGAAAATGAAGTAGGCTACATGGCTAACCAGTTCTGTCATAAAAATGAATCCAGAGAAATCAAATTTTCTAAAAAAAACAAGCACTAGCAGACCAACCTATTTCCTAAAAAAGTTTGTGTAAAGAAAGAAATGAAATGAAATGGGTTTTAACGTCCTACTGTTCTGCTCCTATACTGGGCTAATGAAGACGGGCATACGCCATACAGTGTGCTATGAGGGAAATTTTGCCCGGGTAGCGGCACTATCGCCTACTCTTACATCGAATTCCAACAGCCAAGGGATCTTTTACGTGCATTCCAATGTATACACGGGACCTCGGTCTTTCGTCTCATCCGAAGGACTAGACAGCTATCCTTGTCAGCCCTCCGTCCTGCATCACTGACAAGGGGGAACCACGCCGGAAAATCTGGATGAACTTTCTTGGCCAATGCAGGGAGCGAACACCCGACCTCCAGGCTAGCGAGTCAGTGTCTTACCCACCTAGCCAAGTGATCCCCGTGTAAAGAAAGACATTTATCACAAAAATGTCCTAGGATATATCCTTTTAATTTCTTTTGAAAAGTCACTTTTATGTCTTCCCAATTGGGTGATAAGTAAAATCTCATAACATTATTTTTTTATATCAAATATATCAACACACAACTATGAAATAATAACATCAACAGAGTCTGAGGTGTTCATTTTCATATTATTGTCTTGTGTTAATATTAAAAAGACATGTCTGAAAACTCTGTAAATATTAAGAAAAACTGAAAAAATATAAAAGATAACTTTTGTTTGATATGAATACAATCTGTTTGTAACATTATATTACTTATATTAAGCCCTGTTCAATTTGGAGTGTGACAAAACAATCCACTTCAAAAAGGACGAAGTCGTCAATTGTCTGCAGTTATAAAGCTTGGATTTGTTAAAATTGGGCAAATCTTTTTTCAGTGATAAGGAATGGACGAGTATTTGATTTCTTGGAGGAAATACCAAATCTTCATTAGCATTAGATTCTATCGATCAATCTCTTCCCTACAATCAATGACCAACTACTGACCTTTAAATGGCGACGATAAACTCTAACAGCAGTTTCTTTTAGATCATACATTCTTACAAATTTTAAATACAGTGGCCAAATCCGGTTGTGTTGTGTAACAGGCAATGACCGTAAAGCTCGATCAAATGTTCGACGTGTACGAGTTATCTTCCCTTGATCAATCAGTAACTGACAATAATCCAGCCATATTCGAGGCATCTGTAAGAATGAATAAAAATTGGTTTCAAAATAATATTTGATTTATGAGATATAATAACATACAGATTGTTCTGTCAAAATCATCATTCGTTTTAGTCGAAGTGGTGACAATTTGGACTGGAGTCGTCACCCATACATAGAACTAGGATGAAATTTTTACTTACTACAAAGCTCTATTAGACAGACCCCCAGTGCAGTTTGAAATCATTACCTGCTTCAAGTACTCTGAAATCATTATCTGGTGTACCATGAAATCATTACACCATAAAATCAGCAACAGGAACACATATAATCATTATCTGGTACTATGTGAATTCAACACCAGGTACACAATGTAATCATTACCTGGTACAACATGAAATCAAAACCAGGTAGACCATATACATGTAATCATTACCTGCTACCACATGAACAGAATAACGCAGGATAAAATGGTATTAAATTAACAGTCTATTAAAATTAATCAAAGATTAAATGCCCCATACTCTTATGATGATCATTGTTTTGATATTATACCTTTCTATTCAAATTATTATTATCTTACACAAGAAAAAACTGGTGACACTTACTTTATGCATAAATACTAGTGATCTTTCATAGGCACTATTTACATCTTCATATGCTGGATCTACAACACATCGTCCTTTTACTTGACTCCTCCTCAATTTTAAATAGTTGTACCATAGTTTATAACTAGAAAATATGGTCAACAATTTATCATTTATAATTCTGATTATATATATTAGCTTTACCTTAAGTTTCTCCATTTAACATCCTTTTCAAAGTCGCAAATACACTTAAAATTATGACCATCCAACAATATCATCTACATGTCTGCCTTATTTATAGATGAATTTACTAGCTAGCACTGACAAATACATGTGCAGTGTAGCCAATGTGTTATCATTAAAGAAACTTGTTTTAAGTTGAACATTCGCTAAAAGTTCTACTTTAATTAGAACTCATTTTTAGCTGTGAACAATACCTGATAGCCGATACACATCTAAGTCTAACTTTATTCAGGTAAAACATTTTTACAAACCTTCCTGGTAATTCCTTTAAAGCTCTCTCATATATAACGTTTATTATTGATTTGGGTGAAGCAGACTTGTGTTCAATGTATCGTAACCAGCATTTAACAGAAAAGGGATTTCGCAGAATATCTTCTTCATAGGGTAGATCATCTTCTTCCTGAAAATTATATATAACTGTTAGCTTTATAAGATTAGAGAATGTGGATATAAATAAAGTAAACACTTTACCATACTTACTATTCTTCCACTGAAAGAAGAGTAAGGGTAATTGTTTATTTTACTTAAAAGAAAAAGATATTTCAACCACTTATTAATTTTACCAGCCCAGATTTTCAAGTCAGGATTTAATTTGGGCCACAGAAAGCCAGTGAGGCCAACACAGAGCGAAACATTTGTAAAACTGTAGCCTAGTAGGCCTACTGTAATCGTTAGAATCAGGTACCCATATTAAAACGTAGGCATAACTTAAAGGAGCTAAATCGCTAAAATTTGGGAGCTAGAAATTGACAAAAGTAGGTCACAACACATATAATACTGTAGTATGAATGTATATAAACTGATTTACATTCAATGGTTTCCGTATTTACTCCAATTTCAAATCAGTTATGTTCGGCGAAATAAGCCAGCAGTCTCAAGCAAGTGCAAATTTCTAGCGTCTTGTTATTCCAGTCTACATACGCCGTTTTGATTTGGTGCAATGTGTCTAGCCTTGTCCCTCGAGTCTCTTGATGCAACTGGGGCTGAAGCGCATTATGGTACACGATTCGTGTACCAATGGTAAAATGTTTATTTTGTCTTAAATATTGGATATCAAAAGCCCATCTTTTTCCGGTAAGATCACAACATGAATGTTGATTTAATTTGACAAATAAATCGTGTTTTCAATGTTGAAGATTTTGGATGATATTGAGTTAGAGACTTAGCTACTTTAAAGTAAAGAGTAGATCTATCTAATAGTTAATAGTAGGCCTATTGAACTTATTGAAGGCTATTTTATTTCTTCCAAAGGTTCCTAAATCTGACATCATGTCACATTATCAGAGGATTATTGATATATCTATATAGCTGCCATCTCTATAAGTACTCACAAAGAAAATATCTTTCAATGCATCCTCTGAAATCGGCATTTTTAATAATTTTATAACTCAACAAATTAAAAACATCGACATGTGTAAATGTGAACCAAACGTTTACTTCGGGTGAGTCTACATTTGGACGAATATGAGTGTTTGCACTACATTGAAATGATAAGATATATATGTAGCATATTCTGCATTTTATTCGATTTGTATGTATCATTGAATTATGTCCATTTGTCTTAAGTTCATTCTAAAGGTCTTATCAAAGCATATAAACATTAAATGTAATATAGATATATACTGTAACACCCCAAACATTTAAAATGAACTCGTCTAATAAACATCCCGTAGAATCTCGTGAAATACCTGTGGAAACGAGACTACGGGAACCATTCATCCGCTATTTCCCTCCAAATCCAAATTTATGTCAAAAACATAAACAATTTCAAAGAAAACCTGAAAATGTTTTCCATTTAATGTTGGTAAGGTAATAGAGAAATGCATTTAAGTTGATAAATGTCGTATATCTATTATATTTGAATCATAAATGCCGGCAAGGTACCAACTAAAAGAATGGCACTGGCACCATTTTGATTTTTGTTGATACGGCTGCTGCTGACAGAGTCAATGACATTAAGGCCTTCTGATGACTTCTCATTATTCTTAAACCTATTCATGGAAAGGCGTGTGAGGGTATAAAATAAACTGGGGTGAGTGCAGTCAAATTCAAAAGTCCATGGAAGCTTACACAAAAAGAAAGCTACATTATAACTTGACCACTGGAATGCATCAGCAGTAATATTCCACTGGCTGGAATTAGCAAATAGTAGACCTACCACCTAGTAAATTAGCTAGGTGTTCTGAAAAGGGTAAACATAATCTGCATCTTGTATGACACTCTGTGACCCTGACCATCAACCTGTTGACAGCCCGAGAAATACAATCATTGATGTTTTGGCAGCCATTCCAGAGACAGAATAAGTAAACATCTTCAATATAAAGTTGTAGCAATGCCATTTTTACTAATGTAATATAGGCTATGCAGACTACAATTACAGTCTTTTAGACTGACATTTTAGGATAAGTCACAAACAGATCTTTGTTTAAAATATCAGTTACATGCCCTCCACTACATTACCGGTACTTGATATTCAGTTTGCACAGAGAAAGTTAGCTTAAATCTTAAGTAGTAAGGAGAGTAATATGAATGAAAAACTATATGATTGTCTATAGTATGGTATATAAGTATAAGCTGTGTGTAATAACTTACTAAATGCTGTATTATGCATTTTATTATCAAATTGCAAAAACTTCTGATGAGTAGGGAAACTTATAACGTAGTCATAACTCAGACAGATCTAAATCCCAACTCTATTTCTAATATTATACTACATGAATATTAGACTTGAAATTAATGTCTTTTATATTTGCTTTTATATAAGAAAATGGAGTGTACATGTATGGAACTAGCATTGGAAGGAGAAAGACTGTGTAAAGCTGGTGATTGCCGAACAGGGGTTCAGTTTTTCGAAGCAGCTGTACAAGCTGGTACTGATGATCTGAAAACTCTAGGAGCAATATATAGTCAGCTTGGAAATGCTTACTTTTATCTACAAGAGTATGCCAAAGCTTTGGAATACCATAAACATGATCTCAATATGGCAAGGTATGTGTTTATTTTCTCATCAGCTTGTACAGTTGGTTACTTTTAATTGAGAAATAGACGTGCTTATAGTGCATTACATGTAGCTTGTTGATACCTCAAAACCTCAAATAATCTTTCCCAAAGGTGAAAACTAATAGTCATATAAAGTCAATTTAATCCAAAATCCTAGAGCAGTTTTAAAATTATTTATGGAAAGCTTTGCCAAGATTTGATTTATAATGCTGCAATCCAGTCTGAAAAAAGTAAAAAACAAATCAACTAATAATAGCGTAATATAATGCGTATGAGGTTTGTTCCACAGGTAAATGTTAATTTATGAAATTATCCCTGTTTACTGTTTTTATACGCCCACTTTGAAATGTGGTCGTATATTGTGGTCCGTCGGTCCGGCATCCACAATTGCTTGTTGACGCTCTAGAGGCTAAAGTTAATATCCGATTGATTTTAGATTTATACACAGTGTTTAAGGTCATGAGACGAAGAAGCCTATTGATTTTCAACGATTTCTGATAATTATTACCAGAGTTATGGCCCTTGATCACTTCGAAAAATCTTGTGAACGCTCTAGAGGCTAAAGTTAATATTCGATTGACTTTAAATTTATACACAGTGTTTAAGGTCATGAGACAAAGAATCATATTGATTTTCAACGATTTCCGATAATTACTGCCAAAGTTATGGCCCTTGATCACTTTGAAAAATCTTGTGAAGCTCTAGAGGCTAAAGTTATCATCCGATTGACTTCAGATTGATACACAGAGTTTAAGGTCTTGAGACGAACAAGTATATTGATTTTCAATGAATTTTTATGACTTGGACAGCTAAATCCATGATGTTAAAAGTTTCATATACCAAACGTTAGCATGGGGCAGAACTTTATAAAAACCAAACAAATTCTAATGGTTTTCTGATAATTACTTAATGAGTTGTTACTCTTAATCAGATTTTAATGTATTATAAATGTTTCATTACCGAAAAAAGTAAAAATATGCAACAACTCTTGTTGACTGCCCGAATGATTTAGCTTAAACGTTAAAGATACTTTTCCGTGATTGATTTGGACTAAAACATATTCAAATTAATTAATCTATCAAAAATTTGCTTCAAATCCCTCTCGAAACTTTGTATTTGTCGGGAGATACTGCAAGCTATAAATAAATTGTTTTTAAGACACCATGTCTGTCAGCTCAATTCATTGAGGGAGGGTCCATTTTTCAGAGTGTATTTTTCGTTACTTACTGTCCATTTATCATACATATTGAGGCCTAAGTAAATCCTTATTTATTTTCTGTCAACTACTTTTTCCGCCGTTTAATTGCAGAGTCTTTTTGGAAGTTGACACCCTTCAATGTTCCCAAAACCACCTAACAATTTGATCAAGAAATAACAACCGCTCCCTCAATCAAGCTAGCACACAATAGACCGGCAGTTAGTGATACCCTGACATTTTTGCACAGTGCTTGCCCCATGAGTGATTTTCGAGTAATCCAGTATTTTTCTAGTAAGATTGGGTGTCTATACTTTCCATATATACCAAATTGGCCATACTTTTATTGGAAATAACCACCAGATAAATACTTTCGGGACAATGGATCTTTAAATGAAATCTGTCTTTTATTTTACAGAGCTCTGTCTGATAGAGTTGGAGAGGCTAAAGCAAGTGGGAACCTGGGTAACACATTAAAGGTTATTGGCAAGTTTGATGAAGCCATAGTATGTTGTAAACGCCATCTAGATATTTCTAGAGAGATCACTGATAAGGTAATTAACCATTATTATAAGAAGCCATGCATATTGCCCAGCATTCTCAATAGAACCATAAGATATGTCTATGGACAATGTAATCATAAATGATAAGAAAGCTGCTATTTTAGTTTTTTAACCAACAAATATTACATCAACTTGATCCAAGCAGAGGTGCTTGTTGTCTAGAAGCGATAGCATAGCTGTTATACATGGAAATACATGTATAATACATACAGTATGGACAATTTGTTTTTCTAGTCACTAGGATTTAAAGCATAAGATCTCTAGCAAAGATGACAATGCAAAGACGGCAGTTGACTAAGGAACTAGGCCATTTAGTTATTACTAAGAAAAGTTTTTATCATTAAATCGTATAAAGTGATCATTATTCTAGACTAATGTTTAGTATGTATAGAAAGTGGTTAGAAAATATACAGTAGTCATTAATAAGCAGGTGTGTAACTGGTTGTAAAAGATGTTACTCCTTGTGTAGAATTGTCATTAATTATAATACCCATCAGTATTGAATACACAAACCTGGCTAATAGTGGTGTATATCATTCAATAGTAGTGCTGATATCAAGTAAAATTTTACGCATCGATACATCAATGCATCAGGAATTTTTTGCTGCCATTTTGTTATTTTCGAAAATTGCAGAAATAACATTACTATTTCTGATAAAAACATAGATTTCCCTAACATTATCATTAGGCCTATTATAGAAATGTCGATTTATTTGAATAAATATATTTCTACAATATTATCAATTATGACATTAATATCGTCCGATTCATTTCAATTGACACTCGTTAGCCATTTTTCAAATTTGTCGTGAACGTGTGACGGGAAAAGTGTTTACAAGAGACAGTTTGAATTATTTATATACGGATTGTACCAAAGCCTGTCTATAGGAATTTGTGAAATACAATCTCTATTGCCTGTGACAGCAAAAAAGACTAAATCGTTTTAAAACTAGCATTAAAAACCGGCTGGGAATTATAATCGTTCTGACATAGTTCGCCTGGCCATGGACTGTATATTATATTAGATTTGGGATTTAAATGAACCTTGAAATTGACCTTGGGGTTGAAGGACATGATAGCCAGCGTAGTAACCAGCAAAGGCAGTCTTTGTAGTCACTGGAAAATGGAGACAAACATAACGGAGCGTAGCGTAAACGGGTCAAGCTGGACTACCTTAATACAATTGGCAGAATTCATTGATTTTTTCCATTACATGTATTGAAAAGGTGTTATTTATTGTAGTGGACAAACTTGTGAACTCCTCGGAGTCCTCGGACACATAAAGCTAATTATAGTATTTTTTGCAGATGCATTGATAATACAAAAAAGGGCAGAGAATCGCATCGGCGTCGGCCGAATCGATGCATCTACATCGACCGAATCGATGCATCAGCGATATATCAATACTTGATATCAGCACTATTGAATAGTCATGACTTTAACACCTTAGTGAGATAACACCTACTTAATGACAACAGCCTTATTAATAACAATTGTAAATAACTAATAAACATTATGTTATGTTATACATTTTCATTTATAAAAGTTTTTTGTTCATTAGTCAATGATATAAATTTACAGTGATTACATAAGATATGATCTCTGATCATGAAATACATGACTCGCTGTCGGTTTTCTTTTGTCATATACACATATTTCCATTGGTTTCTTGTAGAATGTTATTCTTGAATACTCCTATTTCAGGTTGGCGAATCACGAGCATTATATAATCTTGGTAATGTTTATCATGCTAAAGGAAAACATGTAGGTAAAAGTGGCCGACAAGATCCAGGTGATTTCCCCCCAGAAGTAAAAGACTGTTTACAAAAAGCTACACAGTATTATGAGTAAGTGTATTATGAAATTGTGACACTATAATACATGATGAGGATACTGGGATTGAATATTCCGGGAATTGATTTCTCTCAATCCCAAAAATAGTGACAGTTGAGTGAAAAAGGGGATTTCAGGCTACAACACTTGTGCTGACTGCATAAGAAAATATCTCAACCAACCATGACAACTGAAAAATTTCTTTGTGTTTAATTACGTCACGATTCTACTCAAATCACGTCAGGACTGACAGAACTGTTTCAGGACTGAATTCCATGTCAGTGATATCTATAGCCTGGCTCAACAAGGGAGTTAATCAAGTTATCTCCCCTGTTTCTTGACTACCACAGTGAATTGTAGCTTGGAAAATAGTTAAAGGTCCAGGTCAGCAACAGCCTAAAATGTTGTCTAATATTGGTTTCAAAACAAACCTAAGAAAAATGATTACTTTGAATATCTCATTAATTTTGATTTTTTGTTAAAATAATTTTATTTCTTTTACAGAGAAAATTTACAGCTAGTAAGAGAATTAGGAGATAAAGCTGCTCAGGGACGTGCTTGTGGTAATCTTGGCAATACCCATTATTTGTTGGGTAATTTTACACAAGCAATTCTTTATCATGAAGAGGTTTGTTTTTTTTATTATGAATCAAAGTCTGAACATACTAAATGATTTTATTTTGTTTGCAACATTACAACAAACGGTACTAAAAACATAATATTTATGACATAGACATATGTTTAAGAAAAAATAGCAGTTAACCAGCAAAGAACATGCCATAAGCTGGAATTTTAAAGTGAGTGAGAAAGAGTTGAATGTAAAAACAATCTGTGATAGATTACTAGTATTGTCAGTTCTAAAGATTGAATCTTTAAATATTATATCAACGTCCAAATTCCCATTTCTTCTTTTAAATACATACGTGTATGGTTATATTTATAAAACTAAATTATTCTTACTTCAGAGACTTGCTATTGCAAAACAGTTTGGCGATAAAGCAGCAGAAAGAAGAGCATTTACAAATTTAGGCAATGCACACATCTTTTTAGGAGAATTTGAAGTTGCAGCAGAACACTACAAGTAATTGCATTTCCTTTTTTTTGACTTCAAAATTATTTTTTAAGATCACAACATCAATGACCAATAATTCGTGTTTTCAATGTCGAAGACCTTGGATGATGTTAAGTTAGAGACTTAGCTACTTTAATGGTAATTTTATAAACAAACATTTTATGTGGACCTATATTTTCGTCACATGCATCTGTGGTCCATTGTCACTTCACAATCTACTTAAAACACTGTGCTTCAGTGGTAAAAAATTTCTGATGCCAAATTTCAGTAGTCAAATTTTCTGATGCCAACTTTCAGTTGTCAAAAGTTATCCCATTTACATATGAACTTAGGAAATCTTGTGAATACAATACAGGACAGAATTCTTGATGGATTATTTTAAACCTTAGCGAAATCATTGTTATCAGTAATTCTGTTTTGTAAATTTATAACCTCTGTCTGCAGAATGATCTTGAATTCACTATATTTTATTTTTAGGCGTAGTTTACATATAGCTAAACAAATATGTGATAAAGCATTAGAAGCCCAGGCCTGTTATAGTCTTGGCAATACATATACCCTTCTACGAGATTATGAAAAAGCAATAGAATACCATATGCGACACTTGCAGATAGCTCAAGAGTTAGATGATCGTGTGGGTGAAAGTCGAGCATGTTGGAGTTTGGGAAATGCTCATACGGCTGTTGGCTATCATAAAACAGCTATTGAATATGCAACTAGACATTTACAACTATCGAAAGAGGTAGGAACATTAAACATTATAATTTCAAAGCTTTTAGACCATTTTCAAACACCCCTACCATTCAAAAATCAGATTTTCAAATATCTCAACCATTCATTAACCAGATTCATATATCCCCACCATTAACTAACCAGATTTTCATCCACCATTTACAAACCAGATTTTCAAATATCCCTACATGTCGCTAATCGGCATGTCTGTGCCATACACCTGCAAAAAGTATATAGCAGCATGATCTAGCTTTGACTAATTATAACATTTTAACGAAAGAGAAAGAAGCCAAGCCATATATGTATGATTAGTAGGTATAATGATAATTCTGGTTAGAAATTACAATCAGTTCTGCACTCAATAGTTAATAAAGATAACACATAGAAACAAAATAGCACCCTCCCCCAAAAGTTAATAGAAATCAGTTACTATATAATTGGAGATTAACTCAACGTGATTTTAATTCTGTTTATGCTGTAGATTGGAGATGAAAATGGTCAGATTACAGCTAAAATGAATTTAGCTGATTTACGATCAGCTTTAGGTATGAACACAGGATCAGCAGAAGATGGTGCTAATGGGTACGCTTATTTTATCTTTTATGAAATGCTAATTTGTGTCATGTGTGTAATGGTGAGTTGTTTTCATATTTCTTGTTGTACATTGTATCTATGGAGATACATGTAGTGTACCTAGTGCATAATACTATCTTGTGTAAATCGATGTAATTTATGTTATGTTTTCCTTTCCTTTATTTTATCTGATTTTCAAGCTATAGAGTCAGTGACAGTTCTGTGTATATCAACAGATCCACTGTATAATGTCATAATTCAGCCCAAAATAAACATCTGTATACCAATATAGATGATTTAATTGACCTGAACACTATTATGTCAGGTGTAGTAAAATATAAAACATAATTGATTATGAATTTAATGAGAATTCTATGTAATATAAGGACAACAGGAAAGGCTTTTGGCAATCATGTAAATATGACTTGAAATTGAAGTGTCTACTACAGTAAATAAGACATGTTTTCTTTAAGTCACTGTTGATAAAATGCTGATCTTAAATGTGATAAGATATCCGACACAGTTAAACCTTGTTTTTATGTGCCCATATATCCCAGGAATTCCAATACACACTGTCCCTGGTAAGAATTTATAACTGGTTAATGTTTATTTATAGATTAAGTCCTGAAAATGATGAAAATTTAAGTGCTAATATAGGACATGATGTTAATGATATAGGATTAGGTAAGTTATACAGGTACCAATACAAGTAATGTAGATATTTATTATTGTCATCCGCGTCTTTCGACATTTTTATACGCCCACATGGGAATGTGGACAAATATTGCCGTCGCTCCCGTCCGCCCATTCGTCGTCCACAATTTCTTGTGAATGCTCTAACTCCAAAAGTTATTATCCAATTGTTTTAAAACTGATATATGTGATTTACATTAGTGGGATGAAGAATCCTATTTAATTTCAATAATTTCTGTTTATTACGTCTTAGAGTTTTATGGCCCTTGTTTCACTTTGTTGAATTAGTGAAACAAAGAAGCCTATTGAATTTCAGCAATTTCCATCTATTACTTCTAGAGTTATGGCCCTTGTTCTACCATGTTGCACCTTGGAAACGCTTTAGCCTCTAAAGTTATCTACCGCTCTGAATGAAATTTATATGTGCCATTTAAGTTAGTAAAAAGAAGAATCCTATTGAATTTCAGCAATTTCCGTTTATTACGTCTAGAATTATGGCTTGTTTCACTTTATTGAACCTTGTGAACGCTCCAACGCTGAAAGTTATCATCCGATCTTGTGAAATTTATATGCATTATTTAAAATAGTAAAACCACAAAGCCTATTGAATTTTAACAATTTACATTAATTACTTCTGGAGTTATGGCTCTTGTTTCACTTTATTCAACCTTGTTAATGCTCGATTGATGAAAATTATCATCTGATATGTATGAAATTTGTGAAACAGAGGTCTATTGAATTTCCGCCCTTGTTTTACTTTGTGAACCTTGTGAACGTTTTAATGACAAAAGTGATCATCCGATCTGTATGAAATTTATATGTATGAAATTTGTGAAACAGAGGTCTATTGAATTTCCGCCCTTGTTTTACTTTGTGAACCTTGTGAACGTTTTAATGACAAAAGTGATCATCCGATCTGTATGAAATTTATATGCCAAATTTCAACAATTTCTGTATACTACTTCACTTCCAGGGTTGAGGCCCTTGTTTCAGTTTGTAGAACCTGGTGAACCCTCAAACGACAAAAATTATAATCTAATCTGTATGGAACTGTCTTGTAAAGGCCCCCAATGATATAAGAATTAATCTGGCATGGCACAATAATGATTGTTTGGATAATGTGGTTACTTTTCTGTTCAAAAATTAGGTTCACAAAAAACATGATCCTTTCGATATTGGATATATCGGACCGTAACTTCATGGATTATAGCTTGTTTTCTGTCTATCTCTTGCAAAATGTGGGCGTATCTTGCACCACAACTGTTTTTTGATTGACCAATTGCTTTCCAACTTTTTAAATTGAACATATATCCTATTTTTATAGGTAGACGACCATGTAGAGCTAGACGACATAGTATGGAAAATATGGAATTGGTTAAATTAACACCAGATAAAAAGGTATTTTAGACAAATATTGAAAAACAAACTTCTGTGCATCGTCATTTGCTAAAAGTGAATTGAAGTCTGAGTTATCATCAGGTTTCCGAACAAGTTCATATAAAGCCGCTGAGAGTCATTTGAGGAATATAAGCAAGCCAGGGGTAAAGAAAAAAAAAAGAGATTATCTGTGATATATGTACTGTATGTGAATGAATTACATATAAATATTTTATTGTACAAATAAATTTATTATATAGGTAACTCAAGTAGGAGGAGCACGACCTAAACAAAAAGTACAGAAAGCAGCAAGTATTGCTACAGATGTAACCCATACCAAACATTGTCGTAAAGCTTCTGATGGCCTTATTCATTCAGAAGAAGTAAGTCTCTTTTCTTTAAACTTGTCTATAAAATCGAAAAATGTTGCTGATATTGTAGCAATTAATTCTACAGGCATTGCCACTCAGTAATTATTGGGATTATTTTCATTGGGCCTGTGTTCATATAGTCTGCAAAAAACACTAACTTCAGAGATACTGCTGAAATATAATTCTAGTTTGATAGAAAATGCATTGGTCTTTCAAATCATTACAAAGTATATGTCTTATACCCAGTTCAGTTGGTACCAGTAAGATATATGATGGGGTTTGGTGTACAAAAGGCATCATTTAAAATATACACACAATTAGCCATTTATCAAAGAAGACATGTCACAAGATAATGCTGAACAAGGTAGATTTCACTGATCTCTCTGTCAATAAAGGCTAAATTCAATTTGTCTAGCTTATATAATTCAAATTTCAATTTGTTTAGCTTATATAATTCAAATTTTGATACTGGTACTTGCATGGTCTTTTTTATATTTTCCTAAATTAGACGGATGAGACAACAGATGAAGATAATTTCTTAGACTTGTTGAGTAGATTCCAAAGTCGTAGAATTGATGAACAGCGATGTTCATTCAGGACTGTAGAAGAAACACCATCATCACCATTGCAAACAAATGGCACCGTGCCTCATTCAGGTAATATACATTGAATGTTGTTAATTGACTTTAGTTTATAAACATTGATATTAATAAATTGTCAGATGATATAAGAAACATTTTGTGATTTAATTTTACCATTATTCAGGCCTCGAAATGTTAAAAAAAACCCAACTTGGCCCTTCAGCAAATAACCTGTCTCTCATAATATATTTTCAGGAACCGATGAACTGTTAGATATGGTTGCTGGTATACAAGGATCACGTATGAATGATCAGAGAGCCGAGCTGCCTGTTGTACCTAGATTCCCAGGATTAAATTCTCAAGAAGTAATAGGACAATATTTACAACGAACAGAAGAACGGCATCCTGAAGATGATTTCCTAGAAATGTTGATGAGAAGTCAGGTAGGATCTATAGCTTTCTCTTGATTGATCATCACTCTCTACAAAATTGTAATACTGAAGTGATTTCTGTGCTGGAATATATATATTTAAAATTTTAAATTATTGTTTTAGTTTAAAGGGACAAAATACAGTAAAAAGCCTTATTGGAAACTGAAAATGTAAACTATAACAATTCATTTGTTCCTTTGTGAGGCTTAATTTCCACTTCCATCAAGGGTGATATCGCAGACTAGTCAATAAGAATTCTTATAGATAACGTATTCAATGTTGAAACATTATCCTGATAACAATGCAAGAACTAGGTTTATATGTTTTGTAAATATAAGAATTGTGGTGGTGTAAGAACTATGTTGAAATGTTGAGTAAATTAATATAGACATATGTTATTTATAGGAATTATCTAGACTGATGATATTATTCGCATAATAGTGTTTAATAATAAGTGTTGATTTGTATGTAGTAATATGATATCAGATTGAATATCTTTCAGCTTACATCTATATCAGAAGATTATGTAACTAACATTTTTGTCGATTTGTAATATTTATTAATAAATCTATATATCTTTTTAATATTTAATAATAAATCTTTATATCCTTTTCATTTTCAGGCAACACGCTTGAATGATCAAAGAAGTGCTTTACCCCCAGTTCTCCCAGCCCCAACAATACCTGATGATGACTTCTTCAATTTAATTCAAAGAGTGCAATCAAGTCGCCTGGAAGAACAGAGAACAGATCTGCCTAAAAATAAAAAATCAAGTGTCCCTGGTAAAAAGAAAAAAAGTAGATAGAGAATCAAAACCAAAGTGTAGATATCCCTAACTTAGTTGTGCCAAACTGTTTACTCCATAGGGTGTAAATAAAAACCCAGTTTGAACTTGGTTATGGTATTGTAAATATGTATAAAATCTAAATACAAGATTTCTTGTATTAACCTTAGTGCAATCTCTGAAATATGGCCTTTCTATTTAAGACGTTTTCATGCTTTTTAATAATCCTAGTTACCCGTACATGTTTGTGTATGATGGCTTTGTATGGCATAAATCTTAATTATTGCTAAATGTTTAACTATTTATGAAGAAATTTAAAACATGAATCTCTTGTTGGAAAATTAATTGTGAACAAGTTTTGTATGAAGTTATGGTATTTATTTTAGGTATGATGAAAAACTGGTTTTATTTAGAATTTTAAAGTAAAAATTCTAAATAATTTTGCAAATTCAGGATATAATACAGAGATCTGTGCAACTGAAATCCATTGACCAATGAAAATAGAGATTCTGTATTTATTTATAAAAAAGACTTTTGAATTAGTCTTTGAAATTAAAGTAATTCCAAGTTTAAGAGAGAAATTTAGTATGCCATCAATAAATTGTAAATGTGGCCAAAAACAATCTAGTTCAAATTCAACAAAATCGCCAAATATTGTGTTATGTGCCATTTTCACTTTTTTGTGTGTTGAAAATTGGGTATCATCAAAATCTGCAGAATAAGTTGCCTTTATCTCGTCTGTTCTCAAAATGAAAGGCTGTGGAATGGTCCTATTTGATATGGATTGAAAAGTTGTTGGACAGCAGTTTTAATCATAATTAATTCTTCTGTTACTTTCTCAGCAAAAAAAAAGTCTCCCAAAACACATTGATTTTTATACGCCCACATTGGACGTATATTGCCGTCGCCCCTGTTCGTCCGTCGTCCACAATTTCTTGTGAAAGCTCTAATGCCAAAAGTTATCATCCAATTGTTTTAAAATTTATATGTTGTTTACATTAGTGAGATGAAGAAGCCTATTTAATTTCAATAATTTCTGTTTATTATGTCTAGAGTTATGGCCCTTGTTTCACTTTATTGAACCTTGTGAATGCTCTAACGCCAAAAGTTCTCATCCGATCTTTGTGAAATTTATATGCATTATTTAGATTACTGAAACGAAGAAGCCTATTGAATGTCAGCAATTTCCGTTTATTTCGTCTAGAGTTATGGCCCTTGTTTCACTTTATTGATCCTTGTGAACGCTCTAACGTCAAAAGTTATCATCCGATCTTTCTGAAATTTATTTGCATTATTTAGATTACTGAAACGAAGAAGCCTATTGAATTTCAGCAATTTCCGTTAATTACGTCTAGAGTTATGGCCCTAGTTTCACTTTATTGATCCTTGTGAACACTCTAACGTCAAAAGTTATCATTCGATCTTTCTGAAAATTATATGCATTATTTAAATTAGTGAGACGAAAAAGCCTATTGAATTTCAGCAATTTCCGTTAATTACGTCTAGAGTTATGGCCCTTGTTTCACGTTTTGAACCTTGTGAACGCTCCATCACCAAAAGTTATCACCGAATCTTTGTGAAATGTATATGCATTATTTAGATTAGTGAAACGAAAAAGCCTATTGAATTTCAGCAATTTCCGTTTATTACGTCTAGAGTAATGGCCCTTGTTTCACTTTATTGATCCTTGTGAACGCTCTAACGCCAAAAGTTATCACCCGATCTTGGTGAAATTTATATGCATGATTTAAATTAGTGAAACGAAAAAGCCTATTGAATTTCAGCAATTTACAATAATTACTTCTAGAGTTATTGCCCTTGTTTCATTTTGTTGAACCTTGTTAATGCTCGATTGATAAAAGTTATCATCCGATATGTATAAAATTTATATGCATTATTTAAATTAGTAACACGAAAAAGCCTATCAAATTTCAACAATTTCTGTAGATTACTTCCAGAGTTGAGACCCTAGTTTCAGTTTGTAGAACCTTGTAAACCCTCAAAAGGACAAAATTTATAATCTGATTTGTATGGAACTGTCTTGTAAAGACCCCCAATTACCTACAAAGGAATAAATATTTTGTCGACCGCTCGGACGATTTAGCTGCTGTGGGCGTATGTTTTGTTGCCTGGCAACCTATCTTTATTAAATATAGAAATGACAACCAGAATGTATTAACTTAAAAAACGTGACCTGCAAGTGTAACAAAACCTTTTTATTAAGTAGTTATATGGATATATACCTTGTGTTGTGTTTTATTTTAACAGAATGTATTAGCCAACTGTATCAAATATAATAATGGTCTAACAATAATTTAAAGAGACATTTTGAGAGTTATATTCTTTTTAGAGTTATATTCTATTATAATCTATGTCATTAAAGTGTGTCGTCTAAATTAAACAGTAATATGCATATATTTTAGCTCTTTGAAATGCTAAACTAAGAGAATAGAAAGAAATGAAGCAAAGTTTAAACATTTTATCTCTTCAAGTACATGTATATAATGAAGGTGATATATTTTTTTTTAACTACCTGGTACACCATGACCATTTATTATACATTATTTATATATATATATATGGATTACAAATAAGTCATTTTCTTGTTCATTGAAATGATAATTAAATGATACCTCTCTTGACTCATGTCTCCACATAAAGTTAGATTTAGTGCTGCGGATCTGTAAACAAGGCTATAACTTTGTAAACTCTATAGTTAATCACTCATATTATTGAGAAATATCTTAATTCATAGAGATATTGTTATACAAGGAATATAATCCTAATAATGTTTTTGACTTCCATGGATTGGTATTTTTACATATTCTTATGGTACATTTTTTACCCACGTGTTAATCTATTAATTTAGTCGGTTTGTCAATTCATCAGCCCTCTTGTAATCACTCCTCAGGTCAATGTTGAGATATTTTCAAAGTTGCTAGATAAATTGATTAGTCATAAAGATGACCCATATCAAAACTGGAAGTTATGTGTCGCATTTACACCATTATGGCTTCTGGAGAACACTCTACCGGTTAGGAGGTTTTTTTTTTGTCTCCTAGCTTGTTTGACTTGTCAAAGAGTACAATCACATGAAGTCTCGTATTAATCATTGAAGCCTTGTAGATATGGTACTAGTTATTGTTTGTATACACTCACATATATTGTGGACATATATTGTTGTCACCTTGGGCCGGCATCGTGAATCTATAATTTGTGACTGCTCAAATGGCCAGAATTCTTTACTGGTTCAAATTCATAATTTTTCAATCACTTATCACAAAGAAATATTGTGAAATCTAGATATTGTTGATTCGGTTGTAAGGAAGAACCCTATCAATTTTCAGATTTTCTTAATCGTAATTCACATTTGGACTGTCAAAACTAGTGTTCGTGGTTTTTTTTATAGCATGCCCTGCAGGATTTGTTAAAAATGAGACTTCACAGCTAGTGTGCGTATTAGGGAGCCCAACAAGCTCCAATCAATGTTAATCTCTGGATAAATTCTTACCACAAAGTTTCAAAACCATTCTGTTCAAATGATAATTAAATTGTTTATTTCATGCAATGTCTATGTAGTTTGTCTTCTCCGCGGGTTTGTCTTCTCGGTTTTGTTTTGTGTGTAGTGGTGTTCTCCTGCACCACACTATTAAAACGTGACAAACTGCATTGGCAACTTGAGTGCTGCTGGATTGTCTAGTAACCTAAATCTGTATTACAATACCGGTATATATAATTGGGACCAGTATTAAGGGTCATTATATTCAGTTTTCAGCACTCAGAAACTATTTGATTATATTTATCTTATTAATAGGGTATTAAATGGTGAATTTGTGATATCTAAGTCTAAAAACTGTAGTAATCTAACTACTTTTAAACTGTAATTAATTTGAGCAAGGTCACAAATAATACAAATTCAGACAAATTTTCCTCCAAACTTTTAGTAAATGAATAGAACAAGTAACTAGCATTTATAAAAGAATTATGATTTTTTTACCAAATCAAAAAGGGTACTATATATATCCTATTAATTCTAAATAGATTGAATGCATTTAGTTGGTTATTTGAACATAGTGATAGTCTCTGACATAATATGTTCTTTGATAGAATTATTTTTTGCAGCTTTGTGTGTTTACTTGTATAATTTTGGGGCGAATTTACCAGAAGGGGAAAGCATTTTGGATTTTTATACGCCCACATTGAAATGTGATCGTATATGTCGTCGCCCCCATCCGTCCATTAATATCCAATTGACTTTAAATTATACACAGTGTTTAATGTCACGAGACGAAGAATCCTATTGAGTTTCAGCGATTTCTGATAATTACTGCCCGAGTTATGGCCCTTAATCACTTTGGAAAATCTTGTGGACGCTCTAGAGGCTAAAGTTAATATAATTGTTTAAGGTCATAAGACAAACAATCGAAACAAATTTTATTGTTTTCTGATAATTACTTCATGGGTTATTACTAGTAATCAGATTTTCATTACTGGGATGACTTAGCTGCTGTGGGCATATGTTTCGTTGCCTGGCAACCAATCTTTAATATTTTGGATGAAGTTTCTAGTTATTATCAGATGTTTGTAAATCAGTTAACTTATAAATGGCAGGAAGCTATAAAGAGTCAATAATTTTTGTCATCTTTTACTTATTTTCAAGAAACTACAAACCAAGAAATTAGTTTAAACTCCAAAAACTAAATCCAGTTTAGGTGGGATTAATTCGCCCCAGATTGTAAAGTGGATGTTGTACTTTATTTACCAATATTAGGCATTTGTTCTTGATTTTCTCGCATATGCAATTTAATAGTAGAAAACTGTATTCTGTGATAGTTGATAAAGTTACTTTTTTATATGTCCACAATCAATATTTTGAGACATTCACAGGAACCTTTCAATAAAACTGTAGCTAAGCCTTGGTATAAACAATGTAATTGCCAAATTAAAATTGTATGTCTACATGGACATATGAGAAATGAAGAGTATGCTTTATCCTTTTGTCAATTAATGATTGATGTTTGTCCAAAGATGAAACGATTATAATAGTCCCTAACAGTAGTATAAATATGTGTGCTAATCCGTGCCTCAATTTATTTTGTTTATGTGAAATATAGATTAAGATTGATCATCAGTCTATGTTTTAAATTTTAAAAAAAAGGACAGATATTTGCTGCTCTGTTAAAACAATTAAAATTTAAAACAGTATTAGAACAAAAGACTGAAAATGAAATTGAGCAAGTGGTCTTATAATTGTAAAGAGATTTTTAAAAGTAAAAAAAAAAAGCTCATTACACATTTCCCAATAGTGGTGGTGTTAGCGCTAAGAATTTTATGCTTATATAATGTAACTATTGTTAAATGAAGGTGATAATTATATGCCTGTATGTTGTTAGGAGTTACAATAAAGTAAAACCGTTTAATCGGTAAACAAAGATGATATTTATCTCTTGATTTTATTATAGCTTATGTGATAGGGGCGTGTTCAGGAATTGGGGGGGGGGGGCAAGGTGGAGTCATCGTCAAGTTGGGCGTGAGGTCTGGGGGATTATCTGAGAAAATATTTCTGCTCATCTAGAAGCATATATGTGATTATTAGTGAAGTAAGATAGACATGGGCAATGTTCGCACGTTTGTTTGTTTGACGTTATTTCAATGAATGTGGGAGAAAAAAAATGCTCTGCGCGGGCAGTCCGCCCCCTCTCCTCAGCACGCAGCTGAATGATGGCTGTTTTTGTTAAAGGTAAGAAAGATCATTCAACGATAGGGAATTTTCTATCTACAATTTTGATGCGCCAACATGAAAGTCGTCTGCCGGTTTGTTCGCAGTTTATGCAAAGTTTCTATTGACTACAAAATTGATTAATTTTTCCTAAATTTGTGTTTGCCTAGCTATATGAGAGGAAGAACTAATCTTTTTTTTTCAACTTTTAAGTTTCAAACGTTGTTAGCGCTCTGAAGACCTTAATTATTCGATCGTTATATACAACTGGAAAAAAGGGAAACCACCCCCTAACAAAATTAAGCAAATAATGACTCATTTACTTTTCTAGTTTCATAATAATTATCTCCCATACAATACACATGATTAATCATTCACGAGTGACTGCAGTGCTCCAACGCCAAGCACGTGTAGCATACCCTCCCCCATGTTTTGAAGGACGACCGGTAGAGTAATTAAGCCTCAATGGATTCCCAACCGCCGTATGTCCCCCGAAATGTTCTGCTCCTACTGTGCTAATGAAGACGGGCCGCCATACAGTATGCTATGAGGGAAATTTTGCCCGGGCAGCGGCACTATGGCTTACTCTTATATCGAATTCCTACTGCCAAGGGATCTTTTACGTGCACGCCAATGTATACACGCGTATGTCCCCCGGAATGCCGAGAAACCACCTGAAAGCAGTAGGACTTGTCATCAAAGGCTCCTTACTGAAAGATGGCCACCAGAGAATACTGGAATGGTAGGGACTGGAACCCAAGGGTGTGACTGAGCATCCATTCGTCAAATGAAAGTATGTTTCTGCTCAATGTCACGGATAGACGACTTATGGTATGAAGGCTCACTTATGGTGTGGGGAAGTGTTTCGCACGATTGCAAGCTGGGCATGTTCACCATACCAGGCGACCAGTGCACTCGCATTGTCATGGAATCGGTTGTTATACCCCATTTTAACAACCAGGAATTCGCCAAACGGCTAAACCTCAATCAAAATAACGCTGAAACGACTTAATTCGCTGGAGCACATATGAGATGTCATTGGTCGTGGGATACAGGCAATGGTCCCCTCTGTACAGAATTTGCAAGAACTGGAAGCTGTATTATAGGGTGGCAACATTGTCCTTTGTTCAGATCAGACGTTTCACAGAAGAGGTAAAACGCAACCTAGAAGCCGTCATCCAGACGCGGGGAGGGAATCTACACGCACTAAGCTTAAATAAAACCTCAGGTTTAACCCCGGTTGTCCACAATGTCAGGGACTACTTTTTCATCCCTAGGTTACAAACGGTTAATGAGAAAATTGTACAAACACAATTCTGGAACAAGGCTTTCACTGCGTTTTTTTGGAACAATACATATTCTTTTATATCTTTAATATTAATATCTGACATTTATATGAACAATAATTTGATGAATAATTATATAAACAATATTAATGTTAAAAAATATATATATTATTTGGCAACGAGTGCATATACGGGTATAGTTATATAAAAGTAGGAGTTGTTCTAGGGTCAGACAGTATTTACATTTTGTGGATTTTCTGTAATATTAATGTTTACTGTTGGTTTATTTTCTGTAATAATTATATAACACACAAATTAACTTTCTAAAAGGGGTTAATCTTCCAAATGTACTCAATACGTTAGAAATGTTACATATCCTAAAAAATAAAAACCCAATAGAGCAATCGCCAAAGGTTATGTGTACATTCTAAAATCTTTAATGTACGTTTAACATAATTATATTCAGTCAAATACAGTTCATGATTGTAACCATAGTAACACTGGCACCCTTTTGTAAAATAAAGTTAGAAAGTATGATATCGTTTTGTCCGTTTGAAATTGGACAAGGCTAAAAATTTAGAAATAATAACCAATCAACATAATTTCTCGTGATAAGCCGGGCATAAATAAAATACATAAATTGGGTTTTGATGTATTCGCTAATTTGACTTGATGCCCGATGGAAAAAGCTGAATAAAAATCAACGTGAACCCGACAACAAAATACGGTCGCGTGCATTCACGTTAAGAGCAGAATCGGGAGTCTGATAATATCAGGCCGATAGCTGGTACCCCGATAGCAAATATTCAAACCCGGGAACCAATTAAAAAATATGAATTATCTGAAAGGTTGCAAGCTATATTCATATGTGTTCATGTGGATTTTTCCTGCTCTATGTTGGAATGCTAAACACCAGGGAAGGCATGCAGCATTCTACTCTTCTTCTGGTATCTTGTACAACGCTTGCGCAGTAATCTCTTCTGGAACCGTCTAAACTGTCTCGACATTTGTTTTTGTTCTTTGCTAATATTTTTTTGCTTAGACTTGTACACTTCAGTAACAACGGCCATTTTGTCCATCAAGAAGGCATACCTTAAAATAAAATGTCTTCTTCAATTAAAGTAAAGATGCGTGATTTGTACTTTTCGGAAACTATCAAATTCCTCACGGCTTCAACCACGCTAATATGTACTCATTGATTTTTTAAACTATTAATTAAAGATACATTATGGGTGATTCGATAACGAGTTTTCAGTTCTCACTATAATAGTTAAAAACTAGATAATGTAAAGGCAATTTGCTGAAAATTTCATTCAAATTGATCCACTATGAACCGAGAACTAAGCGATTAAAATTTCCGCCTAGTCTCTATCATCATTACTAAAGTCAGTATACGATAAACAGCATAGTCTCGATTATCCATTTAATCGTTAAATCGTGAAGGAAAGTTATGCAGTAAATCGGCTCATAATCCACTAAAGATCGCAGGCTAGCGATGCCATCTAGAGTTGATTGTGATCTGGATAGGTTAATTAATGTCTAATTAATAATTTAGATAACATTTCAGACCTAAAGAAAGACCAGCAATAGGCAGATTTAGCTCTTGCATAATGTATGTTTAAGAAAAAAAAAACACCAAAGAACAAAACAATTTCTGGACTGATATTCCTATTTAGGGATTCAACATATATATTGTTATTTGCAAGTGATATTTATGAATCAGGAAATAAGTTTACACACATAACTGACTATCTTAAAATTAACTGACTATCGTGAAATTGGAAATGTTTATCTGAAATAATGACAATGAATCTGACACAGTTATGTGCAACTTAAAAAATTTCCGATTGTCCATTTAAGAAAGGAAGTTTGCTAACGGGCAGAATATTTTCATATCTAGTTGTGTTTTATTTATGTTCCATTGTTTCTGGTAATCTTGGAGACACCAAGGCCCATACATTCAACATATTACATGGGTCTTACTATAAATACGAGGGTTATCGCAAATTTAAAACAACATCAGAAGCAAATGAAAAATGTTCAAGTTAATTTACGTTAATGTTTAATTTAATTCATTTGTTTACGATCAGATATTAAACTGTACTTACACCAAATTATCTTCGTCATCTCTGAATCGTTTTGGAATTCCAGCCATAAAAATATAATTCTTATTGACTTCAACAGAGGGACACATACAAGACGATCTCTTTAATAAAATCATTTTATCTTTGCTTTTAATTTCAATAGCGCCACCTAAATAAAACGGTATTGAAATATATAGGCTTTATATAACAGCTTCTCAAATGAGGAATATTTGAATTTCACGAATATACGCCCACCAGCAGCATTTTGGTTTTAAAGAATTTCCATGTTTTGATAATAACTTTGTGATACAGGTTGATATATAGTCATGTGATGACAATGTTTTAGTATACAAATGGAAGAGCACAGATACAAGTGCGCGAAGGAATGTGTAGCTTCACCGATATGGCGACAATTATAGGAAACACGATATAATTTTTATCCAGCTAAATGTCTACATGATAAGGCTCCTACATATCGGGGGAGCCGCGGTGATTCAGTGATCAGTGAGTAAGACCAGGCCCGTAACTAAGGGTGGGGGGGCGCAGGGGAGACAAAGCACCCCTGAGAACACCACCCCCGCCCCTCGTTGCTCTGACCTAGTTACGGCCCTGAGTAAGACGTTGGCTGGCTATGCTGGAGTTGTGTGTTCGCTGAGGTCTCATGTACACATTGGCTTTCACGTAAAACAGTCATTGACATACGCCCACAGCAGCTAAGTCGTCCGGGCAGTCAACAAGAGTTGTCGCATATTTTTTCTATTGTCCATAATGAAACATTTATAATACACTAAAATCTGATTTAGAGTAACAACACATTGGCTTTCACGTAAAACAGACATTGACAGTTGAAATTGGAAAGATAGGTTGCCAGGCAACGAAACATAGGCCCACAGCAGCTAAGTCGTCCGTCAGTCAACAAGAGTTGTCTCATATTTTTTCTATTGTCCATAATGAAACATTTATAATACACTAAAATCTGATTTAGAGTAACAACTTATTAAGTAATTATCAGAAAATCATTAGAATTTTTTGTGCTTTTAGTTCTGCCCCATGGAAACGTTTAGTATACGAAACATTTAATATCATGAATTTAGCTGTTCAAGTTATCAAAAGTCATTGAAAATCAATATACTTGTTTGTCTCAAGACCTTAAACTCTGTTTATCGATCTAAAGTCAATCGGATGATAACTTTGGTCTCTAGAGCGTCCACAAGATTTTTCAAAGTTATCACGGGCCATAACTCTTGTAGTAATTATTGGAAATCGTTGAAAATCACTGGGCTTCTATGTCTTGCGACCTTAAACACTGTGTATAAATTTAAAGTCAATCGAATATTAACTTTAGCCTCTAGAGCGTTCACAAGAATTTTCGAAGTGATCAAGGGCCATAACTCTGGTAATAATTATCAGAAATCGTTGAAAATCAATAGGCTTCTTCGTCTCATGACCTTAAACACTGTGTATCAATTTAAAGTCAATCGGATATTAACTTTGACCTCTAGAGCGTGCACAAGATGTTTTGAAGTTATCAAGGGCCATAACTCTGGCAGTAATTATCGAAAATAGGCTTCTTCGTCTCATGACCTTAAACACTGTGTATCAATTTAAAGTCAATCGGATATTAATTTAGCCTATAGAGCGTCCACAAGCAATTGTGGGCACCGGACGGACGGACGGACAGACGGACGGACGGGGGCTTTAAAAAAAGCAACATATCGGTTTATAGTAGGTAGTGTACTACTTTTCAATTTTGTTGGCTTTATTCAGTAAACGACTGTAGCTGAACCAAGTTACATTGACATTCTATAGTTCCACTGACACAGAAACTTACTGGAAAATATAACTCTTTGAACACTTGCTAGAACTCTTTCAAACCCGGCTGATTCCTCTTGTTTATCTAATACTTTAATCTGTAATACTAAAAATCAGAAATTAAATGTTCGAAAACAAACCAGGGTTACTTTACTCTGATACAGGACACATGGTAATCATTCCTATTTTGGCCCAACCTATCGACAAGGGCGATGATATAATCATTTCGTGTCGTAGTTAAATATACATTAGTTAAGAGCTAAATTGCAAGTCTTTCTTTAATTAGGCTTAAGATGTTATAGAAATTATTAATTAGACCTTTATTTACATGGCAAGCTCAAAATCCACTATGTGGACCCTCGGATGGTTTGGATACAGCTTGGATTTAAACAGTCCATTTAATAATTAAATCAATAAATGGCTGACCAAGCTAACGTCGCGTCACTACCGTAGACTTCCGATGAAAGGCCTGCCAATCAAGGGTATATCGTAGCCATTTAGAATGTTACTTGATAATCGAGGATATGTGGATGGAGTTATCGTCTATCAATCAAAAAATCGGCAATTCTCGGAAACGGCGCGGAGACAGTTGATACCTAATTCTACTCCAAACTGTCAACAGTGTAAATTGACATTCCAATTTATCTGTTAGCACCATGACCTTATTGGCAATTCAGACAGGTTGACTGAAATTCCAATTTACGAAAAATCTGAAAGCACGATAAAAGACCAATTTGGAAGCTCGATAAAAGAACAATTTGAAAAGCATGATTTTCAACTATAAAAGAACGTACCATATGTAGAATTGAGACAGGCATATTTGATTATATCATTCCATTTCTTACCATACCAAATATTTTCACACTGACTACATCGTCCTGTTTATAAAATATACAAACAATATCCCAATTAATTCTAAAGTAACCAATATCATTTATTAGCTTTAATCCTATAAGTGTTAAATATCAATCAAACAAGCATGATTCAAGCGTTTCGGAAATGTGGTGTTCATTTCAGCGCAAGCCACATCAGCAGTGAGTCTGTATTAAGTATCATACGTAGCTGAAGTAAACGTTGATTCGCTTTCTAGAAAATGCTTGTTTTTTGTGATTATCACAAATTGACGTAATCATTAAGAATCCAGTAATTCTCGTAAATATGATTCTGGAATATATTTTATTCGACCTTTAATTAAGCAACAGCACAATACTGTACGCCTTTACGAACCATTTTGAGTACAAATTTAAAGCGGAGGGCTAGGTTTTATTCAGTAAGATTAGTCATAATTCTAAAGTATTCTTCTAGAGTTTAAAGAAGCTAAATCGCTAATATTTGGGAACTAGAAATTGACACAAATGGATCGCAACGCATATAATAATGTAATATGAATGTATATGAACTGATTTACATTCAACCGTTTCTGTTTTACTGTAATTTCTAAATAGTTATGTTCGCCGAAATATGCCAGAAGTCTCAATCGAATGGCAATTTCTAACGTCTGGTTATTCCAGTCTACGCCGATAATATTTATTGCGCATGCTCTCCAGATAAGAATATGGCGTCACCGTTTGACATGACTTGTGGAATATGCCTAGCCTCGTTTTTCGTGTCCCTTATGACAAATAGCTCTGAAACGCATTATGGTACATGATTCGTCTACCAATCGTAAAATGTTTATTTTGTCTTAAATATTGGATATCAGAAGTCCATCTTTGCCCGGTAAGATCATAGCATCAATGTTGATTTAAATTGACAAATAATTCGTGTTTTCAATATCGAAGATTTTGGATGATATTAAGTTAGTGACTTAGCTACTTTAAGAATCCAAGGAATCAAAAAAACGTTTCTTATTAATACGAGGAGTAAAAATCATGAAAATTTCAATGTTTGACTTCATTATGCGCCTGTTCTATCCACCCAACGGGTCGGGTAATCGAGTAGTCAAAGTCCCCCATCAAAGCAAATTTCGTCGATTGGCTAATCTACGGGATTCCCGGATTTCCTTTCACTGCCCAAGAATTATCTAAATAAAGATTTATACAATCTCTCGTATCCATCAGCCCACCTTGTTGGTCAAATGTAATAAAAAGTCAATTGATAATGGATATCTTAAATGAACCTTACCTTCTAAACACTGGCAAATACTCTTTTGTTTGTCACAGAAATTAGTAAGATGACCACTAACATTATCCGGCTTGTAGAAATAAGAGCATCTTATTGCTAAAATATAATGTAAATTGAAAATTTATATCAAAGCTATGAGCAAAGCTATGAGCAATATTTTGCCAAGAGAGCGACAATTTCGCGTATTATTCATTGAATTTAAACTGCCATGTGCCTGGCCATACGTATAGTTGAACCTCGGGTTTTCGTTTCATTCGAATGACTAGACGCTTCCTTTTGTCGCCTAGCCCCTGAAGCTGCATCAGACTGGAAAATACCAAGGACCAACACCGGGATCGAACTTTGGACCACTTGGTTTGTGCGCCATACTCACTGAGTCACTGTGGCTCCCAGACAAATACTAGACGGCATCAATCAAACACAAGACTACACCTCTCACACATATGAGATCAGTTACAAATCATACGTTTTGAAGGTATTTTTGAAATAGTAAAAATAAAAAGAAATGTGGTTTACTGACACGTCAGCACCAAACGGGCTATATTGTTTTGAAATAGTAAGCATACCTTGCCTCTTGCAAGAACCAACTATCAGTAACTTATGAATAGTGGCTTTCGCTTTTTATTATTTTATTTTTGTAAAAAAAAAAGACCGCACGAACGCGGTTTATAATTTTCAATATAACAATTATACCTGGATTACAAAATCCTATTTAAATATAACAGCTATACCTGGATTATAGTAATCAAAGACTTGAACTTTAGCAGGTTGAATATTTTCTACGATATGTTTCTGTTTAGCTCTGAACTTAAAACATTCTGTTCTTTTGTGAGATATCTGCAAAAAGTAAATTATGACTATGTGTCATTTCATTTCATTGACTTTGTTTAAACAAAAATTAAATTCAATCTAGCATTTTTCTTTCATTATTCGTGATTCGAGTGTTCATTTTTTTAAGTTTACAATGGGAAGTCATAGAAATATTTACTCGTACTGATGATAATAAGTATTTGGCAGTAGTAAAATATAAGCCAGGATCAGAAGAAAAACCCATGTATTGCTGAGGCAACCTTATTATAATATTTTCATGATCTAAATCGCTAATATTTTGGATTTAGAAATTAACACAAATGATTCCCAATGCATAAAATAATGTAATGTGAATGTATATAAACTGATTTATATTCCATCGTTTCAGTATTTACTATAATTCCAAATCAGTTATGTTTGGCGAAATACGCCAGAAGTATCAATCGAATGGCAATCTCTAGCGTCTGGTTATTCCCGCCTACACCGATAGTATTTAATGTACATGCTCCCCAGATAAGAATATGGCGTCAGCGTTTGATATGACTTGTGGAATATATCTAGCCTCATTCTTTGAGTCCCTTGTTACAAATGGCGCTGAAACGCATTATGGTACACGATTCGTGTACCAATGGTAAAATGTTTATTTTGCCCTATATTGGATTTCAGAAGCCCACAAAACCGACAAATAATTCGTGTTTTCAATGTCGAAGATTTTGGATGATACTGAGTTAGAGACATAGCTACTTTAAGATGAACACCCGAATTCGAAACAACTGGATCGTTATTTATTATTTGAATAACAATCGGAATATTGTTTTGTCCTTTTTGTTTGTTTCAGGCCGACACCTTTACCTTGTACTGCCGAGGAATCCTTATCATGATCATAACAAGGAATACTAATAGTTTATATGATTTAAGGAATGCATCTCTCTGAATAACGAGAAAGCTAGTAATATGTTTTTCAAACGCGATTCAACTTTACACTAACAAATAACGGTATGTCCGTTATACATAGTGATACACGCCTTACGACGTAAATACGAAAACAAAATTCAATCACACACTGCCATTAAATTCATTGGAATTAGTAGTGGATGAAAAAAGTACGTCATTGAATAATAACCAATGACCCACCTCTTCAACATAAAGAATAACAGAGCGCTGTGATGTCTCAAAATGCTGGATTTTGCCATTGGTCTTCATCTTGAATTAGAAAAAAGATAACACATTTGATTTATTATTACAGGCTTGAAAGCAATATAATATAACAGGTATAGTTTATTTATGTGGCCATATATAATTCAGAATTTCATTAAATAACCAATAAAGCACCAAAACAATCTGGCCTTCAATTCAATGTCACATTTAAATTATACTGTACCAAATTAAGATCGTTGTCTATTGGTTGATAGCCAGTGAATAGACCAACATCCAAAACTGACATCCCTGTTTCTTGATTTCCTTGAAATCTAAAATAGAAATTATAAATTTTCCTCAACATAACATTCACCCTTGATAGGCGATAAATAAACTATTTTTTGCTCGTGTATTATTGAAATGGGTTTAAGACAAAGTTCCCTCTTATCACCTATCTTGTTTTACTCTTTCCATTTTCAGGCGTAGTTCCCCCCTTGTCAGTGGTGCAGGACAGAGGGCCTGACAATGGACAACGTATAGTCGTTTGGTGGTACGAGAAACCGAGGCCCCGTGTACACTTTGGTGTGCATGTAAAAGAACCCTTGGCAGTTGGAATTCGATATATGAGTAGGCTATAGCGCCGCTGTCCGGTCAAATTTCCCTCATAGCACACTGTAGTCCAGTCGGAGCAGACCAGTAGAAGACATTAAATCCCAATTCATTTCATTTTACTTACTCTTGCCATTAATAAATTCCACAAAATCATGCGATATGCCGATTGCCGAACCATTTTTTATAAACCTTTGTCGTGCAAATACAGATTTATTATATTGATACATACCGAACACAAACTTCTATACACAGCACACGAGCACTGATAGATCGTCTTGAACGCTGATGATTATAAGGAGTTCTTCCTATATGGAAAAAGGGTCGCCCTATACGAGAACCAACATTGGTATTTTCTTCTTCGTCAGTTTTAAAATTTAATCGTTGTATACGTGGTATTATGTCTGGAAATTTGAAATTCTCGTAATCATCTTCTTCTTCTTCCTCCACAGCATTATCACACGACTGAGAACATAGCTCACAATTTGTTCTGTAAATTACAACCATCTCTGTATTATCACTTTAGAATTTTATTTTACAAAATACATAACCAAAATCTGTGTGTCTCTCAGCGGCCTGTTTCACGAAATTTTAACTAAGATAAAATCCAAATTTTAGTAATTTGATTGGATAACATTAGATTGATTTTAGTGCTTAGCCAATCAAAATTGAAGTATCTACTAAAATTTGGATTTTATCTTTAGTTAAAATTTCGTGAAACAGGGCCCAGAATGTTTAAAGAGTAGCCCGTTCTTATAGCTTTGTGAAATGGAACTCATGCAAGTGGTCTGGGTTTTCACAAGTTTGTTTTGTTAGTGCATGAAATGAGATGAAATATCGTGAGCAATTGGAATATATATATCACAGTCTATAAAATAATTTGTAACATTGACGGGAAATTTCCTGTTGAATAAGCAGATTGTTTTCCCGCTAGTAGATTGGGTGGAGCTTATCCATGTAAGACATGTTCAATGTTATTGCACACTTTTGCTGGTTTACACTTGTTTTAGGGTTTTAACGGGGAATAACAACAAGCATGTTGAGCAGGTGTCAATGTTACAAGTCATTTATAGTACGCTTCATTCGTTAACAGATTTAACCACTCGGCCCACGGCCTCTGGTTAAATCTGTTAACTCATTAAAGCCGTGCTATAAATATAACATACACATGATTAAAAGATAGCTTACACATTTGCAGTTAAAATTTACAATAAAAATCTGTCCATGGTATGATAGCAAATTGATCTCATATCCTTGCTGTTGTTGTACTCAGTGTGCGTATTATGTACATAATATCCAAAATTGAAACGGTTTCACAAAAAATTGACAAAATTATGGATAATTGAAATTTCGACAAGCAGTGTAATATGGTTAATGAAGAACGATAGCTTACACTGGATAATCAATGTTTATGACATCATTTAAATTTTGGATAAGATGTGTGCAGCATATCTATAAAATACATTTCCTTTTCGGTAGGACCGTTTTGGTCAGTAAATTCCCCTATAAATATTAATTTTACAATTACCTGGCGTGTTGATTAAAGAATTGGTAAACCATGTGTGATAATCGTCTGCTATCAACAGTCACATCAAATTTACAGGAATCACCTTCTTCAGGTATATTATATCTAACTTCTACCTGCATCATACCTACACCTGTACCAGCAGCTTCAAACATTAACTTACCACCTGTTGGTACCTAATAAGTTATTTAACATAAAGTTAGCTGGATTTTACAAACATACTGGAATGAACGGTACGGAAGAACATTTAGATCACGTCAAATCACAAATCATTACAATCTTCCCACGGAAGAGCATTACGACTAGGAAATGTGGAGTTATTAAAAAACTAAACCAGTCACCTAGCTATGATGCGATTGTGGTGTTAATATTTTTCTCTAGTTGTCTACCAATATGGGACCCCCGATGACCCAGTGTCACTGAACAGGGGATTCGGAGTTCGATCCCGGTGTACCCGGAGACTTTCTAACCTTGTTTCATTTTTTCAGTGGTACGAAAACCGAGGACACTTATAAGCGTTGCCATGCGCTTAAACGAACAACCTGTGAGTTAGAATTCTAGCACAATTCCCCATAAAGCAACCTGCATGGCGTATGACCGTATTCACTGACAGGCTGATGCCGAAAACAGGACCATACTTTTTCGAAAATGTATCATTCACGATCAATAAACGTTATAATTCACTATAAATATACAAACACGTACCTTAGGTACCGATTTAAGAACCAAAGCATCTTCATGTCGAAGTGATATAAGTCTCTGAAAGTTCTGATCAGCTTCTGATGTTATATGACATGTCATATCTAATATGGCTGAATAAGTTCTAATACTGTACTCTGATAAAGCTTGTAAACCTATCACAGTATCCTGTAAAATGAGCCATGAACAAAACATTTTCAAAAGAGAACCTGGGTGCCATTTGGTACTATAATTTAACATGGATACCGGACTGCAAAAGATTAGGATTCTGTGATCATGACCATTGGAAATTAAATATTATTATGTAATTTGATGTGGTCCCTAAACGTTGAGACGGAGATATGAATTGGCGCCACACAGCATGGGATTCAGAAAGTGTTACAAAAATTTCATCTTGCTCTTACATTTTGGTCAATTTCAGTTTATTGGAGATTTATATGGATTGAATAATGACAGTCTACATACAAAATACGAATATATTCAGGCGAGTGAGGGCAAAGTTCGGGTGTTGTCTTGTGTCTTACCTGTGTAGAAACGAATGAACCATGTGATTCACGTTGTTGTAGTAACCAACCAACTATCTGATTACTATACTGTATTTCTCCCATCTCTAACTGAGCTAACAGAGCATAAGCTGTAGCTTCAACAGCCAAGGCATTAGGTTCTTTATTAAACCAATGCGGTGTTAAACCTAGTTTAAAATCGTTCTCTTCTCCAGGACCCCAGAAGACAAAACCTATATAAATAAGCAAGTGAAGGCAGAGATCAGGATTTGGAGTGCCCCCTCAAAAGTTCAACCGCAGCAAAGTCATCCACGTTAACAAAAATTTAATTTTTAAAAATTCCATAGAACTAGGTTAAAAGTCATCATATACGATCGACTATCAACAAATTTCAAAAGGATTCTTAGTAAATTACAACCTTTAAAAAAATCCAAACAAAACACACGTCCAGAACTCGAGGTCGGTAGACTAATTACAAGAAGATGATGACTTGCCGACACATGAACGAAGGGATAGAAAAATGACGCATGTGATGACAATGTACATAGCATAATGAAGAAATACCAACATCCGGTATAAGTATACATGTGTCGATAGTGCAACACACGATTACTACGTGTTTATGAAATAAATTTACTTACTTACTTATTTACTTACACAAAGTTGTCATCACAACAGTCTTAAGTTAAACTGTGTAGTGTCACCAAGAGACATTATTCATTAATTTCTAATCAAACATGTTAGTCAAAAACGGGGAAACATACCTTCAGGAGTCGTTTGAGCTAATTTTCGTAATATTTCATTTGCTCGATGTCTGGCCGGGCTATAAGATAAAGCCAAGGCATACGTTGTCATGGCAACTGCTAATGGCCGATCCAATTCTTCTAATTTACTTTCTAAATATTCTATGGTTTTCAGTTGATAATCATCATCCTGGATATGAAATACAGTAATTCATTGAAAACTTTGAAACTAAGAGTCATTTTATGTGCCTAGCACAACAGAATTTACGAAATATAATAGCAACTACCTGACAATTAAAATATACATATCAGAGAGAAAGAGAGAGAAAAAAAGAGAGAGAGAGAGTAATGGGGTTTAACGTCCACTCGAAACAACTGCACAATCAAAGTAATTTCGGAACTACCATATTTTTCAATTTTATATCAATAATTAGCTTGCGCGTAGCCACGTAGGCGTCTTTAGCAGCTGGTAGAAACCGGAAGACCTGGAGAAAACTCACGAGGTTGGACAGGCGACCCTACAACGGGGGGGGGGGGGGGTGGTTGACATCCTCTCGTCACTTGTCTTAATGACAGACCTTATGATTTCACGTACACGCGTTAAACTACTAGACCCCCCACCCCAAAGCAACCGCCCGACAATCGAAATACATCAAAACATATAAATAAAAAAGCAATGAGAAGCGGCATCAAGTGTTCCAGAATGCCATGCAGATAGAGATATAAACAGTGTGTTTTACAATACCTCTGGTTTACAATCACTCTCTAATAATGATATCAACACGAACGCTGCTAGCGTAGTTTCACCTGTAGTTCCTCCCTTTAAAATAAAAATAGGTGCATACAATAAAATCGAACTTATGAAGGCATATATTCGTTTTGCAGTTGGCGGTCCTACGCTCTACCACTGAGCTGTCGCACAACCCTGAAAGTCCAGTTTCTCGAAATTTCGTTGTCCGAAACTATAGGCCTATACTTTTTCACTGAAAGACCGATCCTAACAGCTAGCGGTTGTAAAGTCTAGCTCACTCCTGTGTACAGATGTACCCACCCTACTAATACTTCAGCTACATATTGAGTTTAGAGTTAAAATCACATAAAAGGACTTACCAACATTTCTTTATGCATTACCCATGAATCTTCTCTAAATGAGCCATCTGATATTTGTTTATCTAATATCCAACGTAAAGCTTGACAAGTAACATTAGTATCAATGGGTATAAAACTTCTAGCTTGATTTAACACCTTTAATGCAAATGCTGTCAACCTGAATCACAAAGATAAAACAGTTGGTATTAGACCACCTCAGAAACGTCGCAACACAGATCGAGTAAAATAGTGCGAAGCCGGAGAACCCGGAGGACCCGGAGAAAATCCACGAGTTTGGGCAGGCGATCCTACCTACTCTTTGTAAGATGCAATTCTGGGATTCCCTCCCCCCCACCACAAAAAAACCCCAAAACAAATTGGTAGACATATCTAGAATGCATTCTGCGTTAACACCCAAAATTTATGGCAGAGCTCAGAATACTTGTGTAAACCGATTTTATATTTCAAAACAATTTGTATTCATATACCTACCATGTACTTGATTCAGCATGAGGCCATGTGGCAAATGAACCATCGTCTTTTTTAAAAGTAAGTTGCCTCATCATACCTAAAGCATCAAACAACAGCCATTTCAGCAATTTCAAGAATTTATGGCGTTATATTTATTGTGTATCTGCTTTAAGAAAAAAGTTAAGGGCACTATGCTTGCTGCTTCTAATGTTCTACATTGTGGTTTCCAATCTTTATTCAATGTATAAATATATCAAAGTGACCAGACGTAAACTGGCTTTAAATGTTACACGTTCAGTGGTCTAATAAGAATGTTGCCATTTCGGGAGGATGACCAATTACTTGAGCAGATGTCTAATCACTACTCCCCGATTCCATATATACCCGTCCTACCTTGTCTCATAAATGCCCGTGCCTTTTTCTCAACGCCTGATTGAAGTCGTCCAGTAGCTTTCAGATATCTCATAACATATACATTAGGTGCTAGATGTATCAGGTTCTGTTCACCACAACCAGTTGGTAGTTTTAATAATGTATCTACACCATTTATTATACCAGACACTGTTGGACCTAATACATCCCCTAAAAATTAAAATAGTCCATTTTTTTAGGAATACATATAACGTTTATTATACCAGATACTGTTGGGTCTAATAAATCTGGTGTTGTGGGGATACATGAAACGTCTATTATACCAGATACTGTTGGGCCTAATACATCTGGGATTGTGGGGTTACATGAAACGTCTATTATACCAGATACTGTTGGGCCTAATACATCTGGGATTGTGGGGTTACATGAAACGTCTATTATACCAGATACTGTTGGGCCTAATACATCTGGGATTGTGGGGTTACATGAAACGTCTATTATACCAGATACTGTTGGGCCTAATACATCTGGGATTGTGGGGTTACATGAAACGTCTATTATACCAGATACTGTTGCGCCTAATACATCTGGGATTGTGGAGATACATGAAACGTATTTTAAAGGATCCCGGATGCCGCCTCAGTACAGTTTATATTCAGAGCTTCCATTCACTTTTGTAAACCAGTCAAATATAGATAAGTTAATGAATTGTACTAATAATTAGGAAAACTAATAATTGGGAAAACTATCAACGAAATAGGAGGCAATTTATGCTTTAAATTCATCACACCAAATATGAGACAATGGTTGTATCTGTAATTATAATATGACGATACCTTAGACTAGTAATGGAGATTGTCGTGTCGGCACTACATTATTTAGAGTTTTTTAATGATATACCGTTATTGTCACCTGCACAAGGCGAATATTGCCCGAACAGCTGCGTTACTGTCTACCCTTTATCGAATTCCAAAGCTCGAATATTCTTTTACACCCACTCCTGAGTCTAGTTGGCTTACGGCTGCCATATGAGACAAGAATAGTTCCTAGCCAGACGACATCTCTATATAAGGCAAAACAGATATAGTTAGACGTGAGTGCATGTCTTCTAGAGAGAATAACATAGAATAAGCAGACGATGCATAACAAATATGTTTTAAAAATGTAAGCTTGGTAACCCGTTATTAGTTTTGACTGAAATGTGATAAGATTTGTTCCAAAAGCATTTTTAGGAATCACAACATATATTATGGCACATTATTTCCGATAGGTGACCAATTAGGTTACGTTTACTCACCATGGATACTGGAATTAATCATTAAAGTTATCCCGTCTTCATTAGCCCAGTAGGAACAGAATAGTAGGACTTTAAACCCCATTTCATTAAAGTTATTTAAATGTTCTGATATTACTTCCTCGTGGGTTTTCGTCGGGTCCTCCGGACGTTAAACCCCATTTCATTAAAGTTATTTAAATGTTCTGATATTACTTCCGTGTGGGTTTTCTCCAGGTCTTCCGGTTTCCTCCTACTGCTAAAGCCCCCTACGCGCATGCGAATTATTGAAATAAAATTAAACCATACGTTGGTCCCGAAATGATCTAGTTTGTGTCGAGTGGACGTTAAGCCCCATCTCTCTCTTTCTCTCTCTCTCTCTCACTCTCTCTCTCTGATATTACTTACCTATCGCACTCACTGTACATTTTTCAGTCTCGGGAACTACATTCTGCGGTAAGTCAAGGTCTAATTGTACAGTTTGCCGACTGCCAACCTCATCGACTTCATCTGCAAGTAATAGGCTACATATGATTTTACATTTAAATAATATCCACCCGTTAAAAATGTATTCAGCACATTTTGATGTGCTCCATTATATGAACTAAACATGCGAACGGTTAAAAAGTCATCACTTTTCATTTATAAATAAATATTAACATTGTGATATATTGAAGTGTTTTAAGATTAATTCATAACTGACTTACTTTTAATATCAATGGAAACATTCTTGGGTTTATCACGTATTAGGCGTTTTCCTGAAGGATCAAGCATCACTGATACCGTATGGATTTTTTCTAGACCTTCCCCCTAAAATCGAAAATCACACTTTTCTTATTGATGTCAATGCTTCTAAACTCAATATCAATTATATCCGTAAAATATATGTTAAGATTACGAATATGGCAAACTTGAAATTCATTTTATTTTTATTTTATTCATAACTATCTATGTATAAATTAGTAATATATACATGTTTTATATTTTTTGTAACATAGGCAAGAGGTAATAAAATATTGTTTATAAATAATATAAGATTTATGAAACGCCTCATGCACCTACTAGGGTTCCCATTTCAATCATATTTACCAATATTGGCTGACTGGTTATGACATTGACTGGCGGGAGAACTTATCTGTCGGACACATTACATGCAAGGAAATTAGAATTAAAAACTTTCAAACACAATATAATTGCTGTTAAATGTATAGTTTTATGTAAAACAACATATAAAAAAATTAAACAAAATTGGGATAAGTCTAAAAATATATTTATAATCTCAGATAAACAAAATACTTCAAAAACTGATCGGCATGCTCTGGTCACCCAATGTTGCATCTTATCCCACAAATCATCACTGATCGACCAATCCCTTCGGAGCTGTTAAAGAAACATCTTTATGCAAACATATGTAGACATACCAGCCCGATGGACAATGGACGAACAATTAAATCACATGCAAGCGGCTTTTGGCACGCTGGTCTTTATATACACATGTTGATTTAAAAAAGAAATAATGAAAATCACCTCAACATACAAGAGCTTTTCCACCGCATCTCGACCCCAAGAAGAGTACGCAAATACACGTATGGGGAAGAGACCTAATTCCAGGGGAATTAGAGGAAATGACACCGAAGCAGCATCATTTGGTGGTATATCCATGTGTGCCATCTCAGAATTTTCTCCTGGTTCACCAGAATAGCAGACACCTTCAACGCTCTGTATAAACAATTTTACCTGGAAAACAAAATAACACATAGCTTGACTTCAATGTAACTTTGGTCTCTGCAATTATAACCAGAGCGCTTGATATTAATGGTCATACGCTCGTACTTATTGGATAATTTTACTAAAATCCGCTTTAACTGAATAAGAGATAAACCACAAATAGCTAGATATTAGTCATGGCTATTTAAATCCAAACTTACCGATAAATCCATATTCAAATAATTATAAATAGTAACCCTGACTTCCAGCTGTTCCAGTCGTACAGCACTATACGGTAGATCCAGATGAACGAAAAAGTTTTTAAATACAGTGACATTATGTGGTTTAGAGACACAGAAGCCATGTTGTTTAGATATAGATACGGTATGTAACATCCATGTTGTTATTGTGTCTGGTAACCCAACACTTAATTCAGTTTTACCATCTTCTCTGTAATAATAAATATATCAGATTTATTTCACATACAATCGATATACACATAGTTGTCGTAAGGATTGATTGCCGAATACGTGCTTGTATCGGCGTGGCGTGAGAAGAAGTTTTGCCTTGACAAGTCCCGATGCGCCATTTGCATTTTGACTAAAATATCGAATTCTTCACGACTTAATACGCGCTAAATATATATGTACCTACCCTAAATAATATTCCGGCTTAGATTCGGTTGGATTTAAATAGGTCCATCAGATGTCTCCGCTTTGATAAAAGCATCGTGTTACGAGCATAGATCGATGAAATTTCAATTCCACATATATTTATAAATACTGACCGGAATTGAACCATTTTTGGACTGATTTTCCTATTAGAGATTCATCTATCACAATAATGTAGCAAGTGATTCATATTGCTTAAATGGCGCATGGGGACTTTGAAATGCAACAAAGGAGTTCAACAAAGTCTTTATTAGGTATATGAGCTCTGCAAGAAAGAACGGGTAGTAATTGTTCTAGATGGTGTAGCACCATGGGTCTTTTGTCTGACGTGGAGAGCGGACACAGTACTAAAACCGGTCGCCACATCCTACATACGACCCATGCATCTTTTCTTACTACATATTACTGTAGCCTTGTGATCGTCTAGAATTTGTCTCTAGCTGTCTTTACTTCTGCTTCACGTTGTGTATTTACTTCTTACAGTTTCTTAAGACGTTTGTCTTACCAGGAATAACAATGCGACAGTTTGCTTCTACATATTATATATATATATATATATATATATATATATAGCTGAATACAGGTATACAAGCATAATAGATAACAATACTAGCTAAAACCATTTCTCTGTCCTAGCCAGCCTCGCGGCTGTCTAGGAACTCAGATGTAAGCTCTCTGAAACCTAACAGAAGCCTGACTTAAAACTTTACTATGATTTATTTTATAAGACTCCTGGATATCACGCACATAAAGCCTGTTCATGGCCCTGAACCTGTGCAATTAACGATATGATTGGTTACTTTAAGTAAAATGATGCAATTAGAATAATTCCACTCACGTGTAATTCTGGTGGTAAAATATTGACACCTGTTTTGGTTTAAGAGGCTCTTTTTATGTAACAATATGTCAATTACAGACTAAGTTGATTTGGTATTTTCAGTACATATCACATATTATGCGAATATGTTATTTCTCGAGCAAAAATTCTACTAAAAGTATTACAATGGACTATTAATTAAAACAAGAAAAACAGGTAGCAATTGTTCTAGAAAAAAAAGTATACATACTCTGTGTAGTATTAATTTAAACAGCGCATATTATTCTCACTGTTTTAATATTTATATTAACTTAGTTAAAACATCGCACAGCTTAAGAAGAGAGATTACATCGACACCAGCCCTATTAGTTTGGAATTGTCCTGTGCAAGTTCTTACCCTAAAGTATGTTCTTCAAACAGCCAAGATTCCGGAAAATTAGTTCGAAGAGGTAAATCAATCATAACATCTTCATCATCAAACAGTACATCCTGTACATCTTTATCCCCGTGTCTGTTTAATCCTAATAATCATATTATTTAATAGACTGGTGTAATGTATGGTTTCTTAAAAGTAAAGTGCTTGAAAAGCCACCATGTGATGAGCTACAATTCCAATTTTGATAAATTCTGACAACTATATCAATAAAATTATTTTATTAAAATTTACAGCACAGTACGTTCTAACAACACCAATAAAATCTTTGTATTCAGTTGATATGACAAATGAGTTTCATCAACCAAAGTAGTTGACGTTAGACGCTAGATTTAAACGATAGACGTAAAAAAGGACAGGAAATTAATACGGAAGTAGTTCTGAAGGTCAACAAAATTTAAAAAGGAAATAAATACAGACCTAGGTTGAACAAACATACTAGAATTTAATGTATTACTCTTAAATGGTTTTATACTTCTCAGTTGACGTGTTTTTATAAAAAAAAATTGCCATACCAAAATGAAACGAAGCAAACATACACTTGTAGTGAATTAAAATGTTAAGCTTACTTACTTGCCTCGACAATCTCCACACCATTAACCATATATTTACAACATCTATAGAACTCCTCAGCACACAAAGATGAATTAGTTGATTGGCGGACATATTTAGCAGCATTAAAACAACGTTGTAAAACAGCATCACTTTCTTCATATCCCTTTTTACAACACAATTCTTCTATTAAATCTTCTGTAAATAAAAACTGACTTTAACATTATCTAAAACAGTTGTCTGGGTTGTCTTCTTCGGTGTGGTTGTTCCGTAAAAGCAGAAAAAACGTTCCAAATTAATACAAAACCCTACGCTCGTTAAATTCAGTATCCCCCCCCTAAAATTCCTTAATATATATAGCAACGGTCCGAAGACATAAAATGCTTTAGCAATACCATAGACTACAGTCGTTTCTGGAGAAACTCTGGGATTTTATCATCTTCACTAATTTCATAGTAGATCCGACACTGCTGGAGTCGTTAATACAAGTGTAGTCTTTACATTAAAAATAGTACATATTACTGTTACTTTACAAAATAAAACTATTTTTGCAGAACTATGTAAAGTATTTTTTTAAAAATGCCAGTGAATGTTTCCCAAAATGATTTGTTTTAGTCAATTTATGTTTCGTGTCAATGAACATTTTACCTGAAGACCGTTTTCTTCTAACTGCTTTATTTGGACAACCTTCCGATGATCTTGTCTCAGTTTTCATATCAGCGTTTGTTAAAATAGCCAAACCAGCACCCTAAATTAGTTATAACAACATAATGCATAAATACCATTGAACAATTAATATAAGTGCTTAATACTATTTGATATTATAGGTGTCGTATGATTAAGACTCATAATTCCTGTGTGAGCTTCATCTAATAATTGAATGGCTTACCTGAAATACATAAGCACTGTCTCTACCTCCACCAGAACCACACCCTCTATCGTTGGCTCTCATATCAGCAAAAAACTGAAATCATATAGCAGTCGCATTGATTGTACACGTCCTCGTCTACACTGCATGGTATCGTTGTAATCAAACTTGTCTTTTAAAGAACACAATATTAATTTATCGGATCATTTTATTGACTGATTCATCAACATAACGAAACATAACTAATTTCAGATTACAAACTAACCAATCAGTTTAGGGAATATTTACCTTTGTTCTAGAGAATGTTTTGTTCTTGATAAGGTAAACACTTTGATCTACCGCCAATAATCCTATTGTTGTATTTGGTTTACCTGTCAATGTTATTGTCATTTCATCCCTCGGTCTGTATGTCTTCTCTCCATTATCAGTTTCTAGCATAACCTAGAATGTAGAAACATAATAAAATACATTGAGATAGTCGGAGAACAAGAGATTTTATTAAAAATAAATTACTTGGCTTTAAATGATTCCAGTTTATTACCTCTCATCACACTCTGACACTTTCAATGCTAAACCTGCTAAAGATATAAACACAGGGCATAATCATGGTATGGATCGATACGAAGTATCCAGATAAAGCTCAGTTTCCTCTGTCAGTGGTAGTCCTTTTGGTGTGGGGTGACGCCAACGAAGCATGAGATCCCCCGCATTTGTCTTCAAATACTTACTTCGTTATCGCACTGTTCTTCTATATCCAGCCAGGTAGCATCAGCAACAACCTCTGACCCAGCTGTTGTTCCCCTTAGAGAAAAAGTTACTATCCGAGCACTAGGTGACATATCAGCAGTTACAGGTATATAAAAATTTGTCCGGTCACCAGCTAATGCCCTTGTTCTTGTATGGTGAATAATCTTACCCTTGGCGATAACCTAAAAGACAATAAGAATTACATGTCGTACCAAAAGCTGGTTTTATATATATATAAACCTTTTATCTGATTCCGTCATCAATAACTACAATTACTTATAGATAAATATTAGAAACAAATAGTTAAATTATCTCACCAACATGTTGATATAATCCAGTAAATCTGGTTCAGTGTTCATTGTTTCAACAGTCATAAAGTCTCCAATAGATGGAATGGCACTTGGTTTACCCTATATAATAAAAATAACCACAAAAATAATAAAACACAACGGTGGATAGGTGAATGAGTAAAATAATAATATATATGGACCGGGAAAAGTGAGGGTGGGGCTGATGTGGGTGGATGAATGAGTAAAACATACATTAAGCCACCAAGTGAGGGAGCCCGGATATGGGTGGATACTACGAGTAAAATATATACGGATCGGATTAATAGGGAGAGCTCTCGCATGAATCGATAGATGGAAACATAATGCACACCTTGTTAAATAATAAAAAAATGTTTAATAAGTGTAAATTATATACGACCAGATTAGCTCGGAGAGTCCTTATATGGATGTATTGCCCGATAGATGGAGAGATGGCGAATAGACGGATAGATATCAAGAGTAAAATATATATACGGACCGGACTAGCAATGAGAGCCATTGGATGTATGAAAAGGTACCATGTATGAAATATCAACTTTAAATCAAATACGGACAGAATGGACTAGTAAGGATAGTCCTGACATGGATGTATTGTTCGATAGATGGATAGATGTATACAGACCGGACTAGTTGGTAGAGCTCTGACAGACATATAGGTATCTGATGGACTGTAATAAGGAACAGCTACAAATAGTGATTCAGTTTGATTCTTCAGTGGTAAACCTTTAATGTTAGTTCTGATCTGAAAGAATAACCAATCCATACATTTATCATTTCACATATTATTTAAACAATAATACATGTATATAGATAATAGTCAGTCTTGACTTTTCAGAAAGACCTCTTACTGGCAGTAAATATAGAACATATTTGTACATGATGAAGCGATACTAATATAATATGGCATTGTAATCCTTGTCAATGTAATGTTAAAACCACTTATCGTCAGTTGATAGATTTTGAATCTCTTGCAAGCTACAGTATTGCGAAAGATGACGATTCTTTAAAATGAACACCCGTCCAAAAATGGTTCAATCCCATTGGTTATTTGCAAACATGTGATGCACTGATTATTTCGCAACACATGTAAGTGTTGGATAAAATATTTTGGCTGACTTCATTTTAATCAAATTGAACCCAAGCCTAGAATTTATCAACCGTTCATATTTTGAATTTGTTCCTAAATTAAATGATAAATAATTAATCTGGGTACATATTGGTGTATATTATGCCGTGAAACATTGTTATTTTGCGAAAAATGTAAATGATTAATAATGTAATCTTACTTTTATCTTTAATGTTTTTATTTCAGCTGGTAAAAGTATTTCAGTAGCCAATCTACCATCAGCATCAGTTGATAATTGTTCACCAACAGATATTAAAGGTGTAATTATAACTTTCTCTTCTTTTACATCACCTTCACCTTCAATAATCACCGGTAGATGGCGTGCTGGTTGACCATTAGCTCGTATAGCATCAACCTATTGCAATGAATTTTCAATTACAATGTTTGTCGATGGTGATTAAGGAATATCTAATAACTAATCTAGGCCTACCTATATTATAAATAGATATTTCGGTTAATTGTACAGTATTTGCTAATTCCGTAAATTAACTCATTTTTAGTGATATAATTCATGTCTTCTTTCTGTTTTCAATGATAATCATTATGCTTGTATTTGGTAGTACATGTATTTGGTAAATTTTGGATGGCATGCGGGTAGTATTAGGTCGGTATTGGGTAGTAATGGGTAGTATTTGGTAAGCGATATCAACATTGCACTAATAATGAATGTTCAGGAACAAGTTCAACTCCATATTAAAAACCGTTTGTAACTCTTAGTCTTTTTTCAACCAATACTTACATGTAAAACATACGGCAGACCTGGTTTAAAATATCGCGAACATCTAGTAAATTTGAGAATATGTGCCGATTTAGCAAAGACCACACTCTGTACCATATAATGTTCGACATTTCCTGAAGCCTCTTCTGTAACGGCTGCGTTCAGAAATAGACGTCCGCCATTAGGGAACCACATAGTCTGGGAGGCCACCTTTAAATCATCTATTTGAATAGTAATAGTTGTATCTCCAGTTATTGATAGCTGTAATATAGCAAGATTTAAAATAAAAACAGAAATGACGTGTCATCGTATTTTATATGTTTGTTAATATAGATCACCAGTTAACTTCTCCTTTACCGAAACAACAGTAGTTCATTGAGCTATTTGTATTCTGGCATGCAGTTCTCAGAAGTAAAGATATAAAAAAAGGAACAACAGATGCTGATTACAAATATTATATTACGTAAATGGAATTAATGGCAGTCTGTTAATTTACCTGAATATTAAGTTGTTTTCCCAAAGTAAAAATGTGACCATGCCAAACTAAACCATAAGACACCGTCACATGACCTCGCACTGGCTTTCCAAACACATATCTAGAATGTGACAACATATAATTAATCATATAGGATGATAAATTCAATAGAATATAAAAAATGGTTACAGGAACGGGGTAGTAGTTTAATGATAAGTGGCGCGGTTTTGATTCTCCACTTGTACATGACAATGAATACGGTGGTCTGTTCAACCTCGTGGGTTTTCTCCGGGACCTCCAGTTTCCCCACACAGCTAAAGATCCCTACGTGCAAGCCAATTATTGAAACAACGTAGAACCATATTTTTGCTCCGAAATGACTTAATTTGTGTCATGTGGACGTTAAACCCATCTTTCTGTATACCACTATCCATTTGATTTGATATATAATATGCGTTTATTGTTTGAAATGTCTGTGTATATTGTGCCTTGTCTCTGGGTTTCTCTTACGTAATTGTTTATGTGTTGTGCCATCTTTCTGGTTGCATGGTTCAGATGCTATTATTATGTTCTCTACCGAAAGTCTACTATTTAAGACGTTTAGAGTCAGCGAATATATTACAGAAAGGAAAGATATTGAATTATTTTCGACTTACCGTGCTTGTAAATTAGCTTTAAATTCTGTATGATATGGTAATATAACTTGGTATTTCTCTTCTATATCAAACGCAACAGTAAATATTGGCAATACTGAAAATAAGCAAAATAATCACATAAATTCAAAGTTCTTTGACAAGGCATCTCCGACTAGACAGGTCACACGCCAATATAACATCTGAGAAGTATACACCCTTTAAGCCTTTAGAGTACAATGCGTAATGAGACAGATCACAGAAGTATAATTACATCGAAAATCAATAACCAAAATATCTATGAAATATATGAATACATATAATTATAACTGAAACGTTTATAAAAGTATTGATATCATTATAAACTATTATAAATGAAATGGGGTTTAACGCCCCATTCTTCTTCGGCGATTGGACCAATGAAGGCCGAATAAACAACTATAAAAGTATTGATATAATTATAAAGACCAAATAATTTCCTTAAATCTTATTCTTCCATCATTCACTTTGTTTTCACTTACCATATTCTCTTACTTCAAATCTGACACTGGCTGATGTTTTTACCTACAATCATATAAATATGTTTAGTTTTCTTTTCTATTTTACATCCTATAGATATTTTCCTTGGTATAAATGGTAGAAAAATCACAATGGCCAAAATCAAGTAATAACGATATAAACAACTGCGTATTAGTGCATCAAATGTCATTTTATCTCAGAATCATTTTTTCAATGGAAAACTGTTTTAAAAGCATTTGTATTTTCAGATTGAACGCATATCATGACGAAATGAAATGAAAAGAAATGGGGTTTAACCTCTTACTGTTCTGCTCCTAAACTGGGCTAATGAAGACGGGCATACGCCATACAGTTTGCCATGAGGGAAATTTTGCCCGGGCAGCGACACTATCGCCTACTCTTATATCGAATTCCAACTGCCAAGGGATATTTTACTTGCATTCCAATGTATACACGGGACCTCGGTTTTTCGTCTCATCCAAAGGACTAGACAGCTGTCCTTGTCAAGGCTCTCCGTTCTGCACCTCTGACAAGGGGAAACCACGTCGGAAAATCCAGATGGACTTTCTCGGCCAATGCAGGGAACGAACAGCCGACCTCCAGGCTAGCGAGCCAGCGCTTTAACCACCTAGCCACCGTGGCTCCCATAACATGACGAGGATACATGCAGTACAAACATATACCATACGCAGCGAAAAGCGATCCTATAATATTTCCAAAATTACTTACACCATTAGCAAATGTGGCTGTAACAGAATAATTTCCATACACAGGATAATCAGGTATTTCTAGAGTTTCTATTAGAAACGGCTCGCCTCCATCTTTCTTGGATCTACTCACAACAACTTTGTCTGGATTCTACAAAATATAGCTTGGTGTATTTGTTTACCCCTTTGTGACAATCACTGGTGGACTTTTATAGAACTCTACCACAGGGTCGGATTAAGATGTGCTGACTGAGCTGCAGTCAGGGACCCCAGTATTAAAGGAGCTAAATCTCTATTCTTTGGCACCTTGAAATGGACACAAATGGGTCGCAATGCATAATAATGTATTATGAATGTATATAAACTGATTTATATTCAATCGTTTCTGTTTTTATTGTAATTCCTAATCAGTTATGTTCAGCGAAATAAGCGAAGAGTCCAAATCGAATGACAGTCTTTGGTATCTGGTTATTCCAGTCTACACCGGTAGTATTCTCCTGTGGGGTACGTTCATTGAGTCCTTTATTTCAAATTTTTTATTTTGTCTTAAATACTGGATATCAGAAACCCATCTTTTCACGTACGGTAAGATAAAAACATCGATGTTGATTTAAATTAACCAATATGTCGTGTTTGCAATGTCGAAGACTGTGGATGATATTAAGTTAAATATTCTTCAACATTAGAGAGTAATGGGGTTTAATGTCCACTCGACACAAACTAGGTCATTTCGAGACTAACATATGACTGTGGATGATATTATGTTAAATATTCTCCAACATTAGAGAGTAATGGGGTTTAACGTCCACTCGACACAAACTAGGTCATTTCGAGACTAACATATGGTTCAATTTTATTTCAATAGTTCGTAGGGGTCTTTAGCAGTGACCGATCTTATGATGCAGTTTGCACGCGCTAACCATTCGGCCATCCAATGGGATTTAACGTCCACTCGACACAAACTAGGTCATTTCGAGACTAACATATGGTTCAATTTTATTTCAATAATTCGTAAAAGTCTTTAGCAGTGACAGTTCTTATGATGCAGCGTGCACGCGCTAACCATTCGGCCATTCAACCCTCCAGTTAGATAATAAAAGAGTCAGTTTGTATTTATAATGATGTAGGAGGCAAGCTAGGGTAAAGAATTCAATCATTACAGTTAGATTTTAATCATATAAAATCGTTTAAAATTTTCGATTAAACTTACAACAATGTCAACTTGAACTGGCCAGTCTACAGGACGTGTATCATCATCAAGGGGAATAATTCTGATATTAACTGAAATGTGAAAGAAAAATAACTGAGAAAGCAGGATCACACCACTTCTAATTATAAATCACAACACTAGAATTATTTGTGGCAACTAATTAACCATATTTAAGATTTAAATCTTGATGCTCTGAACGATGTGTGAAACACCCTTCTACGTGACTGCAATCAAAGTTTGGACACGGTTTTTCAATAGGGCCACTACATAGAATATGGGACTCATGGTGACGATGTCTGTGCACATGCATGCACTATGATACAATCTGATGAAAACACAGATCCTATTTCGTTTCGCTTTTTATAGTTCAAAATTTCGTTTTACTTGTCTTCGAACGAAATATAGATCTGTATTTTAATCAGATTGCGCTAGATAAATCATCACCATTAACACAGTCCAGGTGTTGTAAATTGTTTAAATTGTTTGTACAGATAGTATTACTTATTAGAGAAGCAAACCTTTTTGTCCGGGTGTATAAACTGGCTTATCAGTTTGTATAAAGATGTAACCAGGATGATAATCTAACAGTAATTTGGTCATCTGTTTAAACGGTTTGTCTGGCGACGTTGATTCAGCCACAAGATATATGAAATGTGAGTTAGATGGTAACATTAACACATCGTCGACGGTCAGGCGGATGCTGACGTTAGCTACCTCATCTGAAAGATTAACACATTAAAGCAAATTGAATAGTACATTTCCTAAAAGAACCAATATATCAAATTTGAATGACTGTCTTAAACCGGGCAATGGAGCTATTACTGTTGGATTACTACATGCAGAACGTCGAGACTAAACTATATCTTTACATTTTGATAACAATCCACTGTAATGGAGTTTAGTATGACCCCGATGCTAAAGAAACAGCTATATCTTTAGTAAAGGTACCTGTAATCGAAAACAGTATACGTATTGTACTCTAATGATTGTACTGTAGTGCTTATGATTAATAATTACATATTAAGAAAGTGATAAAAACCAACCTTTCGGTACCACAACTTCTCGGAAAGAGAAATTCTGTAGTTGAGCTGGAAAATCTTGCAGGTATACTTGCATACGCACATCTTCAATATCTCCAAAATTAGTCAGAGTAATAACTTCATCTATGTTCACCTTTAGCACGTTAGGTGCAACCACAAAATATACAGGTCTAAATATATATGAAATTTAAAAGAAGTCAGAATTAAGGTAAGTTTAGACATTTGGCTGTGAATTCTTTCTGCCTCGGCTTCTGTATAGTACATATAAGTAAGCCTTTTGTTAAAGGCCCCCGGTAAGCCCGATCGTTCACGTATATCTTAAAAATAAAACAATATGTACTATCATCATATAAAGACTGGTGTTGCAATGTAATTAAAGTACATCCATGTATTAAAAAAGCTTCACGAATAATAGGCTGACTTGTAAGAAAAAAAAAATCAATCACCAATAACCATGGTTTTAACTTGATAACAGTTTGGTAAAACGGTGCTTTAATGAGTTAGTGAAAAGCGTTGTGTATGATTTAAGTTTAAAGTTTTAACGTCGGCAATATCATAAACTGGGTCATTTAGATACAAATAAGCTAAAAGTTTCATAATTTCATGAAAATACACTGCAAAATTTCATCTTATCACTGGTCAGTTAATACTCTCCTTGAATCGACGATTACGGGTCAATCAATCGATCTTTACATTTTCCAAAATCAAAGCTAATCCAGTAACAAATTGACCATACAAAAGGTTATCATAAGATATCAATGTTACACAAGATTAACACTTCCACTGCCACTCCACCCAAACCCCTCTAGTTTTCTGTTATTTTTTGAACTAGTTACGTGAACAAACTATTCAGAAAACAACAGTCTTTACAGTATATTAATACATTTAACTATACTGTATATGTATGATCTAGGGTTGTTGTGGTTTCAAAGACGAAAGGGCGTCTAATAAGATATAATGCAGATTCACAACCGACGAAATTATAAGAAAATAACATAATAATATACTGTACTATAAATTAAAGTACAACCGTGATTGAGTAATGTTGATCTTGTAGATCAATGTCTTCCTGAAAGAGGTCAGAACAGAGATACATATACACTGTACTAGAGTTTTTCTGCTACTTTGGTTTAAAAATCAACTTAATAAACTCCATTCCGCCAGAATGCAAAACTAATTTTAAAATCAGGACAACACCAAGGTCAAAATACAAATTTGTTATTAGTTGTTTATATATACAGACGTCGCGATACATGATTTATATTTATTTGGTCAGAAATTGCGAGCTAATATTTACATGAAATTAGTGAAACTTAATATTTTTCTTCTCAGTTAATATAATATTTATACTTAATTTTATCATCATTTGTATGAAATCGTGTCTCAGATATCATAAAGTGTATCGGGTCGTAACAAGTGGTGAAGGTCTGATACACACTAAATTTAGATGCTTGAAAGGAACCAGCTACTTATGTTTTGGCCAATTAACGGAAATTAAGGACAATAGTGTGACAAACGAGTTTATAAGAAATGAGATTTTACAATATTGTATAGTGGCTTTCAGATAATATTCTCACGGGTGAATAACAAAGATCACTGGGTCAATTTTCATCCTCAGACAAAATCGAGATATTGCTGTTTTCTCTCTTAATCATAGGTTTCTAAACACAAAATTCACACATGTTCATCGGTTAGGGGCCCAATTTAGTTTAATCGCCGAAAAATATTGATTTTGACAACACAGGTGGTAATTGCGTATTGCAAATTGCACCCGATAATCTCGAAATATTTACACGAATTAAATTTATAGCGTTCTCTAAACTGGATTTAAACAAATTTTGTATTTACGCACATAAATTAAAATAAAATCACACCTGGATTAAAAAAAACACAACGGAGCTTTTGTATTTTTTAAAATCAACAAAAGATTTTCTTTTTCTCACTGTATAAATTAAAGTTTATTACGACTATCTAGATTATAGATAGGGATAGGTCTTGTCAATGTCTGATATAAAGTATGATGTTTGAAGACTGTTTCTAATCAAACATCAAAAATAGAAAAACAGATCCTTGTTATAAATTAAAACTTACCGTGAAGTATCAATATGCTTAATGTACCCCAAAAACAAAATTAAACAGGTTTCTACTGCTAAAATCCTAAGAACCATTTTGATGTCGTTGACGGATGTTGTATATTCAACTGGTTCCTATTTCGTAATGAAACATAGGTCATAAGGCCGATACAATGAAATTAAAGAGATGAACAATCCTTTATATATCTCTGTTAATATTTGTACCAAGAGTGTGATACAGAAAAAAATCTAGTTATTCACACAGTTCTAGATTTGTACAATCGCACATTAATATCAAATTAAATGTAAAACAGTATACCAAAAGTTTGTAAAATTTCATTGTTTTGTCCTGATTTAATAGTAAACCAACCCAATCTTATATACGGTTTGTGTAACAGTATCTCCGACCAAGTGATTAGATTGGCTTATGTTCTTACTTATCAGTAAATAATTACATTGAGACGACTGACTTGGCGAATGGAAATTATACGAAAGTCCACGAGAGTGACATTAATTATAGTATACACAGAATCGGTACCGTGTAAACATTTTATAAACCAGCCAATCAAACCATCCTCTTGGGGATGCCACGAGGAGTAACGTTTTGTATCATTACGTTAATGTTATTTATAGATGAAGTATTGGTATGCAAGTTATGTCAGCACCAACTCAAAACGTATTGGAGCGTATTTAATGTTGCCCAAAATTACAATATGTCCATATCCAAATAATTTATAGACGATATAAGAATTCTAACTATAATTCCTGTAGAGGTTGCTATCAGAGTTTGCTCACTTATACACCAGTGGCCCGGTATATTGTAGCCAATTATTTACACTGATCTGATGGTTCCTTGAACATCGTGTCTTCGAGTTTATTTCATCATTTGAAAAATATGTTCATGCACACATATAAGTGTTATGGGTCAAACATATGAGTTACATTTCTTGCGTATGTTCATAATTATAAAATATGGGTTAGTTTTCGAGATTTAAATAGTTGTCTTTAATTTCAAAACATTGGAACCACCAAATATCTAAACATTCGAAAGTGCAGAATTCGACCGGGAGCCCAGGGGGTCAACCTAGCTGAAAAGTGTACCAATTTTCTCCTATATGGTATCAATGTATGTATATCTGGTATCATCAGAATGTAAGTCTGCCGGGTTTCTGGTGGTGGGTGTGGTATTCCACGCCCTAAATGCCATGATCCCCAACTAGGCTAGATTAGCCCAAAAGTTTACCACCCGAAAATCTTACTGCAGTGTACCATACATCTTCAGGTATTACAAAAACACTCTGACAGACATTTCTAGTGGTGGGGTACCCCTCACAGAGCTATGTAATTGCCAGACATTTGTAGTTGTGGAGTATCCCTGACAAGAGTTATCTAATATTTAGACCAAAGATAGACTAGATTAGCTGAAATCTGTACCGCCTAAAACAGCTTTGGAATTGTTCAGTAACACCACAGGAGTCATGAATGACCACTGCCAGACAGTTTGTGCGGTGGGTTACCCCTAACAGACACGCCCCAAAATGCCACGCCCCCAACTAAGCTAGCTTCGTAGGCACTGTTCCCGTATTCTAAAAAATTAGATTTTTAGCCAGGATGCGTAGAATACTACTACCTAGCACGTATGGAAGAGGAGATAAACTGCGATTGCAAGAAATTGATTTTTGGGCATAAAACATTTTATGGGGCTAAAAATGCGTTTATGAAAAATAAAATTGTTCCTACAACCGCAGTTTATCGCCTCTTCCATATGTGCTAGGTATTAGTATTCTACGCGTCCTGGCACAATTTTTAAATTTTTGGACCACAGGAACAGTGCCCACTAATCTACCCTAGTTTGGGGTAGTGTTATTTTGCGCGTGTCTGTTAGGGGCAACCCACCGCACAAACTGTCTGGCAGTAGTCATTCATGATTCCTGTGGTGGTACTGAACAACTCCAAAGCTATTTTAGGTGGTACAGATTTGAGCTAATCTAGCCTAGCGTTGGTCTGGAAATTAGATAACTCTTGTCAGGGATACTCCATCACTAGGCAATTACATAGCTCCGTCAGGGGTACCCCACTACTAGAAATGTCTGTCAGAGTGTTTTTGTAATACCTGAAGATGTACGGTACATTGCTGTACGATTTTCGTGTGGTACACTTTTGAGCTAATGTAGACTAGTTGGGGGGCATGGCATTTTGGGCGTGGAATATCACACCCACCACCAGAAACCCGGCAGACTTACATTCTGATGATACCAGATATACATACATTGATACCATATAGGAGAAAATTGGTACACTTTTCAACTAGGTTAACCCCCTGGGCTCCTGCTCAAATTTACCTATGATCAGAGGATTTAATGTATTATAAATGTTCATACAGCATGTTATTTTGTGTTGTTTATTTTAGACCAATACCACATTTTTCTTCAAATGAGCCAAATTCTAATAATTTAAAGATTCCTTTAAAGATACACTATGTAAGAGATAAATCTGCTCATTGTAGGTCTTTTTCTGACTTGACTATCTCTTGTAAAAACTTCAAAAATTCATAACTTCACTCAGAATAAAGTTTATTTGACTAAAATTTTCAATATCTTTATTTTTCATATTGTGTATTAACTACTATAGCAATAGCGATCGGCTCTTTATTGTAAGCCAAGCTCACAATACGTCGTACGTGTTTTGACACGCACGGGTCGTACGTGTTTTGACACGCAGGGGTCGTACGTGTTTTGACACGCAGGGGTCGTACGTGTTTGGTAGCTCGCAGACCAGCCGCAAGAAACCGGGTGAAAATTTTGTATGTTCAGGACCAAAATTCTCTACGGCTAGTCTGTGGTCTTCTACGGTGCCGAACACACGCAAGTGACACGTTAGTCTCACGCACGGGTTTACTAAAATTTCCCCCATAGACTGCCCGTGTCAAAACACGTACGGTGGGTCGTGAGCTATAGGCTTTACCTAACGCATCTTTAATTGAAACCGAACATATCTCTAAATTTTTATATTATCCAATTGCTTTATATCTTTCTTTAGATACTGGAAGATCAAATGAATTCTGATATTGACATAAGAAAAGTAAAACTAACTAAGTGGTTTAAATTTGACAGTATCTCAATAAAATAGCTCGAAACATGTCTAGATTTCTCCGATGACGTAACGAACTTCAAAGTGCGCTCGAAACGTGTATAAATTATATATAAAAAAAATCACGTTTAATAGAAAGATCAATCGACTTATTACTGTATACTGAACTGGTAAAATGTACGGCAACATAAAAAAATGAAGAATTATCCCAATAATTGTGAAAACTGGAATGATCGTGGCCCCGAGAGGGGTGAAAATGACGACGTGCCAGAATGGTCTAAAACATTCTGGGAACCAGCTTTCCAAGCGTTTTCCGAGAATTGGAAAAATGTAAGTGCAACGTAATTTATTTATCATATATCCTTATCCTGGTGGATAATACTAAAACAAAACAAAAACCATAAACTACGTAATAAGTGGTATCTGGTGTTCTGTGTATAGTTTGGACACTATTTTACAAACGGAGGTGTGTGTGTAAAATCAAAGTTCAAAACTCATTCCGATCATTTTGCCCCATTGTGGCTAGCGGTGTAAAAAGTATTTGGTATTTAGCAAGATTTTAAACCGAAAAAAAGAAATTCATGTTCTTGTCAATTGCAATTTTTCCAGCGTTTTCTAGCAAATTTTAAATTTAACACCCATCAACATGAACAACCCAAATTGATAAGAAATTTCAAACCCTGAACACATCCCTTCGATTTTGGGAGAACTGTTTAAAATTCACAAATGAATTATCGATGAAGCCATTAGTGTTTGATGCGCTTGTTTTAAAAGATGCTGCACACAGGTATTGTGTAGTGTAAGAATACCCTTCTTGATCTGGTGCTAAAACCAGCCACGGTTTATGGAGAAAAAATTTAGACTATTTTATCCCTTTTTAAAGGTAATGACCCGATGGCACCAAAACTATGGGCATTTGTTCGATCAGAAGAAAGCCCCTGAAAATATATACAGTGAAGAATCGTTTGAGAACGTATCTTCTGTCGAAAATGTTAAAGAAACCCGAAAATTCCAACAGAGACGGAAATTCGCTTTGGGTAGTTTGTTTATTCTGACAGTTCTCATATTGGCACTATGTGTTGTGTCGGGTCTCTTAATTAAAGCAGAAGTTGGTAAGCCACTTTTATTATCATTTCGAAATTAATAGATATGAATTAATAAAATGCATTTGATAATGGCTATGTTTCAAGATAGTATTTTATTTAAATCCAGTGCAATCGGTGGTAATATAACCGAATGCAAATAGTGTCCAGTTCATTATAAACACAATTTACAAAGGGTGGGTTAAGGGTGGAAGTGTTAAACTTGCCAGAATAAGACCATATCTTGCCCACCCTAGAGAAGCCTTGCTAAGTGTTGCAGAGTCATGTGATGATAGTCCATAGTAAATGCCACAGACCAACTTAAACTGTGCCTTGTGGTGATTTATTTAGGAGTTACTGCAATGAATTTAGAAACTTATCTGCTTCTATGTTGAAGTGGTCTGCAAACCTATGTATCTGTTTTCAGAACAAAGTAATTCCGCGACGAATAATGCATTTCTTCAAAAGAATGATAACAAACAGCCATCCGAATCTTTGCAAACTTATTCGGGTGTCCATTCGTCACTTAATGGACATTCATATCTGGATAGTACATCTTCCTCCATGGCAGCTGGCATAGAATTAAGCAAAGAGGTCATAGATGGAGCAACTAATCTGCTGACGTCATTTACAGCAACGCATTTCCGAGTAGACGAATCAACAAAAACCTCTACGGTTAAAGATACATTTACGAAAACAAGTGCTATGACCGTGTTGCCCGATGACACTATTAACTTAGCAGGTAATATGACAACATTATCATTAAATGGCAAAATAATTACGGATTATGTCTGATATCATTGATTATATATAGGTAATAAAACATTCCAGTATATCTGACAGATAATGCAGGATAACTGTATGGCAAAAACAGACAGATCAAACGATATATACAAGTACAGTAGATTTATACGTTCCCAGAGAAACGGCATAGTCAAAATTTCAAAAGACATAAATAAAATAAAACTACTAAAAATCCAAACCATTAGA